GAATCTCAGTTTGGTTCCACTTACTATCCAAGATGGTGAGTTTCTTTATTTAAATTTCATTTGAAACTCCTTGATTTTGAAAGAAAAAAAAATAAATAAATGCCCGCTATCAAGTGGAACCCGTCAGGAATCAAGTGTTGGGAGGGTGTAGGCACTTCTGCCTCTCTGTCTTGCATAGGGCGCGTGTGCCTTACTGTGTTACATGAGTGAGTGAACTGATGAGCCAGCCAACAGCGATTCGTCTGGACTTGGATTGTTTGACCGGACTGTGAAATATTTTAAACACGAAATATTTATTGAGCCAGTTTTCAGCTGGTTCAGCTGAGCTGCTCTCCCTGCTCCATACATGCTCCGCTTGTGTGTCCAGGCTCTGTCTTATGTATTTGACTAGGACAGTCCGTGCGCTTGCTTGTCTCACTGATTCCTTCGTTGTGCTTGTATTTTGCAGTACCGGAAATTGACCCCAAGGCCTCAGGCACACAAGACTTGTGCGCTCTTCTGCCGAACCACATTCCCAGCCTCCCTCTTCTTGTTTTTTTTTTTTTTCATATTTCTCTTCAAGTCTGCTCTTGCCGTTTCCGTTCTGATATTTTCATAAGGTTTAAACAAGTCCCGGTGGGGTTGTTCCAGGCAGCGCTTCTTAACTTATTTCTGCTTGCAGCCCCCGTCGGCCCCAGAAATTTTTATGCAGCCCCAGGTATTCAGGCAAATGAAATAGGTTACGATTAAATGTTTATTGATAATCGATCATAAGAAAATTGATTTTAGAACATTTGGGGGACCACACCCACTGAGACTTGGGGATGGCTGCAGGTGATGTGATGCTTTGGGAACCATTTGATTTCAGTGCTGTGATTCAAACCTGGGTCTCCTTCGTGCAGTGCATGTGCTCTACCTGTTGAGTTAATTCCCTGGCCCTAAAACATTTTTAAAAGGACTTGCAGTGGGGCTGGAGCAAGAGCACAGCAGGTAGGGCGTTTGCCTTGCATGCAGCCGACCGGGGTTCAATTCCCAGCATCCCATATGGTCCCCCGAGCACCGCCAGGAGTGATTCCTGAGTGTAAAGCCAGGAGTAACCCCTGAGCATCGCCGGGTGTGACCCCCCCCCCCAAAAAATAAAAATAAAAGGACTTGCAGGGACCAGAGTGATAGTACAGTGGTGAGGGTGTTCGCCTTGTATGCAGCTGACCCGGGTTTGATCTCTGGTACCCCATATGGTCCCTGGAACCCCACCGGGAGTGATCTGATGAGCACAGAGCCAGGGTTAAGCCCTGAACACCACTGGTTGTCGCCCCCCAGAAAAAGAAAAGAGATCGCAACTCACAGTTCTAAGAAACTAGGGTTTAGAGTCTAAATTATTTTGATTTTCGTCATACCAAAAATGTGACTGTGCCATGCCGGGCATCGAACCTGTCTCTCCCACACGCTGCTCGAGGCACCCCGGTACTTTTGAGCTGCGCGTTTGGAACTCTTTCTCCACTGTAGAACAATCCAGTAATTGTAGTTTAGCGTGTACTTTCTTCCATCTATCAAAGAAACTGAAAGATTGTTTCCAAAATTTTTCTATCTAACAGGGAGCGTGTGGGCCAAGGAGAGATTTCCACGAGCTAGCACGGGGCCAGGAAGGTGGCCAAAAGGGCAGGAGTAACGCTTTGCATTTCATCCCCAGACACCCTCCCAGCCGTGGCCCCCCAAGTGGGGCTCGTGGGTGCTGTGAGCTGCTCTGCGTGGGCTAGGGCCCTGGCGGCTGCTGCGTGGGCCTGACACGCCAGCTAGGAGTCACGCCTGGCGCCCTTGGGTAGGGCCCAAGAACCAAAAGGAGAAAGTATGTGATAATGGGTCTCTTTTTTTTTTTTTCTAGCCTAGCGGTAGGGCGTTTACCTTGCGCGCAGTCGACCCAGCTAAGCCGGGTTCGATTCCTCTGCCCCTCTCAGAGAGCCCAGCAAGCTACCGAGAGTATCTTGGCCTGCACAGCAAAGCCTGGCAAGCTCCCCGTGACATATTCGATACGCCAGACACAGTAACAACAAGTCTCACAATGGAGACGTTACTGGGCCCGCTCGAGCAAATCGATGAACAATGGGAAGACAGTACTACAGCCTTACTCCAAACAGGGCAGTTCTTGTGATAGTTTTGAAGGGGGACAGTTTTGAAGTTGCCTGTCCTGAGCTGCATTAGAGGAAGGGACTTTGCTGGAAACTAGACACTTGGTTTATTTAAATTCTTCTCTGACTCCCACTTTAAAAAGGTAACAGTATGAATGAACTATAGTTTCTCTAAAGCAGTGTGAACCTCGCTGTCTCTTATCATTCAGGCCACATCATCTTCTGCACTGTTTGAATGTTTTAAAATCTTACCTGAAAAAGTATACTTCTGATTCTTAAAAATCAGAAGATCTCTCTGAACCACAAATGTTAAGATCTCTTGATAATAGAACTTTCAGTTGTAGCATTTTTCGTAGATATCTTTATAGACGGTGCTGCTGTTAATAGTATTGACACCGTGTAAACAAGTATTGACACCGTGTAAACGAAAGGGTTTTTTGGGGGGGAAGGTGTGGCAGGGGGATGGGCATACATGGCTGTCCTTAGGGCTTACACCTGACAGGGCTCCTCAGGGGGCCTTATAGGGTGCTGGGGATTGAACCTGGACCAGCCACAATCGAACTCCAGTTGGCAAGCACCTCACCCATTGTACTATCTCTTGGGCCCTACAGCAAAAGTCTGTCTGTTAAAGTTCTGCAGATTACTTAGACTTGGATTCTGGGGAGGATCCCCTTTTGGCGTGGAGACTGCGTGTATGCTCACGTCTTGGAGAACAGAGCAGTCTTAGTCGACTGGTAAGAGCAACCGGTCCCGTTCAGGAGTACAACGCCCACTCGACCCCCTAGTTGTCCCCGAAGGCCTAACTGTAGAATATCACACCGGGGAGTAGGGAGTCGTGCATGGATGCGAAAGGGACATTGCATTCCACCCGCATAAGCAAAGTGGATTCGAATGTCAAAATGCACATTCATGTTGTCGGTGCTTGCCACGTCTGTCCTGTTTATGTAGCGAAGAATATGCATATAGTACCACTCAGAGATGTCTCTCGTTTAAGTGCCTTGATAATGCGTTGGATCTGCTTGTCATCTGTGAGACAACCGAGGGGAAAAAAAAAATCCCTGAGTTTCTCCTTCCCTTTCATCGTTTTCCTTTTAATTAGAAAAGACCTGCTTTTGCTGTGAGGTATACTAGAGGGGATTCTCCCCCCGCCCTTACTCCTTTTTTTCAGTAGAGGCACCCCTGGTGGTATTTGACCCAGCTTGTGCTTTGGGGACCGGATGGTGCTAGGTGGTGGAATCCTTGCCTCGTGCGTCCTAGGCATGAAACCACTTCCCCAGCCCTGAATTTTTCATTGGGACAGTCCCCAGTGGGGATTAAGGAGTCGTGGCTGAGACTGACTGTCCCTAACTCAGGGTTTTATATCTACCAGAAATGAACTCTCATCGCTTAAGCTCGGTGATGAGATCTCGGTGGTCCCGTTGTGTTTGGGGTCTCCCCAGCAGTGCTCAGAGGTCTGGGCGCTCCTTCTGCCCGGCTCCTGTAAGCCAGACACTTCAGTGCCTGGGCCTATTGATGCTGCAGTGCTCACGGCACCACGCGGTGCCGGAGTTTGCATTTCAGCCCGGCACTTGTATGGCAGGCACTCCAGCCGTCTGGGCTGTGTTCTTGGCCCTGCTCTGAGTTTTAGAACCAGTAGTTAGTTTGTTTATTTATTTATTTTGTAATTTAATTTTTATTAGTGAAACACCTTGAGGTACAGTTGTAGACTTGCAAACTTTTTTGCTTGGGTTTCAGTTATACAATGATCAAATACCCATCCCTCCACCAGTGCCCATTTCCCATCACCACGGGTCCAAGTATCCCTCCCCCCCCATTCCCCCATTCCCCCCCGCCCCCCCCCCCCCCCCGCCACCCCTGCCTCTGTGACAGGGCATTCCCTTTTGTTCTCTCTCTCCTCTTGGGTGCTGTGGCTTGCAAAAGAGGCGTTGAGTGGCAATCATGTTTGGTCTATAGTCTACTTTCAGCATGTATCTCCCATCCGGGGAGGATGCTCCCAACACCCTTTATTTGGTGCTCGCTTCTCTATCTTTGCTCCCTTTTCCCCTAGCATGTGTGGCTGGCCTCCAAGCCATGGAGCAAACCTCCTGGTACTAATCTTGGCCACCCTTGGGTGTTAGTCTCCTATTTTGTTACACCGGTAGTTTATTTTTATTGGTTTTGGGAGAAGAGGATTTGGACCACACCCGGAGGTGCTCGGGGATCACTCCTGATGGTAATCGAAGGACCATATGTGGTGCTGCAGGCCCCTTAGTTTCATGCTGTCTCTCTGGCCCTGTGACAGTTTAAACCAGTCCCGTCTTTGCCTCTTGGCATCCACTTAACTTGCTTTTCTCTTGCTCTCTGTTTCTTTGTAAATTGACTTAGTATGTGGCGGGGGGGGGGGGGGGGGGGAGGATGTTATCACATGATGGCACTCAGCTTGCTCTGGGCTCCAGGACTGTATGGGATGCTGAGAATCGACTCCAGGTGGGCCACGTGTAAGGCGAGCTTCCTCCCCGCCGTACTGTTGCTCTGGCCTCCGTTTTGTGATTTTCGAGCTCTTGGCTTTGGACATAGTAGGATTTTTTGTTAGGGTGCTTAGGTGTGATCATTAGAAGCTGACTGACATCAGTAGAAGCAAGTGCATCTCTGACCTTAGTACTCCGGCTTCATCACGTAGACCTTTTGATTCTCATAGGTGATAAGGCTAGTCACATCGGCGACTGGTAACAGCTTTGGAAGGAAATAATCGCTGAAACCAATCAAGTTTCTCGTGCCTTTCTTTTCCTAGAATAAGGCGAGGAGACTTGGTAGGGTTTTTGTTCCCGCAGAGGGTTCGGATTCTAAACTAGAGCGAAGTGGAATGAACAGAACGAAAGATTTGCAACCTACCTTTGCCAACCCCTCATTTCTTAGGACCCAGAGTTCAACAATACAGATCAGATTGACCTGTATGATGACGTATTGACAGCCACCTCCCAGCCATCAGATGACAGAAGCAGCAGCACTGAGCCACCACCTCCTGTGCGCCAGGAACCGTCTCCCAAGCCCAATAACAAGACCCCCGCAATTCTGTACACCTACAGTGGCCTGCGCAATAGGCGAGCCGCTGTCTACGTGGGCAGCTTCTCCTGGGTGAGCATGAGTGACCGGCAGGGGGGCGGGGGGCTAGCGGGAGAGCCCTGGGAGGTGATGGCATTTTCAAGACCACTGTTGCCCTGTTCTGTCCTCTGATGGGGTTGGATTTTTTTTTTTTCCCCTCCTTGGGATCAGGTTGGATTGATCTCTGAAAGAGAGCTATCCTGAGGACGTACTGGTGCCGAAGAAAGCAGTGATTCAGTGGGTAGTTGCTTTTGTCTGCCATCTTACTACTACTGACCCTGGCCCTGGGGCTTTATGTCCAGCAGGGTCCTCGGTGGGATGAGATTTCCTGGTGACCACCTTGAACTCTCTGGTGTTGGTTGGATGGTCCTGTTAGAGTGAGGGGTGACAAGGGCCAAGGACCTTGCTAGACTCTGGGGTCAGGCTCCAGAACACTCGGGACAGGTGGCAGTGGTTGTTCTGCTGCAGTTAACTTGTGGCACATTTGGGGGCGGGGGGTGGGGGGCTGGTTCCAGGTTAGGAAGGAGGTAGACTGAGGGGAGGATTCCTGGCAACGGTCAACTCGAGCCTTTCAAGTCTTAACTGCTAGTATGCAATCCTTAACTGATGGCTGGCCAACCCAGCGGTGAAACAGGCTCTCATCTTCCTCCTCTCGCAGCTGGGAGAAGGTGGTTGGGTTTGGAATTCGGTTGTGGGTGGAGCCGGGACGAAAAGCCCTCGCTGACCGAAGGCAAAGCCTCAGTAGGGTTTGGGGTTTCCTGTTGGACGTTTTGGTTGCAAGCAGACTGCTGAACGTGGGGGGCGGATGGGGGGTATTCTGGGTGGGGGCGGTGTGTAGCTCTTGACATTTCTTCCTTTTCCATCTTGTCGGCCCCAGTGGACCACAGACCAGCAGCTGATCCAAGTTATTCGCTCTATAGGAGTCTATGATGTGGTGGAGTTGAAATTTGCCGAGAACCGAGCAAATGGCCAGTCCAAAGGGTGAGGTCTGGATTGGAGAAGCCCCTTGTAGTTGGTAACCGTCGGTAGAACGGATCTGCCTTGTCTTTTGACCCGGGATTCTAACCCCTCCGACCCCTGCCCCAGTGGACTGCCTTGATTTTGGGACATTGCCAAAAGAGGGACGTAGTCGCAACGCAGCAGAACATCCGTCATACCGAATGACAAAGCTGACTCGAATTCCAGTCGGACAATTCTAGGCTGACACATTTTTGTTGGTGGAGTTGTGTGTGTAGCACTTCAGGACGCCCTTGGCTTGACCGATTTTTACTGCAAGTGGGAGAGACTTGTCTGTGCTTCTCTCTTCGTTGTCTGGTGGATCTCACTCATTTTTCAATCTTTCTTCCTCAAGGTATGCTGAGGTGGTGGTTGCCTCAGAAAACTCTGTTCACAGATTGTTGGAACTCCTGCCGGGAAAAGTTCTTAATGGAGAAAAAGTGGATGTGAGGCCGGCCACCCGGCAAAACCTGTCACAGTTTGAGGCACAGGCTCGGAAACGTGAGTGCGTCCGAGTCCCAAGAGGGGGTACGTGGAGACCATCTGTATGAAGCGGGGGGAGTTGGTGGGTTGGTTTTCCTGTGGTGTAGGCTCGGCCTACCCCGTGAAGGAGTTGGGGGTGGCTTGGGGTGTTGGTGTGGTCCGTAGGTAGGTCCAGAATGAGGCTCGGGAGTAAGCCAAGAGCCTGCTGCAAAACACGTCAGGTAGGTCTTTGGTGGTAGTTTGGGTTTCCTGAGTGACGTTGGGGACGGCGCTGCTCGGCTTGGGTTGTTTCCTCGTCCCAGCCCGCGACTTGACACCGATTTCATAAACGTAAAGATGTGTTTCTGTCTGGGCGATCTGGCTAGTCAGCGGGCCTAAGGCATGCTGCTCCAAATGGTCACCCTAAATAGGAGCTTAAATTGGGGGGAAGTTACCCCACCAACCGCCCACCAACCTGGCAGTGCTCAGGGTTCACTCCCGGCTGTGCTTGAGGGTCACCGTGTTTCGGGGGGAAACTGTGCTGTTCGGGGATGAACCTCCTGCAGGCAGGAGGAGCTCTCGGCCTCTTGAGCCACCCTGTGTCCTGGAGATAGAACCTGCAGAGTGTTTGTCCAGCATTGTCCCGCCCAAGGGGTCTCTTGTTTTTGTTTGTGTTGGGGACACATTCAGTGAGGCTCAGAGGTTACTCCTGGCTGGTGGTGTGCGGGGGATCATATGGGTTGCCGGGGATCGAGCCTAGGTCGGCCACATGCAAGGCAAGCGCCCTACCCACTTGGCTCTCTCTCTTAGGCCACAGTTGCCAGATCATTTCATGGCCTCGCTTACTATGTTCCCGTTGGTAAAGTTGTATCATGCTGTGATCGCGATAACCTTGACGTTCACTCCCTCGATACTAACTCTGCTCACCAAGTCACTTGTGATACTGATTTGATTTCTCCTACTGGAAAGAGAGTACCCTGACCAGCCGGCACAAGTATTCCTCTGCTTGGCAGTTACATTTCTCGTTGTAAATTAATACGTTGGTGTTGTGTTTTACGAATCAGTCTCTTGTGAGTTGGTTGGTGCGAATCAGTCGCTTCACGAGAGTCCAGCTGCTCCTTCCTCCGGGTTGCCTGACAGCCTTGTTTCTGGCAGCTCGCCAGGGATGGCGACATTTCATCGCCTGTGGTTTTTTTTTTTTTAATTTTTATTAGTGAAACACCATGAGGCACAGTTGTAGACTTACAAATTTTTGTGCTTGGGTTTCAGTTATACAATGATCGAATCCCATCCCTCCACCAGTGCCCATTCTCCACCAACCAATGATCCCAGTATCCCTCCCACCCCCCATCCCCTCCATCCCACCCTGCCTCTGTGGCAGGGCATTCCCTTTTGTTCTCTCTCTCCTTTGGGTGCTGTGGTTTGCAAAAGAGGCATTGAGTGGCAATCATGTTCGGTCTAGAGTCTACTTTCAGCATGGGTCTCCCATCCTGGGAGGAGCCTCCCAACACCCTTTATTTGGTGCTCCCTTCTCTATCTGAGCTGCCTTTTCCCCTGGCATGTCATCACCTGTGTTTTGCCCCTCCTAGGTGCTGTTCAGAATAGTGCTTTGTATTGATTGGGCCACTGGGACCTTGTTTGATTGGAGTGGGGTATTTGGCCACTCCCTGTGCATAAGATGACTCCATGGCCAGCCTGGGTGGGTGTGGTCCGGGGCAGAAGGGGCACACTTCTTTCCCTTGAGAACTTGAGTTTTCGAGTTCCCTACGTTTTAGACTCTCTGTAATTCAACCCTCTTCTGATTTTCCAAAGATGTTTATTTTTACACTGCATAAAGAATAATGTTTCTGGGCTGGAGAGGTAGTACAGCAGGTAGGGCTATTACGTGGCATGTGTCCGACTCGGTTTGATCCTCAGCACCCTATATGATTTCCAGATCCCCTCAGGAGTATCCCTGGAGTGCAGAGCCAGGTGTAAGCCCTGAACATAGCCAGGAGTGACCCCAAAACTTTAAAAAAAAAAAAAAAACAGTTTCTGCCTCTACTTGGCTGCCTGTGTCTTGTTATTGTCTTCGTTTGCTGAAACCATACTGATGATTACTGTTTATTTGCGCTGGCGCATATTTGGACTCGGGCCATGTTGATGGTGAACATCTCGGCTTCAAAATGGACGTTACTCTTGGGATTTGTGGCCCTCAGTACAAAACAGAACCCTTGCAGAAGGGAGACGAGTAGCCAGGAAAGCAGCTGGCTTGCAGAGGATCCTGCTTGCTGGTGCCTTCCTCTCTTCTCTTCAGTGTGAGCTTGAGGAGGGAGCAAACTGCCTCGTGTTTGCAGCATGAAAAAATGGAGTGCTGGGGCCTGAGGAGTGCCCAGCAGCTGGGGCCACGCCGCTGACCCAGGTTCCGTCCCCCACACCAACTGTGGTCCCCTGAGCATCGCTGAGAGGTGATCCCTGAGTGCAAAGCCAGAAGTAAGCCCTGAGCACTGCTGAGCATAGCCCAAAACCCAAAAAACAAAACAAAATTAAAACAAGAATGCTGTGATCAATCGGCACTGGTGGTTTTCTGTACCAGAGACACCGTTGGTGGTTGTCAGAAGCGACTCGTTCTACTTTACGGTTTAATCAATTTACAGACAAGTTTTTAATTTAAGGAGCATTGTTTTTCTCCACACTTTCCTGCTGTCTTTTTTTTGTTTGTTTGTTTTCCTTTGTTTATTTTGGACCCCACTGTGCAGGGCTTACTTCAGGCTCTGCACTCAGGGATTACTCCTGGCCGTGCTGGGGAGGACCACATGGGGTGTCGGGGATGGAATCCGGGTGGACTGCATGCAGAACAAGCGCTCTTCCCACTGTGCTATCGTGAGGGCCCCATATACTGGCATCTTTCTACCTTTACAGTTTCCAGTGTTCTTCCACAATCGTCAGGTTTAGAGCATTAAATTGGAGAGAAGACAGGTCTACCCAAGTGACTTGGCAATGTCAAAGCCCTATTTCCAGCTAGAAGCCATCTCTTTTGGCGGGGAGAGGTGGGGAGTGGGGTGGGCCCTATCTCATATGAGGTGCTCAAGCTTACTCCTGGCACTCTGCCCAGGGCTCGTTCCTGGTGGTGCTGCGGGGACCGTCAGTGGTGCAGGGGATCGAACCGGGGTTGGCCTGGCAGCATGCAGGGCAAGCACCGTGGTCCCTGGGCTCTCTCTGGTTCCCTGCGGCCTGGTTTGTGCTGCTGTCACGCATGCTGTCATTGCAGTGTGCTTTGGTGATACACCCGGTAGCCTGCCCTGTGGCCTGCAGGGTTTCAGAATACAGTGGGAGCTCTCCCGGCTTGCGGCAGATTTTGAACCACGGCTTCTGTTGTTTTCGGACCACACCCGGTGGTGCTCACGGCTTAGTCCTAGTAGGGACCACTCCCGACAGTGCTCAGGTGACCATTTGGGGAGCTGGGGATTGAATTCGGGTTGGGCGTGTGCAAGGCCAGCGCCCTGCCTCCTGTGGGACTCCGGCCTGTGCCCCGGTTTTGCTCGGGGTCCTCGCTGTCAGCTGTACTCATCTGCCCGTTTTGCTGGCAGAATTTCTCCACGTCTCTCCCGATTTTCTGTATTTTTGACTTCCCCTCCAGCCTCCTGTGCTTTGTTGTGCGTATTTCTTCCCTCTCTGGTTTGCCAGTTTTGCTGCCACCCACACCCTTTTCTCTTCCCCCCTAAATTCCCTGGTCATTCTTTTGCCGTTGCAAAAGGAGAATTCCCAGCGCGCAGCACAGTAGCGAGATCTCTGGTCCCAGTCTGAGATGCGAGGCTGTGAGCTCAGGGCTGTGGGGTGTCAGGTCAGGTTGACAATAGACAGATTGCAACACTTTCATTTTCTCATGGGTTAGTGGGATCCTTCTGCCTTTAAAAACATAACAGAAAAAAAAAAAAAAAGAACAGGGTGCCAGAGAGATAGTACAGTGGGTAACACATCCTGTATCGTCCCTGAGCACTGCCAGGAGTGATCCCTGAGTGCAGAGCCGGAAGTAACCCCTGAGCATCGCTGGGTGTGGTCCGCAAACGAAAAAGAAGAAAAAAATTGAGGGACAGATTAAGTGTGACGTACCAAGTGCTCTGAGTAGATGAATAGAGTGCTCTTTGGCACAGGGAGAGTGGGGTGGTTCTGGTTTCTCATACCATAGAAAACAGTATTTCTGTTTAAGTTAGCTCCGATCATTCTGTCTGTGCCAAAGAGAAGGCAGGAGATGGTTTCTCTTCTTTCTCAGCTGCCACAGTTGATGTCAGATGGCTCTGGAGGACGAACTGACTAGTCCCGTGGACGCGTTTAAACGTGGGCAGTAACGGGAGTTCTGTTTTGCTTCATAGGAATACCTCCAAGGGCCCACTCCCGAGATTCTAGCGATTCTGCTGATGGACGGGCCACGCCCTCAGAGAACCTTGTTCCCTCATCTGCCCGTGTGGATAAGCCCCCCAGTGTGCTGCCCTACTTCAGCCGCCCCCCTTCAGCCCTCCCCCTCATGGGCCTGCCCCCGCCCCCCATCCCACCCCCACCGCCTCTCTCCTCGAGCTTCGGGGTCCCTCCTCCTCCTCCTGGCATCCACTACCAGCATCTCATGCCCCCTCCTCCCCGATTACCTCCTCATCTGGCTGTACCTCCCCCCGGGGCCATCCCACCTGCCCTTCACCTCAACCCCGCCTTCTTCCCCCCGCCAAATGCCACAGTGGGGCCTCCACCAGACACTTACATGAAGGCCTCGACACCCTATAACCACCATGGCAGGTAAGAGCTGTCGTCTTGCTTCCGGAGGCAAGCCTGGCGTCGTCGGTTCGTCGGTGGTACTAACTAGCATGTCGCTCTCCCTGAGAAAGTCAGTGGGGTCGTCCCTTGGGTTGTCCCTGTTGTCGTGGCGGTGAGCCCGGGGAATAGTCAGCTCTCTGGTCGATAATGTTCTGTTGGTGTCTTGTTTGCATCTTGCCCTCTAGACCTAAGCCACGTCCCTCGAGTTACTGTTTACAAGAGCTTGATGGGGGGCCGGAGTGATAGCACAGCGGGTAGGGCATTTGCCTTGCACGCGGGCGACCCAGGTTCGATCCCCGGCATCCCATATGGTCCCCCGAGCATCGCTGGGTGTGATGGAAAAAAGAGAACACACAAAAACAGAATCGCTTGATGGAATTGAGTCCCCTCGGTGGCTGTTGGTTCACTCCTAGATAGTACGTGGCTTTGGGGATGGGAGTACAGCAGTAAGGGGTGTGCCTACCAGGCGCCTAACCCACACTGGATTCCTTGCTCCATGCGGGCCAAGGAAACTTATTGAGGGCAGCCTTAGAGACAGACCCAGGAGCACCCCGGCTGTCCTGGGTGTCTCCGGCACTTCAGGGCCGAAGCATCATCGTCACTGCCATTGCACCTCAGGCCTGGTTGGCTGAGAACCAGCAGTGGCATCTGGGCCTCCTAGACGCTGCTGGGGGAGTTGCCCACCCACCCCCCGCAAACACTCACCCCCCTCAGTCCCCCCTCCCATGTGACATCAGTCCTGCTTTGAAGAGAGTACAAGTCAGTAAACAGACTGAGAGCTGTGTAAGACATGGTCGAGGAGAGAGAGGTGCCATAAACTGTGATGGGAACCAGAAGGGGTGCGTGGACAGTCAGGCCTGGGATTTTCTTCTCCAGCCGGGATTCGGGCCCTCCGCCCTCTACAGTGAGCGAAGCTGAGTTTGAAGAGATCATGAAGCGAAACAGGGCGATTTCCAGCAGTGCCATCTCCAAAGCAGTATCTGGAGCCAGTGCAGGTAACTCACCCGCCCCTTGCCTGCCTTTTCCTTACCTTCCATTTGCCCATTGTGCTGTCATTTCTGTTGGCAAGTTCAACAGCCCAAAAAAAAAAGGAGCTCTGGGAGAACTCCAGTGCTATGATTTATTATTTATTAGTGATAACTAATGCCTTTGTGTAATACAAATCACCGTGTAATGCAAGACTACTAACACAATTGTGATCATGCAGAGTGAAATTCCTGCCTCCCATAGCACTGGGTCTAATGTCTATAGTGGGTTCCATGTTAGGTGTAGACCCTGGGATTTTAGGGATGAATCCCTCATCTCGATGATTTGTTGTGGAATCTGATTATATTTGGGTGTCTAGGCAGCGCTGGTGGCTTTCGTGCAGTGTATCCTAGGAAAAGGCATGTCTGTGGAGTGTCCTCTAAAGGCATAACATAACAGTGTGTGTATGTGTGCATGTGTGTGCATGCTTGCGTGTGTCTGTGTACGATGTTGGAAACCTAGAGCTTCAGCACTCCCCATCCAGGCATTTGTAACAATCATATTTAAGTACTTCCTATGAAATTCCTGTAGAAGTGTAAACGTAGACTGTCAGGTACCCAATAAGTAAGTTAACAGTAAAGAGTATCTTTGCTGTAACTGCTCATCTAAAGCTACTCAATTTGAAGAAAAAAAAAAAAGAGGATCTAGAGCAATAGCACAGCGGGTAATGCGTTTGCCTTGCATGCGGCAGACCCAGGTTTGATTCCCAGCATCCCATAGGGTCCCCTGAGCCCCGCCTGGGGTAATTCCTGAGTGCAGAGCCAGGAGGAACCCCTGTGCATCGCTGGGTGTGACCCAAAAAGCAATAAATAAATAAAGGTACAAAATTTGAATGCACACAGTAGATTAAAGAGGAACATCTTTTATTCTCCTTTTCCATAAAAAAATCTTCCTAGGTATCCGAACGAATCTCTTAAGGTCATTCATTCATCCTTAGGTTGGAGAGATAACGGGTTTGCCCCCTTGCGAACCCTGAGCTCTGAGTGCTGCTGGTGTTTGCCTTGCCTTCAGCGTGTGTGGTGCTTCGAGCCCCTGAGCTCCACTTGACTGGCTCCCACACGCCCCCTTCCCCAACAAAGACAGAGAACTTCATTGAAATTAGTCAGATATATGGAGGAGTATAAGGGCTGCAGGGGTCGGAGCTATAGTAAAGCGAGCAGGGTGTTTGCCTTGCGTTTGGCCAACCCGGGTTTGACCCCCAGCATTCCAAATGTTCTTCCGGCCTGGATTCATTTGCCACCATCCCATATAGCCCTCCCCCCCCCCCGCCTCAACACTGCCAGGAGTGATTCCCGAGTATAGAGCCAGGAGTAACCCCCGAGCATTGCCAGGTGTTCCCCAAAAGCAAAAACAGAAATATGTAATGTTAATAAGTTCTACACAAAGACCATGAACAAGATTACCTTTTGCAGTTCACCTGCAGGGTTTGGATTTTGCTGTTGATCCAATAACACGTTTATAATTGTGACTGCTCTTTCCTCTTGTTTTGGTTTTGACTTTGGGCCACCACTGCAGTGCTCAGGGGTTACTCCTGGCTCTGGACTCAGGAATCACTCCTGGTGGTGTTGGCGGGCCATATGGGATGGTGGCAGTTGAATCCAGGTTGGCTGTCTGCAAGGCAAGAGCTGTGCAGCCCAAACTGGAGTGATTCCTGAGTGCAGGTCCAGGAGTCACCTCCGAGCATGGCCGGCTGTCTCCCAAAAACAGACCGAAAAATATATTTCGGAGGGTCCAGAGAGATGGTGCAGCATGCAGGGTGTTTGACTGGCATGTGTCTGACTTGGGTTTGATCCCAGCACTGCGGGTGTTTCCTCTGAGCCCAGTCAATGCGGCAGAGCCAGGAGTAAGCCCTGAGCACTGCTGGGTGTGGCTCAAAAATGAAAAGTAAATTTTTAAAAAACATTTTGGGACATTATCCCAACATTAAATCAGAGTATCTAACATTTATTGATCACTTACTATGTACCTGATATTTTGCTAGTAAGCAGCTTGGATTACCTTTTTGATATGGAGATAGACCTCATGCTTTTTATTTGATTTATTCATTTCTACAATGCTGGAGATTGAACTGAGGACCTCAAACTTTCAGACAGGTGCTGTACTGCTGCGTCATGTCCCTGGTCAGACTTTTAACCACTTTTATAGTCTGCTTTTAAAGTGAAGATCCATGATTGATATAGCCGGACCCTGGTGGTGGAATTTCAGGTTATTCCTAATTCTTTGAGACACTGTACAGCCCGGAAACAGACTTGGCTAAACATGCATTCTTGTGCAGAAAAACAGGAAATTTTTAGAATTACTGGGTTGAAAAATAATGCATGTTGTTTATCTTAATGGATGTTGTCAAAGAGCCCTGAAGACAGTGGTCTGTCAGTTTATATCGTCTTGATTCTAAACTGTGTTTCCCACCGCGTGTCGATGGACTGGGGAGGGGAGAGGTGGGAAAGGCCTCTGGTGCAGCTGACACCACTGCGTTAGGTTTCCTGAGGTAGGATGGGGGTGAACCCCCGGTTTTATTTTTCCGCTGCCCCCCCCCCCCCCCGAAAACGGGCAGTAGTCCAGGTAAGTCAGCAAGCCTCCGCGCCGAGCCTGGGCGGGAGGGACCATCCCCTGGGTCTGTGGGGTGGACAGTGACTCCTGCGTGTGCCTCTTGGTGACCATCGTTTTGCTCAACCTGCCTTTCCCCTCCGCCCGTCAGGGGATTATAGTGACGCCATCGAGACGCTGCTCACAGCGATCGCCGTTATCAAACAGTCCCGGGTTGCCAATGACGAGCGCTGTCGAGTCCTCATCTCCTCTCTTAAGGACTGTCTTCACGGCATTGAAGCTAAGTCCTACAGCGTGGGTGCTAGCGGGAGCTCGTCCAGGTGAGTGCACGGTCGCTTCAGAAGGCCCCCGGGAAAGCTGTGCTTGTGGGAGGGACGTGCCGAGCTCTCGTCTTCAGGGTTCAGGGGAGGAATCTAAGCCTTTGCGGTGGCAGGTGTTTTGACTCGGTTTGGGCGGAATAGCTTACTTAGGGGGAAAGACTAGTAGCTAGGAAGATGGACTTGGAGTTAAATGTGCTTGGATTTGAATCCCGGTTACAGTTGTGGGTACCTGTAAGACCTTGAGGTTTTGGGGTTTTTTTCTTTGTTTGTTTTTGTTTTGGGTTTATTTATTTATTTTTTTGTTTTTTGGGTGACGCCCGGCGATGCTCAGGGGTTACTCCTGGCTCTGCACTCAAGAATTACTCCCGGCGGTGCTCAGGGGGACCCCATGGGATGCTGGGAATTGAACCCTGGTCGGCTGTGTGCAAGGCAAACGCCCTACCCGCTGTGCTGTCGCTCCAGCCCCACCCTTGGAGTTTTAAGTTACTCAGCTCCCTAAGCCTCACTTTTCATATTTCTAGAAAAGGGATAATAGCAGAATTTACCTTAGAGATGATGGGGAAATCATTAATATAAAGCTTGTAACTCTGTGTCTGACATGACCTGCAGGTTTAGGGGCTGGAGCAATAGTGCAACAGGTAGGGTTTGCACACGGTGGACCCAGCTTTGAGCCTCAGCATCCCATATGGTCCCCCAGCCTGCCAGGAGTCATCCCTGAGCGCAGAGCCAGGAGTAACCTGAGTGCCGTAGGGTATGTGGCCCCAAAACAAACTCAAAAGTTTGTGACTTATTCTCACTCCCTCCTCTCCAAAATATCAGAACTGGCATTCTCAGTGCGCTTCTGACGAGTGGTAAGAGAGCGGCTTGGGGCTGGAGCGATAGCACAGTGGGGAGGGCGTTTGCCTTGCATGCAGCCGACCCGAATTCGATTCCCAGCATCCCATATGGTCCCCCGAGCACTGCCAGGAGTAATTCCTGAGTGCAGAGCCAGGAGTAACCCCTGAGCATCGCTGAGTGTGACCCAAAGAGGCAAAATATAAAAAGAGCAGCGTGGACAGGGACCAGGAGGTACAGGCTCTAGTGACGCTCTTGGGGACACATGGGGTCGGCCCTCGGAGTGACGCCAAAGACGCTTTCCAATAGGAAAAGACATCGGTCCCGAGAGAGGTCGCCCAGCCGGTCCCGAGAGAGCAGCAGGAGGCACCGCGACCTGCTCCACAACGAAGATCGGCACGACGAGTATTTCCAGGAGCGGAACCGGGAGCACGAGAGACACCGGGATAGAGAGCGGGACCGGCACCACTGAGAAAGGTGGGAGCGGCCCCTCCCCGGGCCTTGCTGGCCAAGACTTCGAGCCTTCGGAAAGCAGTTAAGGGGAAGGGGAGGCACTCTGGCTCGGGGCACAGGGCCGTGGGCAGAGGCTGTAGTGGGGCTGGCCGCCCCTCCAGCTGGAGCACTTTCTGGTCTTTGGTGTCCTCGGTTGTGAGCGAAGGGAATAAAGTCATCTCCGTGGCTTGCGGAGTATCCGGGAGATAATCCATGTAGAGCGCTTGGTCCTCGTGGTGCTTTTCCATTCTCAGCAAGGGAAAGCTATTGCTGTGATCATCATTATAATTCAACGCCACCGAATTCTCAGCAGTTGAGAAAACCTACCAAGAGCAAAGGAAAAGAATTACCTACTTGGGGGGCTGGAGCGATAGCACAGCGGGTAGGGTGTTTGCCTTGCACACGGACGACCCGTGTTCGATTCCCAGCATCCCAGATGGTCCCCTGAGCACTGCCACGGGTAATTCCTGAGTGCAGAGCCAGGAGTAACCCCTGTGCATCGCTGGGTGTGACCCAAAAAGCCAAAAACAAAAGAATTACCTACATGGTGATTTTCAGGGTACCGCACTCACGATATTGAGTTAATACCAGAGACCAGAGAGAGAGAGTGCAGCGGGGACGCAGTGCATAGGTCTGACCTGGGTTTGGTCTCTGAGCACACCAGGAGTGATTCTCTGTACGGCGCCAGGAGTAAGCCCTGGAACAGCTGGATGTGCTCTCCAAATGGGAGAGTCTAGGAGGGGGAGATGCAGAGCTTTGCCGGGGGGGGAGGGGGGGGGAGCAACCAAGAATCAGACCCAGGCTGCCCTCCGCCCTGGCTCTCTGGGAAAGCTGACCTACGAAGGACTGTCTGTCGCTTTGGGTGCTGTGTGGGTGACAGTTCATTGAAGAATATCATGGTTTGAAGTTTGGGCTGGGGGGAAATACCTTACTGCTAGTAGCCCCCCCCCCTTTGTTTTCCTTAAAGGAAAGGAGGGTAGAAGGGACAGATTTTGTTTGGTTTATTTTGGTTTGGTTTTGGGGGCCAGACCTAGGGATGCTCAGAGAACCGCACTGTGCTGGGGATCAGATCTGTGTCTCCAGCCAGCAAAGGGTGCGGCCAGCCTGTTAACTCTCTCCTGCCCAGAGAGGACGGCATGACCCTGGGGCCAGCTGCATCCAGGGGCTCTGGCAGCGGGGCTCATCTCTGCATCTCTCAGCTTGGTTTGTCTCCTGGCCTCTGTGCGATGGTGGAGACGGCCCCCGTAATGACGGTGGGGTGCGTTCCACTCGCTTAGCAATCCCACTCAGAAGGAAGCTTTCGGAGAACATCGTTTCTCGTCTCTCGGCAAGAGCGGTTGGTGATCTCTGAAAGGAGTCAAGGCGATCTGGGGGGATGTCTATGGCTCCTAGGGGCACCACCTGGGTGGTTGCTTAGGGTCTCTTGGTTCTGTACTTGCAGACTTGGACTTCTGTGGGGTTTCTCATTCGGCGCGTTTAAGAGGAACGTCCTGGGGCTGGACACATGGTACAGTGGGCAGGCTCTTGCCTGCTGCGTGACTGACGCTGGTTTGGAATGTGGGTTGGGTGTTCCCTTCCTTCTCCACCTCCAGGTCTCCCTCCCAGCACCGCCAGGAGTGATTCCTGAATGCAGGGCCAGGAGTAAGCCCTGAGGTTTGCTGGGATTGAGGGGATAGGGACAGTGTTGGGTGTGTAAATGGATGAGTGGCTGCCACCTGGGTCCTCAGAGGTCACCAGCAATAGCCGAGACTCAGCGTTGAGAATCCTGCAGTATTTTTAAATAAGGGGCTGAGAGAGAGCATGGCTGTGCATGCAGCCAATCCTGGTTCTGTTCCTAGCAGACCTGCTGTCCTCCAGGCACTGCCTGGGTAAGCCCTGAGCACCACTGGGTGTTGCCCGCCCCCCGCAAAAGCCGGTGACTTCTGGATGTTCATTCCAGTTGTAGTTGACTGAGTTCTGGGATGGATCCTTGGACCCTAGAAAAGCCAGCCCTGTTGAAGGCAGCTCCAGGGAAAGGGCAGGGGTTCGGGCGGGTCTGTGAGTGGTGCCTGTCCTTCTGTGGCAGCCCGATTGCTTCTTTCCTGCCTGGGGACCCCTCAAGCTGCTGGTGTTGCTGCTGGCTTTGGTGGACAGCGCTGCTTCCGGGGCCTCAAAAAAGGTAGATTGCAGGCCAGAGTCCACACGGCAACTTGGGTGCTTGTCTTGCACACGGGTGGCCTGGGTTTGATCCCTCTGGGGTGATCCCTGAATGAAGACACAGAAGTCAGCCCTGAGTACAGCCGAGTGTGGCCCAAAAATCAATCTCTCTCTCTCTCTCTCTCTCTCTCTCTCTCTCTCTCTCTCTCTCTTTCTCTCTCCCCCTCCCTCCCTCTCTCCCTTTTTTAAAAAAAATTTTAAATTTCATTTTCATAAGGTTGTTCACATTAATGGATTACATTTAATATTTCAGTACCTACCCACCACGATTGTTTTGAATTTTTCCACTATTCAAGCCTGCCTGCCATAGGCAGATGGTAGATAATTTATTTTCTGTTGCTTGAATATCATAAGGGAGCTGGAGAGATAGCACAGCGGGTAGAGTGTTTGCCTTGCACGCAGCTGACCCGGGTTCGATTCCCAGCATCCCAGATGGTCCCCTGAGTACCGTCAGGAGTAACTCCTGAGTGCAGAGCCAGGAGTAACCCCCCTGTGCATCGCTGAGTGTGACCCAAAAAGCCAAAAAAAAAAAAAGAATATTATGAGAGGTTCTGCGGCCACAGAGTGGCCGTGCACTCCTGGAATTCTAAAATTGTAAATGATTGGGTTCCGGAAACGTCTCTGGAGGGAGCTAATCCACTTTGAGATTCATTTGTGTCTCTGGATCAAGGGGAGGCAGTTCTGGGGCTCAACATCCAGGCAGGGAGAGGACACCTGCTCCATCTGAAGTGCCCCCATGAAATAGGCTGGGCCCATCTCTCTCCCTCTTTCTCCCCAGCTCTCTCTGTCTCTTTCTCATCCCCTCTCCCTCTCCCCTTCTCCCGAAAAGGGGGTGGTGGGTTAAATAAGTTTGGGGACCCCTATTCTAGTATGACCGCTTCCCCTGATCTTGCCATCCACAGCGTGTCTGATGACCAGGGTGGTGTCACTTGATCGTGTTTGTGGTCACATTCAGTTTCCTGGTTAGAATAGGTAACTGCATGCTATCATCTCTGGTGGCTTTTATAAAATAGGCTGCTTCTCCCATTGTGATTCACTTTGGATAATTCTGGAAAGGCCTACAGCTCAGTAAGCTAGTTCCTAGAAAGGTGGTGCAGGCCTATGACAAGATAAAATAAATTCTGAGACTCGTTCTCTGGTTCGTGGTTGGTTTGGGTTTCTGTGCTTGTTGTTGTTGTTGTTTTTTCAGTTTTTTTTTTAGTTTTTTAATTTGGTTTTGGTTTTTGGATCACACCCAGAAGTGCTCAGGGCTTTCTCCTAGCTCTGCACTCAGGAATTATTCTTGGCAGGCTCAGGGTACCATATGGGATACTGGGGGGGTCGACATAGGTCGGCCGCATGCAAAGCAAGCGCCCTCCCCGCTATACTATAGCTCTGGTTCCTTTTGCATGTTTTTCCTAATTGCCCTTAGATGAACTGGAGCGATAGCACAGAGAGTGGGGCGTTTGCCTTGCACGTAGCCGACCCAGGCTCAGTTCCTCTGTCCTTCTCGGAGAGCCCGGCAAGCTACCGAGAGTATCCTGCCCGCACAGCAGAACCTGGCAAGCTACCCGTGATGTATACGATATGCCAAACACAGTCACAAGTCTCAGAATGGAGACGTTACTGGTGCCTGCTCGAGCAAATCGATGAACAATGGGAGGACAGTGCTACCCTTAGATATGTAGGCGACTCCATCTAGACGGTAATTCAGTCCAAAAATACTGACTTAGATGCCCCCGAATTCTCAACATTCTCATCCTAAAATTTTTCGCAAATTGTGGGTCAAGTGGTGGGTCATTGTCCCTCTGGGCGAGGGCCACTTCTCGGGCCGGAGACCTGCTTGGCCCACTGCAGGAGTCTTGGCTGGCTGTCTGTCTGCATTCAGATATTACCACCAGAGATAGCCGTAAGTTAGCTTTTTTTTTCTTTTTGGGTCACACCCGGCGATGCACAGGGGTTCCTCCTGGCTCTGCGCTCAGGAGTCACCCCTGGTGGTGCTCAGGGGACCATATGGGATGTTGGGGATCGAACCTGGGTCGGCCGCGTGCAAGGCAAACACCCTACCCGCTGTGCTATTATCACTCCGGCCCCCGTAAGTTATCTTTTAGGGACAGCAGATAAAGCACTTGCCTTGCACGCACCTTGCCTGGGTTTGATCTATCTACAGCATCCCATAGGGTCCCCTGAACACTGCTAGCTGCGCCTCAAAACACAATAAAGAATTGGGTGCTGTCACTTTTTGTGGTGGTGGGTTTTTTTGGGGGGGAGGGGAGCACACTCTACAGTGCTCAAGGCTTACTCCTGGCTTTGCTCAAGGGTCACTCCTGGCAGTGCCTGGGGAACCATCTGGGAGACCTGAGGTCAAGCCCAGGTCAGCTGCACGCAAGCCAGGTGCAGCACGCCCACTGCACTATGGCTCCGGCTGCTCCGGCCTGGATGTTAATGGGGCTTACTCCTGGTCGTGCTGGCGCCATGCAGTGCCAGGCAGGGCTCCGCTCGGGCCTCCTGCCTGTTGGCATGTTCTCTAGCGCCGCCTCTCCAGCCTCTGTGCAAACTGCACCCTTGTTGTTTAAGGACGCCCTCCGTGTTCGGGCCTCTTTGGTGTTTGGGGCTAACGGACTTGGTTATGTGCGCGCTTGATTTCTTACTCTTGTATCTCCCGTTTCCAGATTCCCCCTCCCCTTAAGGTAAGCTGTGTTTTGCTCAGAATAGATTTTCTGAAACGGTATTGACACCAGATTCCCGCGTAGCAACTTTTCTGATAATGCGGTAGTAGGTTCTGTATTTTCCTAGCCATGCCTCCTCTCAAAGCTGCTCGAGACGTCCTCTCACTGTCTGCCCTCCTCCTACTCTGAGATGTCACTGCTACTCTCAGCGATGTCACTGCTTTGTTCTCTCCACTCGCTGCCGCTTCCCCCAGCCATCGTCACTGCATCAGTGCCGGCTTCTCTGACAACCCTGTATTTACTTTACAACCTTTTTCTTTTTTTTCCTCCTCTCACTGTCTTTGACTTTCTTTTTTTTTCCCTTTGAGACCTGCATTCCTGTCTCTTGTCTGTATCTTCTGTTTTTTAATGTTGCAGTTTTTAAGGACCCGGGTGTGTGCTTTCTGTAAGCCCCTGTTGCCCAGAAGGAGCCTCTAACTTCTTTTCTCTTCTGATGTTCTCGTTGCAGGAGTCTGGTTGGAAGCAAATGTTTTTTTAATGGACTTGCATCTCCTCACCTTGATCAGGACTAAAGGACGGAGGCCACTCCACCCCTCCCCCTTCCTCCAGCCCCTAAAACTCCCTGCAGACACCCAGGGACACCCTCTGCCCTGCAGATTGAAGATGCCTGCCAGCCCTCCGGCCCCACGCCTCCCGTGGGCGAGGGGAAGGAACGCGAAGACTTCCGTGCGCTTGGGAGGGATGGCAGACAGCGCGCCGTGGCCAGGCCCCTGGTTTCCGTAGAGAATGGTGCTTTGTCCAAGGAAACCCGAGTTTCTGATTGTCCGGGAGCAGTTCAGTGAGCCTAACGGGAAGGCTCCTTCCCGCGGAAAACGCATCCTCCGTATGGGATCTGGGAGCGCACTGGGTGTGCCAAATCTGCCCAGGGTCCTGCCCTCAGCACTATGTTGGATGGGGCCAAGAGGGTCCGACCCCTTTTCTAACTCACCACTACTTTGTTTTAACTCCCTTTTCCTTCCCAGCCCTTGGGAAGGAGGGACCAGGAGACTAGAAATTGCTTTCGGAAAAGCGACTCCTGTTCTGGCTTTTCCTTCTTCCATAGTGACGGTTTGTTTCCCAGACCTCTCAGAGGGCTGAACCCTCCCAGCCTCCCGCTGCCCGGGCGGTCTCCTCGCCGGTGCCCACCTGGCGCCTGGCAGCCCCCAGGCCGCCCTCCCGCAGTGCCGGCTCCCCCAGCTGTCGCCTCTCCTGGTGCTTCTCCATGCCTCCCGGGTCTCCCTCCTCCCACCAGGCTGCTTCCTTGTTTTAGAGGAAGGCACAGCCCGGGGAGCCGGTGCCCGAGACCGCACCGCCAGGGCCCGGGAGGCGCCGGGAGGAGCCCGCGGCAGAGGCGTGGGCGTGGCCAGCCCCACAGGCTTTTCTGTTGTTTTCAGGTTTGATGTAAGCGTGGGCTTACATCCCCTCGGTACACTTTCACTTAGCGTGGGAGAACCTGGCGTTCGTAGGCAAGTCAAGTCGCAAATTTGGTGTCTTTCCACCTTTCCACTCCCAATAGCCCCTCAGTCTGTCCCGAGGAGCTTGGCCTGGGACGGGAGCTGGGAAACCACGGAGTCTGGCTGGAAGCCGCTCGGCTCTGCTCTGAGGACCCCCACTCGAGGGTCGGTTTTGGTTCCTTTTTTTTTTTTTTTTCTTAACATGGGCGGATGGAATTGCTTTTCCATGACATCCTCTCGTGGAGGGCACAGCAACAGGGTGTCGGGGTGCCCGGTTTGCAGGGCACCTGGCATCTGGCAGGAGGAGATGAGTGTGGGAGATGAGACTTGGCTACCCGAGAGGCAGGGTCACAGGGACGCGCGCCTCCGAGGGGCGAGGCTGAGCCGGTCCGAGCCCTTGCACTGATCAGCCACCGTGGGCAGTGCCCAGGGTCCGAAAGAGACGTCCCCTCGGGACAAAGGCTACATGTTGGTAGCTTTATCCCCCCCGGGACCCCGCCCCGTCCCTGCTCCTTCAGAACATGACACCCTGCCCCACCGGCCAAGAGTTAAGTGATGAATAGCTCCGGGTGTCTTTTTAAAATGTAGGAAAACCAAGTAAGGTGACTGTTTAAGGGGAAAAAAAAATAGAGAATACCAGAAAAGCTGTTTACCCAGAGAAATTTTTTTTCTCCCCAATTTTGTTTTTGTTTTTACTCTATGACACAAATTTTAGTTTAATTTCCTGATAGCAAAAAGGAAAAGAGAAAACCCAACCCTCCAAAAGGCCACGGCCCCGTCCCCTGCTGTCGGTGATTCGTTTGTCTTTCTGATAGGTTGAAAATTGTGTAATAAACTTGATGACGCTGTCAATCTTTTATACTGCATTGTATTTTTTTCCTTTTGTAACAGAATATTTTTAAATAATAAATGGGGTGTGAGCTGTTTGACGGATTCTGCATTGCATAGATTTGTCGAGGTGTCTGGGATACGGATACGGGCGTGGGTCAACGTAGAGGCTGTGGGTGGAGCGAAACTCAGTTCGTAGCTGGGATCCTGAGTGGGGCAGGAGCTGCCTGGGCAAACCTTTGAAGCTGGGGCCCCGGGGATGAGCCTTTTCCCTTCTCCATCCCCACAGCCGGTTCGGAGAATCCCGAGGTGTTCTTTCCCCTCCAGAATCCCTAAGATTCATTCTCAGAACATCCTGTTTCGTGTAGAGAGCGGTGATGTCAGTGGTTCAGGAAGACCGGACAGGAGTTAGGTGATGCCTGTCGGTGTCCACTTCCCCGTCTGACCACGGACAGCAGCATCACTTCAGTCTCCTCGGTAAAATGAAAACATTTGTGTTCTGCCGTGCACGCCGGGTTTCTGTGGGGAAACTGGATTGACATCTGTGAGGATCACAGATTAGTAATCGAACGAATTGATTCGAAGGCGAGTTCCCTTGGGTGTGATACAGAAGTGTAGGGAAAAAATAGTTGGAGTGCGTGTCTAGACAAGTGTAGGGTTTTGTTTGCTCTGGTGCGGGGACTCATTTGGGGCCTCAGACCCGAACTTGTGCCTGCCCCTCAGAGCTCTTGAAGCTTGCTAAAATGCTACTGTTGTCTGTGCCAATCTCTGGAAGTCTGTGTTTCAGGTTCCAGATGCCTTTAGGTAAACTGATGTGTGCTCTTCAAGGAGGAAATACGTTCAGTTTCATCTTCACCTTCAACTAGCAGAAGGTACATGTTTCACAGGTGGAAAGAGAATGGCCTCCGGGTTACCTCCAGCTTCACATCCCAAAGGCCGTTCAGAACAGGTTGCCCTTTAGAAATCTGTTAACACAGCTCGATTTCTTTGTGCTTCCAATCATTGTCTAGATCAGATAGACTAAGGCATTGGATAAATACTTCTCTCCAATTTGTTGCCATAGAGTCGAATCTGAAACCTGAATCCATTGTGTGGAAGGTTTGATTTTTGGGCTACACCCAGTATCAGGACTTATTCCTGGCTCTGTGCTCAAGGAGCAATCCTGGAGCTGTGTGTGGGTTGGGCTCCCATGTGGGGCTGCAGGGATGGAACCCAGGTCAACGGAGGGCAAGGTAAGTACCCTATCACCGTGCTCCAGCCCCAGTTACGTTTCCTTTTGAACTAGGCTGGACTGTGGCCCCAAGTATAGCCCCTGCTGTGGCAGCATCTGACCAGCTCAATGCTCAGTTCTCCCCATCCCAAAAGTGCTGGTCACCTTTGACTCTGGGCCTCTGAGGGGCTTCCCATAGCACTCCAGGAAAAATCTGTCCACGCAGCCCGCAAAGAGCAGCCTCACAGTCTGCTGGCCTGTTTCTGTTGTCGGCATCGCTCAGGATTTACTCCTGGTTCTGTGCCTAGGACTCAGGGAACCAGCATGGTGCTGGGGATGGAGCCCAGATCAGCCAAGTCCAAGGCGAATGTCCTACCTGCTGCACTCTCTTTCTGGGCCCTGGTTCTGTTGTATGTTCTGTTCTCGTGTGGTTTTCATTCATGCAAGTGGCTGCAACAGGTACCTGGACTGGACGTTCCTGGACCCACTAACCCCAGGACACTGTGTACTAAGCCTTCAGATTACAAAAAGGAAGTAAGAGGACTTGCTGTTGTAATCAGAACCTCATATTCAGCCCTTCATTCATCTTCAACTAGTAGCTGTTGCACGGGATTTACTTCAGACTGAGATTTTATTTATTTTTTTTGCGTCACATCCGGCAATGCTCAGGGGTTACTCCTGGCTCTGCACTCAGGAATTACTTCTGGTGGTGCTCGGGGGATCATGTGGGATGCTGGGAATCGAACCCAGGTTGGCCGCGTGCAAGGCAAACGCCCTACCCGCTGTGCTATCACTCCAGCCCACCCAGACTGAGATTTTAGACCATTTTTCTTTTCCTTGGTTTTTGGGCCACATCCAGCAGTGCTCAGGGCTTAATCCTGGCTGTTGTGCTCAGGGATCACTCTTGGCATTGCTGAGAAACGATATGGGTGCCAGAGATAGAACCCGGGTCAGCCACTTACAAGGCAAGCACCTTACCCACTACTAAGCCTTTGGCCTAAGACACTTTCCTCTTTTCACTAACAACCCAAGTGCTATTGTTACCTCTAAGATTGCAATATGAAGCAGTTTGATTAAATTGATCTCTAAGGACCCTTTAGAACCTGGCCCTTTATTAGCTAGTCTGGCCCCCAGTCTTTTCTTTTTGGTTTGGGACTAAGCCCAGCAGTGCTCAGAGCTGGTTCCTGGTTCTACACTCAAGCTTCATTCCCATCTGGGCTCAGAGGACTCTGGTACCTAGAACTGAACCGGGACTGCAATGCATTGTAAGTATTTAACCCTCTACACTGCAGCCTTTTTTTTTTTCATGCTGGAGATCAACCCAGGGCTCACACATGTAAGGTTTATCCCCGGTTTTAAGGCCCCTTTGAATTCTAACAATTATTAGAAGCCTTCTCTAAACTTCCTTTCCCTAAGACCACTGGCTCTGCAGTCATTTCTGTGTTGCTTGCAGGGGACCTTAATTACTGACGCTCTGAATGAAAGAGGCCGTGGAGAAGAGGTCTCCAGTTCAATGCTGACGATTTTTCAAAAAAAAAGTCTGGGAAAGCAGAAAATCAGGGTATTATGGGGCTTGTGAGCAAAATATCAGGGAAGTTCCTGTGGAAATTTTTGTCAGCTCTCATGTTGGATATATATGGTCAGAATTTGGATCTACCCAAGGATCGCTCAGTAGCAAGGGTTCAGTTATGTAACTGAAACCCAATCACTAACTGTATCTCACTGTGATTCAAAACAAACAATTTACAAAACAAAGAAGGGTTCAGAAAGGGGTAGGGAACAAGAAAAAGCACAGGTGCTAGCACAGCCAGCTCTGCCCAGGAAGAGAAGAAACCTTGGCAAAGCGGGTCACAAAGTAATCAGAATTTTGTTTTAAATATGGAACAAAGAAAAAACACGAGAGGTAAAAAAAAAGGAAGAAAAAACACCATGGAGTGCTTAGAATCCAATGATTTTGTGTCTTGAGTAGGCAGCTATTCGAGGGTTCGTCTGACAGGCGGAGGCACCGTCTGGCTCAAGGTTTCCGAAAGTGGAATCATCAAGGTGGTTTCTTGATACTAAAAAAAAAAAAAAGTGTCCACGACCAAATAAGATGAGAAACTTTTTAAAGAAGGTTATTTGGAGAAGAGAATTTAGGGCAACATTTGTCCAGCTTTAAAATTTATATGTAGGATTTATATATAGGGGCTGGAGAGATTGCACAGCGGGTAGGGCGTTTGTCTTGCACGTGGCCGACCTGGGTTCGATTCCCAGCATTCCATATGGTTCCCTGAGCACTGCAGAGCCAGGAGTAACCCCTGTGCATCACCAGGTGTCACCCAAAAAGCAAAAGCAAAAAAAAAAAAAAATATATATATATATATATATATATATATATACAGAGTCTCCTGCCCCCGTGCTGGCTGTCCTCACCAGGGCCCCTTGGAGGGAAGCGTGTTGAGTTTCCTCCTCCCCTCCACCCCGAGCAGAGCCCTAACAGCCAAAGACCTCCAGAACCAGCCACAGCCATGCTGAGACCACTCTCCACATGTCTGGACAAGCCTCATGCATGAAGGAACTGGCAGCGGAACCCAGGCATGTGGGTCCTGGGGCTGAGATCTCCAAGCCTGCTAGGATCGGGACTAGGTCTTCTCCACCCAGATCCCCCATCTTCCAGTAGGTAGGCGTCACACCCACTAGCTGCTGCCAGCGCCAGGTTGGTCCCATCAACGATCAAGACGCAGAGACTATAAAACCCAGCTCCCGGAAGAGAACAGCACAGTCTCCTGCCCCTGCGCCTGGCTGTCCTCACAGGGGCCCCTTGGAGGGAGGTGGGTTGAGTTTCCTCCCTCCCCCACCCCCAGCAGAGCCCCAACAGCCAAAGACCTCCAGAACCAGCCACAGCCATGCTGAGACCACTCTCCACGCGTCCGGACAAACCTCATGCATGAAGGAACTGGCAGAGGAACCCAGGCATGCAGGTCCCGGGGCTCAGATCTCCAAGCCTGCTCGGATTGGGACTGGACCTTCTCCACCCAGATCCCCCATCTTCCAGTAGGTAGGCGTCACACCCACCAGCTGCCGCCAGCACCAGGTGGCTGCGTAACATCTTATTATCTCATTCTTCCTTTGGAGAACCTGGCAGGCTACCAAAAGTATCCTGCCTGCACGGCAGAGTCTGGCAAACTCCCTGTGGCATACCCAATATGCCAAATACCAGTAACAATGATGGGTCTCATTCTCCTAACCCTGAAAGAGCATTGAATGTGGCTCTTTTAAAATCTCAGGGCTGGGGCTGGAGCAATAGCACAGCGGGTAGGGCGTTTGCCTTGCACGCAGCCGACCCAGGTTCAATTCCCAGCATCCCATATGGTCCCCTGAGCACCGACAGGGGTGATTCCTGAGTGCAGAACCAGGAGTAATCCCTGTGCATAGCCGGGTGTGACCCAAAAAGCAAAAAAAAAATAAAAATAAAATAGGGCTAGGACGAAGGAGATGTTACTGGTGACTGCTCGAGGGAATCGATGAACAACAGGATGATTGTGATCGTGATATATATGCACACATATACATATTTATATATATATATATGTTCCTTTTATGTTAGCATGGAATTTTACAATGATTGTCTTCCCCGCCCCCCCAAAAAAAGTAAACTTTGGGGTTCAGAATATGCTTCTTCCAGTTGCTCAAGCACCACCCTGGAAAGGAGCTGACAGTGACCTAGAAGAGTAGGTGACAAGGTGCCAGCCTTGGCAGAGGTGAAGGGTCCGAGCCTTCTTCGGCGTGAGCATGCCTGCAGTGACGGAGTCAGGCCAGGCCGGAGCTGGGGTCCCAGGTCAGGGAGATCCTTCCTCCTGCCTGTGGCCACACTGGTGACCCAACACAGCCCCGAACAAACTGGCAGGTTAGGCTCGGATGGAACTCTGAGCAGTGGGTGAGGTGCCGAAAAGAAAAGGCTGTGACCCCGCGCGAGAAAATACACGTTTAATACAAAATAATGTTTCATGATGAGGGTAGAAGAATAACACTGAGCTGCTAAGAAAGTTCTGGAGCCCAGTCTCTGAGGAGGGGCATCTGCGTCACTCTGGAGCGCTGTCCCCAGACCAGTGTGGCACGGCACTGTGGTGCGGGGCGTCAGGGCGGATCCCGCTGGAAGCCCAAGGACCTTGTGTGAGCCCCGAAGATGCTTTGGCCACGGTGACCAGAGAGGACAGCCTGTGGTCAGCAGGGGTTTGGTTTCTGGGAAGGACCCGGACAGGGTCAGCCTCTCCCCTCCCAATACTTAGGCTGGTCGTGAGGGAGCAGATGGTGCCCAGTGGCCTGATGCGGGCTTTGCTGCCCAAAGGTCCGTGCGGAGGAGAAGCTGCGACTCTCCCAGGCCGAAGTGACCCGCCGGTTCTCACTGGGGTGGTATGTGTGGTCTCGGTCCAGGAGATTCTTGTACTTCAAATCTTGTCCAGACTGAGGGAGAGAGAGAGAGAGAGAGAGAGAGAGAGAAAATGTTAAAAGACCAGAGAACTGGGGCTGGAGTGATAGCACAGCAGGTAGGGCATTTGCCTTCCACGCAGCCCGACCCAGGTTCGATTCCCAGCATCCCATATGGTCCCCGGAGCACAGCCAGGAGTAATTCCTGAGTGCATGAACCAGGAGTAACCACTATGCATCGCTGGGTGTGACCCAAAAAAAAAAAAAGACCAGAGAACTGCTGGATTCTACAGGCCAAGTCTCTTGGCCCCAGAGAACAAGAATGTCTTCCCTGCAGGGTGATGGACGGTCTAGCCCAAATGGGACAGTCCCATGGAGAGCTTCTCCCCCTCCAAAGTTCTCCCGCCCTGCCAGGATCTGGAAGGAGAGTGACTCCCTCCCTGGGTCGGGGGGCACCCGCCCCCCCTGGGGCGACCTCCTCTGGCGAGAACGGCCCAGTGGCGCCCTACCCGCTGTACTATCACTCCGGTTCCAGAAACTTACCTGGAGAATGCGGCCAGGGTGAGCACCTCCAGCAGCAGCTCGGTGCCGCAGAAGAAGAGCAAGATGCAGTTGAGGACGGCCTCCAGGCGGAGCGCATAGGTCTGCAGCAGCAGGTAATAGGCGGCCATGGTGGCGCAGGGGAAGGTCAAGGCCACGCTGATCCCAAGCGGCATCTTGCGTTGGCACAGGTTGCCCTTGGAGCCTGTGGGACACAGCCCAGGGCATCACCTCGGAGGAAGGCGGGTGGGATGGACGGGCGAGGTGGGGAGGTGCGGGTCCATCCCTGGGCTCCCGCCGTGAAGAGTCAGCGGCTTTGGGAGAAGGGACCGGACTGGAGCCGTTGATCCCAGTCCGGTTCCTACACCGGGATCAAAAGGCCCTTCACTGGGGGGAACTTGGAGTGGAGCCTCCCACGCGGTGCTCAGGGGCATCACAGCTGGCTGACACCGGGCCAGATGCGCCGGCAGCTCAGTGCCTGGGAATGCAGATGTTCAGGCCCTGCAGTGCTTGGGGCCTCCGGGCTACCCCTGGATGTTTGCCAGGTGGTGCCAGGTCAGCCATGCGCCCTGACTACTGTTCTGTCTCCCAGTCCCTGCAGAGGGAAACTTAAAAATGATGTAAAGAAGATTACTGAAAGATTTTCAACTCATATATAGAATAATAATTTTTTCTCTGCTTTTTGGGTCACACCCAGTAATGCTCAGGAATTACTCCTGGTGGTGCTTAGGGGACCCTATGGGATGCTGGGGATTGAATTCGGGTCAGCTGCGTGCAAGGCAAACGCCCTACCTGCTAAACTATCACTCCGGCTCTAGAAAAGAATTTTATAAAAAGAGAAAGTGAAGGGGCTGGAAAGATAGCACAGCGGGTAGGGCGTTTGCCTTGCACGCGGCTGACCCCGGTTCGATTCCCAGCATCCCATATGGTCCCCTGAGCACCGCCAGGAGAGATTCCTGAGTGCATGAACCAGGAGTAACCCTGTGCATTGCCGGGTATGACCCAAAGAGCAAAAAAAAAGTAAAATAAAATAAAACAAAAAAGAGTGTGAAGATATAAAAGCCACAAGAGTGTGGGACTGCAGAGACCCGCATCTCATCTCATACCCTCTTCTAAATACGTCCTCTGAAACCTCTTCATCTGATGGGTGACGACGGGGCCTCGTTTCAATGTGTGTTTTGGGAGTCTGGCCACTTTATCATCTTTATTGGTCATCTGTAATTGTTCCTCATGGGAACTGTCTTTTCGTGCTCCTTACCAATTTTAAAATTAGGTTGTCTTCTTTAGTGACTTAATGTGAGCCGTGATATCCTTTTCATGTTGCGAGTATATTTCTCCCTAGGTCTGTGGCTTAACACGTTAGGGATGAAACAGCCTAAGGAGAGATTTACGCTGTATTTCTGGGGATAAAAAAAATGTGTCTTGTCTTGGGGCTGGAGCGATAGCACAGCAGGTAGGGCATTTGCCTTGCACGCAGCCGACCTGGGTTCGATTCCCAGCATCCCATATGGTCCCCTGAGCACCGCCAGGGGTAATTCCTGAGTGCAGAGCCAGGAGAAACCCCTGTGCATCGCCGGGTGTGACCCAAAAAGCAAAAAAAAAAAAAGGTGTCTTTTTGCACAGCAGTGGAAGGATCTCAGTGCTAACCTGTGTGGACATGGACAGTCCTGGATGAAAGTTACAACTGAACCTATTCTCCCCACAAGCCAGTGAGAGGAACCATTCTTGCAGCCGAGAGGGTACTAGGTAGTACCTCATGCCACCTCCACCCCCAAGTCGCAGAAAACAACCAAGGGGCAAATCTGGCCCCCGATATGAAGTAGGTTGTGAAGGGAGAGGGGAGGGTCAGTAATGGGGTATAATTAGATCAGATCTCCATCAACTTAACAGATCCCAGGAATGCAGAGTCTCCGGGCAACTCTCACCAAAAAACAGGCGAATGACTTCAATTCCAAGATACAGGAGCAGCATCGTCACATCCAGGACCAGATTGGCTGTTGGGTACGGCAGTAGCAGACCTGCCCGGACAAAGGCCAGAGCTGACCAACACAGAGGCACCCACAAGAACCCACAAGAACTCACACGCTCTTGGAAACAAAGGGGCCGCCAGTCGAACCTGCCGTCCCTTGGGATGTGGGCAGGGGCTGTTTAACCTGCAGCCAGGCGACCGTACGTTACTATGAGGCCGCCATTCCCCGAAGTGATCAGATGTGGGTGAGGGCACAGACTAGCAGAGTTCAGGGGAGAGGTAACGGGAGCATCAGAATGGAGAAGCCCATTGGGGCTGGAGCGATAGTACAGCGGGTAGGGTGTTTGCCCTGCACGTGGCTGACCAGGGTTCAATCCCCGGCATCCCATATGGTCCCCCAAGAAGCAGCAGGAGTAATTCCTGAGTGCAGAGCCAGGAGTAACCCCTGAGCATCACTGGTGTGACCCAAAAAGCAAAAGGAAAAAAAAAAAAGAATGGAGAAACCCAGGGGCTGGAGCAATAGCACAGCAGGTAAGGCGTTTGCCTTGCATGTGGCCGACCCGGGTTCGATTCCCAGCATCCCATATGATCCCCCGAGCACTGCCAGGAGTAATTCCTGAGTGCATGAGCCAGGAGTAACTCCTGTGTATCGCCGGTGTGACCCAAAAAGCAAAAAAAAAAAAAAAAAAAAGAAAGAAACCCATACTTCCCTAGAGCAAGAAACGCTTTTCCAAGGAACTGCTCTCTAGGAAGCTGTCTGACCAGGTCACTGCAAATAAGGAGGCTCTTGGCAGAGGAAGCTCTGGGTGCAGGTGGGGAAGGCGAGCCCCAGCCCTTACCTTTGTACAGAAAGATGAAGAGTTCCAGCAGGAAGTAGGCCGCAATATACCATCGGTTCAGAGAGAAGAGGATTTCCAGCGGGGTGGAGGACAGCCGCTTCCCTGCAGGGTGGGCGGAAAAGCGAGAAGAGGGATGGGCCGCGGGCCTGCAACGCTCCAGCCCATCTGCATTGCTGCTGGGGCTAACGGGGAGGAAACGAGGTCGCACCTGCAGCGACCTGGGGGACCCTTCTGAGGGCTAATGAGGGTGTACTGGGGTGAGGCCCTTCCAGCCCCACCATTCCCCAAGAGGCAAAGGCAACTCTTGGCTCCAGGGAAGAAAGTCGGGACCCAATAATGGTTCCCTGAGCATCACCAGGAGTGATTCTTGAGTGCAGAGCCAGGAGGAAGCCCTGAGCATCACCGGGTGTGACCCAAAAAGCAAAGAAATAAATAAATAGAATTGGGGGAGGGGACTGGAGTGATAGTTCAGCGGGTAGGGCGTTTGCCTTGCACGCAGCTGACCCGAGTTCACATATGGTCCCCTGAGCACCGCCAGGAGTAATTCCTGAGTGCAGAGCCAGGAGTGCAGAGCCCTGTGTAATACCGGAAGTGACCCAAAAAGCAAAAAAAAAAAAAAAAAAGAAAAAAATTGGGGGGGCTGGAGCGATAGCTCAGCGGGGAGGGCGTTTGCCTTGCACGCAGCCGACCCGGGTTCTATTCCCAGCATCCCATATGGTCCCCTGAGCACTGCCAGGAGTGATTCCTGAGTGCATGAGCCAGGAGTATTCCCTGTGCATCACCGGGTGTAACCCAAAAAGCAGAAGAAAAAAGATCGGGGCCAAGCTCCTTTTCCAAGAGCTCATCCCCCGACACTCCTGGGGGCGCAGACCAGTACTGGCTCCTTCCAGGCCACGCCACGAACCGGTATCGGAACCGCCCGGGACCGACGCGGGGATAACGGACTCCACCACCCCCTCCCAAGACGCCTTCGGGGGGCGGCGGGCGAGGACCCCTCCCACCCACCCACGCCCGGGGACGGAGGGTCCGGGGCTGGCGCTGCGGGGACAGCAGGACGCGGAGCCAGGGTGGGCGGCGAGGTGATGGGGTGACGGCGGTGGGCGGCGAACCCGCGGCTCCCACGCCCCCGACGGCTCACCTCGCGGCGCCATCTTCAGTCTCCATGGAAACTGCGTCCGGCGCCGCCACGGCCGCTCCCGGAGCAACGAGGCGCGGCCGGAAGCGCGGGGTAGAGTGGCGTCGGCCTGCGGGTCCCCGGCTCCCCCCCGCGCCGCACTCTATGGTCACACGGGCCGACGGCCCTCCCTGCGCGCTCTGCGCCTGCGCGGGCCCGAGCGCGGCCGCCAGGGGCTCTGGCTGCAATTCCTGTGCGGCTGGGGGAGGGGGAGGGCCCCAGGACTGGGGCCCCGGCGCGGGGGCCCGGCTTCGTGCAGTGCCTCCACCCCCCGGCCGGCCGTGCACGGCCGCGTGAGCTCAGGACTGGCACACAAGCGCGTGTCCCGTGATGTTCTTTCCGTTTCGCGGTCCACAGATGCAGAGGGGTGTGCGGGGATGCTCTGCAGATGCGGAGGGAGCGGGGGTGGGTGGGCACGCGTCTGCACCAGACTTTCGTGCTGGCGATTAATCAGGCAGCTGGGACGAGCCACCAGAAGGAATCCCACTCGGAGATTGGGATCCTGGGAGCACTGTGAGGCGAGCACACGAAGGTGGCCCTTGATGGGCTCCTGATCCAGACCGTCTTGGTGGGGGATGGGGAGAGTCCTCCCTACTGCTAGGCGTCGTACTGAGAGATGCGTCTTTGGGAAGCCTGTGTTTGGAAGCGCAGACGCCCCCGCCACCTCCCGGGGGAGTGGGGGAGAAAAGGCTTGAGTGGGCTTGGATGGACTTGGCTGTCTCCCGTTATCAGGCGGGACGGGATAGAAAACAGATGTGCGGCCCAGGGTGGACTGGCGGACCTCTAAGCCAAGTGCTGTCCTGGCCAGCCAGCTGGGGAGGGAGCTGGGCAGGGGCTGCTACCTCTTTGCGCAGAAGGGAAACGACAAAGCAGTTCCCTGAGCTCGGGAGAAAGGCTCAGGGCAGCAGAGAAGGTGGGGAGCTCTGTTTGCTGTCACTGTTCCTGGGGTTGACCCCATATGGGCCCCTGAACCCTGCCAGGAGTGATCCCTGAGCACAAAGCCAGGAGGAAACCCTGAGCATCCCCGCTGTGATCCAAAAACAAATAAAAAAAACTAGTAGGGCCGGAAACCAAAACAAAAAACCCAACAAAACCAGAAGGGCATTGAGCCAGCCTGAGGAGCTAACAACTCCTCCTCTTCCTCTTCCTGTATGGACCCTGCCACTTGGGCCATCACCCCAAGACCTAACTTTTCTTTTTTTGCTTTTTGGGTCACACCCGGGGATGCACAGGGGTTACTCCTGGCTCTGCGCTCAGGAATTACTCCTGGCGGTGCTCAGGGGACCATATGGGATGCTGGAAATTGAACCCGGGTGGGCCACATGTAAGGCAAATGCCCTACCCGCTGTGCTATTGCACCAGCCCCCGAAAGAACTAACTTTTTAAGGTATTCTCCCCTTATTTTTATTTTTGCCTTCTAGAAAGAAACCCATTTGGTCATGGTATTTGGTTTATAAGATCCTATGATTTGGTTAGAAAATAAGGGACATACCCAGACCAGAATGGTCAGTGGGCTGCCGTGCACATTTTGCAGGCAAGAGGTGCAGGTTCAGACCCCAGAACCACATACTCCCCCTGAGCACTGAGCGGGGAGTAACCCCTGAGCACTGCTGGGTGTGGTCCCAGAACCGAACAAATCGGACTGGAGAGTACAGGGTCGTTAAGATGCTTGCCTTGATGTTGAAGAGATAGTTCAGCAGGTAAGGTCCCCACCTAATCAGGGTTCAATCCCCAGTATCCCATATGTTCCCCTGGGCCAGCCAGGAGGGATTCCTGAGCACTGAGCTAGGAGTGAGCCCTGGGCACAACTATGGGTCAGTCCAAAACAAAAGTGCCTGCCTTGGCAGCTAGAGCAATAGTACTACGGGTAGGGTGCTGGCCTTGCATGTTCCCGACCCTATTTCAGTCTTCCTCAGCACCCCATAGGGTCCCCCAAGAGGTGCCAGGAGTGAACCCTGAGTGCAGAGCCAGGAGTAAGCCCTGCACATCACCAAGTGTAGCCCCCAAACAAAAATGTGTCTTGCGTGTGGATTGTGGTTCAATCCCTGCTACCGCAGGGTCTCAAACACCACTGAAGCGATCCCCCACATGGAACAGAGTACCCCAAGCACCACGGGCATCCTCCTCCCCGCCCCCCCCCAGCCCTCCCCTCCCCACACAATAAAGGACAGAGCTGGCCTTGAAGCTGCTCTTGGAAATCCTTGGAAGGTTGGCCTCCGGGCTCACATTTAAGACCCGAATTTCAGAATTTCCACCACTTCTAAGAGGCTCATTTTGCATGGACTGCAGAAACCGTGCAGTGGACACCGAACCCCGCTTTCCTTATGGGGTGCTAGGGTCAGAGGCCAAGCAGAGGTTACTCAAGAGGCCAGGCTGCCACAACAGTCCCGGACACTGGATCTCTTAACAAGCTTTCCCGGTTGACAGCATTTCACCCGTGAGGTCAGCACTTGCTTGAGGCATGAACGTCCTTGGGATGTCATGGAGGTGACCCTTGGAAGCTTCACCCCTGGTTCCCTCTAGATCTCACAGGAGTGCTCCCCGAGCACAGAGCCAGGAGTAAGGCCAGAGTACCACTAGGTGCACCTTCTACATTTGCGGAGTTTGCTTTTTTTTTCTTCTGGTATTTGGACCACACCTGCCAGTGCTCAGGGCTTACTCCTCTGCATTCAGGAATCACTCCTGGCAGGACCCTGTGGGATTCCAGGGATCAAAATCCGGGTTACTTGGCCGTGTGCAAAACAAGTGCCTTCCCCGCTGTTCTATCTCTTGGGCTCCCGAGTTTGCTTTGTACCCTTTGACTTAACAAACCGTTTAGTGATCTGTGACCAAGTTATCAAATCCTGAGATGCTCTTGAGGACTCCTGACATGTGTTACCCATTTTATATATTACTCTAGTTATTCTTGTTTACTCTCGTTATTCAGAGTCTCCTGCCCCCATGCCTGGCTATCCTCACCGGGGCCCCTTGGAGGGGGGAGGGTTGAGTTTCTTTCCCCCCCTCCACTGCCCCAAGCAGAGCCCCAGCATCTGAGGACCTCCAGAGCCAGCCACGGCCATGCTGGGACCACTCTCCACATGTCCAGACGGGCCTCATGCATGAAAGAACTGGCAGAGGAACCCAGGCATGCAGGTCCCGGGGCTGAGGTCTCCAAGCCTACTCCGATTGGGACTGGGCCTTCTCCACCTAGATCCCCCATCTTCTAGTAGGTATGCGTCACACCCACCAGCTGCTGCCAGCACCAGGATGGTCCCATCAATGGCCAAGATGCAGAGACTATAAAACCCAGCTCCTGGAAGCACGCCGCCGCAAATGCGGCCACGCAACATCTTATTATCTTTTTTTTTTTTTGGAGAACCTGGCAGGCTACCAAAAGTATCCTGCCCACACGGCAGAGTCTGGCAAACTTCCCGTGTCGTGTTCAATAATACCAGTAGCAGTGATGGGTCTCATTCTCCTAATCCTGAAAGAGCATTGAAATGGCTCTTTTAAAATCTCAGGGCTAGGACGAAGGAGACGTTACTGGTGCCTGCTCGAGGAAATCAATGAACAACGGGATGATCGTGATCGTGATCGTGATTCTTATTTTATTTATGGGGGTGGGAGTGTCACACCCTGCTGTATTCAGGGCTCACTCTTGGTTCTGCACTCAAGGATCATAACTCTGGCAGGATCTTAGGGGACCATTTAAGCTTCGGGGCTCAACCCGGGTCAGTAACATGCGAGGCGAGCACCCTGCCTGATGTGCTGTTTCTCCTGCCCCTCATTCTAAGTCCTTTTGCTCATATTTTTCTCCAGTTTTTACAGGTCTTCTGAGAGAGACTGATTAGTAGTTTTACTTTTCTGGGGAGTCATACTTAGGGCTCCCTGGGGTGAGAGAGATAGTACAGTGGGTACATGCTTGCTCTGCACAAAGCTGACCCAAATTCAATCCCTGGCACCTCATACGATGCCCCAAGCCTGCCAGGAATAATCCCTGAGCACAGAGCCAGAAGTAAGTTCTAAGCACCTGAGTCCCCCCAACTAACCAAAAGAATTTACAGTTTAAAACATTTTTCTCTATTCCCCCCCCTCCATGATCTATGTATTTCTGGTTTTACCTTTCCTCTTTCTTCTAGCATTTCTACCGAGTTGGGTTTAGGTTGCTCATTTAATGGTTAAGGTGAGAATTTAAAACTTTAGATTTTCATTTCTCCTGTAAGCTGCCTCTGATGCATTTCATTATGTTGTATCTTCATTCACAGTCACAGTCCTCCCGTTGTTCATCGATTTGCTCGAGCGGACCCAGTAACATTGTGATGTTACCATGTTTGGCATATCGAATATGGCACGGGGAGCTTGCCAGGCTTTGTCGTGCGGGCGAGATACTCTCGGTAGCTTGCCGGGCTCTCCGAGAGGGGCGGAGGAATTGAACTTGGGTCGGCCATGTCGGCCGCATGCAAGGCAAACGCCCTACTCACTGTGCTCTCGCTCCAGCTATTATTCAATAATAATTATTATTATTATTATTAAGTGCTTCCTAACTTATTCCTAGCCTACTCGCTGATCGCTGGATAATTTATCGGGGTGTAGTTATTTCTATTATTAATTTTGCAGTGCAGGATCTCACATCCTGAAGGCGGATGCTCTGTCTCTGACCTGCACCCCTGGTTCCACAAGGTTTTATTTCACTTCTGTGTAGTTGTGGTTTCCAAGTGCAGCTGTTGTGGACGTGTTACCTCTCCCCACCCCCAGTCCCCGTCAGTCCTCGTCCATGACTGTCGTCATCAGTGTCAGTCTAAGCTTTGTCACTAGAGGGCAGTAGAGAGACACAGCAGGAAGAAAGGAGTTTTGTGTGTGTGGTTTTTTTTCCTGGTTCCAGCATGCTGAGCGGTTTGTTTTTGCTTTGGGGGGCCCCACCCAGCATTGCTCAGGGCGTATTTCTGTTCTGTTCAGTGATCACTCTTGGCCGTGCTCTGGGGACCTTAGGGGATGGTACCAGGGATCAAACAATGGTCAGCCTGGTGCACCCTACCCTGTTCTCTCTAGCCTGTTTTGTTTGTTTGTTTATGGCCACACCCAGTGGCAATGCTCAGGGCTTCCTCCTGGCCCTGCACTCAGGGATCATTCCTGATGAGTGCAGGGTTCTGATGGGAAGGCCAGCGTCCAACTGGCTGTACTATCCCACCCTTTTATTAATATATTATTATTATTATTATTTTACTATATTATACCAAATGTAACCTGCCCACAAGGCAGAGTCTGGCAAACTCCCCGTGGCATACCCAATATGCCAAATACCAATAACAATGATGGGTCTCATTCTCCTAACCCTGAAAGAGCCTTGAATATGGCACTTTTTAAAATCTCAGGGTTCGATTCCCTGCATCCCATATGGTCCCCTGAGCACCACCAGGAGTAATTCCTGAGTGCAAAATCCAGGAGAAACCCTTGTGCATCGCCGGGTGTGACCCAAAAATTAAAAAAAAAAAAATCTCAGGGCTAGGATGAAGGAGACATTACTGAGGCCTGCTCAAGGCAATCGACGAACAATAGGATGAATGTGATCGTGATTCTTATGGTAATTGTTATATATTTTTAATTGAATCACCGTGAGATGCAGTTACAAGGCTTTCATGTTTGAGTTTCAATCCTACAATGATCTAACACCCATCCCTCCACCAGTGCACATTCTCCACCACCAATGTCCCTAGTATACCCCCCACTCCCTTTCTAACCCTCCCTCTGCCTCCGTGGCAGGCAATTTTCCCCATACTCTCTATACTTTGGGGCATTGTGGTTTGCAGTAACAGATACTGAGAGGCGATCACGTTTGGTCCTTTATCTACGTTCAGCACACATCTCCCATCCAGAACGATCCCTCCAACCATCGTTGTCTTAGAGATCCCTTCTCTGTCCCAGCTGCCTTCTCCCCCAGCTCATGAGCTAGGCGTCCAACTATGGGGCAACATTCCTGGCCCTTGTGTCTACTGCTCTTGTATCCCGCTCTTTTGATGCTCAGGGCTTACTCCTGGCTCTGCACTTAGGGATCACTCCTGGCAGGGCTCAGAGGATCATTTATTTGGATTGCTGGTGATTGAACTCAGATCAGCCACGTGCAAAGCAAGTGCCGCCCCTGCCTTTATTATTAAGTTTTTTTATTTTTGCTTTTTGGGTCACACCCGGCGATGCTCAGGGGTTACTCCTGATTCTGCACTCAGGAATCACCCTTGGCAGTGCTCAGGGGACCATTTGGGATGCTGGGAATCGAACCCGGGTCAGCCGCGTGCAAGGCAACCGCCCTACCCTCTATGCTATTGCTCCAGCCCCCTTATTATTAAGTTTTGCTATGGTTGTGAGGGCCCCACTCAGTGGTGGTGGTGGGGTGTGTATGTGTGTGTGTGTGTGTGTGTGTGTGTGGGAGGGAGGGAATCATGTGGTGCTAGGGATTGGTCCCAAGGCCCCACACATGCAAATCATGTGCTCCGCCACTGAGTCACTGAGTCACCCGCCCTCCTTTGCATTGTGATGCTCTTGCCCATGCCGGGAGAGACACTACAGCTCCCGTATCTGCAGGCCAGAGTCAGATTCCCTGGATGTGGTGCTCAGTGGCCATTTCATCCTCTTTAGCTGCAGATTCATAGGACACCCGACTGTTGCTTGCTGCACGGAGGAGGTGTAGGGAACAACGCATCTGACCATAAATAGTAGACACTGAGGCTAGCTCAGAGCACGTGGAGGCCCCTGAGATTGAACTTCTGGTCTTGTGCTTGCAAGAGCTTTCAGCCTCCTGGTGCGTGCATCTGCATAAACATATATGTGCACGTGTGTTGTGTTTGTATGGGTATGGTTAGAATGCGTGTATGTGTGAGCATGTGCGTGCATGTGGTGCGTGCATGTGGACATTAGTGTGTGCATGCATGTGTGTGTGTGTGTGTGTGTGTGTGTGCGCGGTGCCAGTGACGTTGAAGGCAGGTGCTGCACTGTTATGTCCCATTTCCCTTGGCACTTTTCCTTCGTCACAATGTTCTGAGTGGTTGCCGGAGAGACGGTACAGCAGGTAGGGTGCTTGCCTTGCACGTAGCCTACTCAGGTTCGACCCCCAGCATCCCGTAGGGTCCCCCAAGCACCGCCAGGAGTGATCCCTGAGTGCAGAGCCAGGAGTAACCCCTGAGCATCACCATGTGTGGCCCCCAAACCAAAAATGAAGAAGTAAATTGCATAACATGCATCTTTTTTGTTTGTTTGTTTTGTATTTTGGGACCTCACCCAGCAGTGCTCAGGGGCTATTCCTGGCTCTGCTCAGGAGTATGAGCATCCTGGTGGTGCTGAGAATTGAACCAGGGTTGGCAGGATGCAAGGCAAGAATTTTATGAACATTATTGTTTGGTTCTGGGGCCTCTGGCATTGCTTACGGCTTACTCCTGTTTCTGTGCTCAGGGATCATTTCTGGTGGGGCGTAGGGGGCCATATGTCGTGCCGGGGATCGAACCCACATATAGCAATCCCCTCCCCAGACTTCAGAGCCAAAAATGCCATGGCGACTTTAAAGAAAACAGCTGTGAAGACCAGAGATTCATTTAGCTGTGACTCATTTTGCGGCACGGGAAAAACTGCCTATCCTTCAGGGATTGTGGCAAGGAGTAGGGATTACAGTCTTCCTGAACCAGCTTTCTGGAAAGAATCGATCAGAATTGTTATTTGGGGAGCTGGGGAGACTTTGAAAGGCAGAGTGCGTGCTTTGATGCAGGGGTCCAAGTTCAATTTCTGGCACCTCCTGGTGCCCCACGCACTGCAATGTCCCCCACCACGTCAATTTTTTCCTTTTTGTGTGTGGGGGGGAGCCACACCTGCTGGTGCTCAGGACTTCCTCTTGGCTCTGTGCTCAGGGATCATGCTGGACAAAGTCAGGTAACATAGGGGATGCTGGGGATTGAACCCAGGTTGGCTGTATGCATGGCAAGTGCTCTCTCCGGCCCCCATCTTTTTTTCTCTCTTTTTTACAGATGAAGGTGGTAATAAATATGCATGGTGACTATTTTTGGTTTGGGGGCCACCTCTGGTCATGCTCCATCGTCACAGCGATGCTCAGGGAACCAGGTGATGCTATGGGTTGAACTTGGGGTTCCCACATGCCAGCTACCCCTTGTCCCATCTCCTGGCCCCTGAGAGTTTTCTGGAGCACAGCTGCGTTGCCTCATTAGGTACCCCCCCCCGGGTCGTGTTCACGTCCTGGAGGGGCCGGCCCCCAGATCTTGCCTAAATGGGCCTTCGCAGGAGCAAGCTGTCCTCGAGACTGCTGTGGATCTAGAGATGAAGTTGCTGAAGCAGTGGAGATGGAATGTGGCCTTGTCTTCATGCCTCTGCCTGGGAGCTGAGAGACTTTTGTCCCTCCGGCCCCGGGGGCTCCGTGACACTCACTCTGATCAGGGGGGGTCGGAGACAGTACACAGAGTTGGGGAATGGGATTGCAGCAGGGAGCTCTGTCCATGGACAGGCCCAGACTAGTGGACGGAGGGTGAGTCAGGTCACATGAATCTGGGCTGATCTGTATGGTCACTCGCTGAGGTCTGCTGGGTTCGCCCAGGCCATGGCAGCTGCCCAGCCGTCCCGCAGCTGACCACACACGGCGGCAGGCCCAGCAGGAAACCTAACCCCACCCCAGCCTGAGACACCGAGGCTACGTAACGTCTGCTGCTGCAGGCTTAGGGCTGACTCCTTCTCCGTCAGAGCAGACAGGTACCCTGGGCACACAACCTGGGAACATTTCTTTTGCCCAAATAGGCAAAGGGTTTTATTTTTTTTTTCAGGCCACAGCAGGAGATACTCAGGGGTCACTACTGACTCTATGCTCAGGGCTCACTGCGGGCTTTGTGCTCGGGGCTCACTCCTGGCTCTGTGCTCGGAGCTTACTCTGGGCTCTGTGCTCAGGGCTCACTCCCGGTTCTGTGCTCAGGGCTCACTCCTAGCTCTGTGCTCAGGGCTCACTCCTGGCTTTCTGCTAGGGCTCACTCCTGGGCTCAGTCCTGGCTCTGTGCTCAGAGCTCACTCCTGGTTCTGTGCTCAGGGCTCACTCCTGGCTCTGTGCCAGGGCTCACTCCTAGCTCTGTGCTTGGGGCTCACTCCTGGCTTTCTGCTAGGGCTCCCTCCGGGCTCTGTGCTCAGGGCTCACTCCCGGCTCTGTGCTCAGGGCTCACTCCCAGTTCTGTGCTCAGGGCTCACTCCTAGCTCTGTGCTCGGGGCTCACTCCTGGCTCTCTCCTAGGGCTCACTCCCGGCTCTGTGCTCAGGGCTCACTCCGGGCTCTGTGCTCAGGGCTTACTCCGGGCTCTGTGCTCAGGGCTCACTCCTGGCTCTGTGCCAGGGCTCACTCCTAACTCTGTGCTCAGGGCTCACTCTTGGCTTTCTGCTAGGGCTCACTCCTGACTCTGAGCTCAGGGATCACTCACTCCTGGCTCTGTGCTTAGGGCTCACTCCTGGCATGCTCAGGGCACCAAATAGGGTGCCAGTCAGCCCTGGGTCAGCCCCCTGCAAAGCAAACATTATTCTTATTGTACTATCTCTCCGAGCCCCAAAGGAACATTTTTATACTTTTGAGGCAATTTAGGCATCAGATGAGGGAGCGACAAAGTCTGAATGAAACACAAGTCTGGAATTCCAGGACCGGGGCAGAGGATGAACCACACATTTCTACACAGTTCCCTTGGACTCCCGCGGGACTCCGTAAGTAGCTGTATCTGTCAGGGTGCAGACCGTCTGCCGGGTACGGTGAGAGAGGATGCCGAGGCAGGACACCAAGGAGAGATGAGACGCACACAGACTCCACCACTGGTGGGGGGGAAAATGTCAATTTATTTCCTCTTTGTAAAAAGTAAAAAAGTGGGGGCTGGAGTGATAATACAGTGGGGAGGGCGTTTGCCTTGCACACGGCCAACCCGGGTTCGATTCCCAGCATCCTATATGGTCCCCTGAGCACTGCCAGGGGTAATTCCTGAGTACAGAGCCAGGAGTAACCCCTGTGCATTGCCGGGTGTGACCCAAAAAAGAAAAAAAAAAGTAAAAAAGTGGGGGCTGGAGTGATATGATAGCACAGCGGGGAGGGCGTTTGCCTTGCACACGGCCGACCCGGGTTCGATTCCCAGCATCCCATAGGGTCCCCCGAGCACTGCCAGGAGTCATTCCTGAGTGCAAGAGTCAGGAGCAACCCCAGTGCCTTGGATAGAAAATCCAAATGATGTCTCAGTCTGGTGAGTGAGAGCAGAGAGCCGCTCTGCTCTCTCAGTCTGTGTGATCCGAGGGACACCCTGCTGGGCTCCTGGGCCAGGGTGCGAGCCCCGGAGTCTCTGGGAAAAGCGTGGAGGGCAGGATGTGTGTGTGTGTGTGGAGGGTGTGGTGAGGAGTTGCTGGTGCAGAACTGAGTGGAGGCCGGAGGGGCCCCTGCGCTCTGCACTGGGGTCTCCTGGCTGCTGTGCCCTTCCCAGGCCTGTTGGAAGCTGGACCAGCTGCATCCCGGGGGGGCCTGGGTCACGTGTGCCTTGGTTCCAGCAGAGCGCCGCGGTGCCTGTGACTGTCAGGAAGGAAGGGCATCCATCTGTCCGCGCGAGGGGTGGTGGTCACCTTCGGACCTGCAGGAAGGCCTTGCGCAGCCACAGCGAGTCCTGGTAGAAGCGCGGGTCTCCCAGCCGTACGGCCGCGCGCTTGTAGAAGTAGCAGTACAACACGGCCGCTGTGGGCAGGGCGGGCGGGCTCAGGTGAGGGAGCCCATCGAGGCAGGCAGGTGGTGAGGGGCCCGGCCGCCCCCTTCCCCAGGGAAATGAAGCCTCCTCTTGGCAGTTTAAGGGAGCCTGGGACAGACCGTTACTGCCAGAGCCCGCGGACCCTCCAAGAGGGGCCTGCTGCGGCCTGTCCTTACCTAGTCTTTGGAAGACAAACAGCGTCTGTAGTCCATCTGTCCAGACGAAGCGTTGGGAGTTCTTCCAGCGCAAGTTCTGAAGGAAATGGGGAGAGGAAGAGGTGAATGACCAGCTTGGGCCTGAAGATACCCAGCTAGCTGGCCACCTGGGAGGGATCCGTGTGGTTTAAAATCATGTTCAGGGGGCCCGAGTGATAGTACAGTGGGGAGGGCGTTTGCCTTGCATGCAGACGACCCGGGTTCGATCCCCGGCATCCCACAGGGTCCCCTGAGCACCACAAGGGGTGATTCCTGAGCACAGAGTCAGGAGGAACCCCTGAGCATCGCTGGTGGGACTCAAAAAGCAAAAAAATAATAATAAAATAAAATTATGTTCAGAGGTGGAGCGATAGCACAGCGGGGAGGGCGTTTGCCTTGCATGTGGCCGACCCGGGTTTGATTCCCAGCATCTCACATAGTCCCGAGCACTGCCAGGAGTAATTCCTGAGTGCAGAGCCAGGAATGACCCCTGAGCATCACTGGGTGTGACCCCCATCCCAAAATCAAACTTCCCCCCTCAAAAAAAAAACCCAAAAAACAAATCACGTTCGGTGCACCCTCCTTCTTCAACCCCCACCCTGACTTTGCAGTTTCCCAGAGGAGCCTTAAACTGCCTTTCTCCTTTTTAATTTTGGCTGCAGAAGAAACAGCCTTTATTGTAAATCCCGAGGAAGAGGAAGCTGGAATGATGATATTAATTTCCTTGCATTCCACGGTCTTGGCCAAAGGGATACATATAATCTCAGGAGGTCAACTGGTCAGGGTCTTGCCGAGAAAAGTCCTGGGCTCAGCTCCTGTCAGATAAAGGCCGCCTTAATCAGCTTAGTGGCCTCTGTGTACAAAGCTGGGACATTTTGGGCTCCAGGAAGCAACTGTGAGTGCGCCCTCCTGCTGACAGGGCGGCCTCTTCAGTGGGCGCTCCAGGCTGGCTGGCACTGTGGATCGGGGGAGGAAGTACCGGGCCACCCTGGAGTCTTACTGTGAGCCATCAAACGGGAACACAGGCAGGAGGGAAGGAGCTGACTTGGCATACAGAAGATCCCGGTTCAATCGCCAGCAGTACACTCGGGGTCCTGGGCACCACCAGGAATGATCCTTGCACACACGCACCTGGGTCTAATCCCCGGCACCCCATAAGGGTCCCTGGGACCCCACCACGAGTGACCCTTGAGCGCAGAGCCAGGAGTAAGCCCTGAGCACCTCTGGGTGTGGCCCAAAAACCAAAACAAAACCAAAAAAAAAACAAAAAGACATACAAAATAAACACCCCCCCAAAAAAAACCAATGGGTCTATGAGAAACACACAAGATACTCAGAGACAGAAGCATCTGTGAAGCAGGAAAAAAAAAACAAACAGGAAAAAAAACACCCCAGGGGACTGGAGCCATAGCACAGCGGGGAGGGTGTCTGACTTGCACGTGGATGACCCGGGTTCAATTCCCAGCATCCCACAGGGTCCCCTGAGCACCGCCAGGAGTGATTCCTGAGTGCAGAGCCAGAAAGAACCCCTGTGCATCGCCGGGTGTGACCCCCCCCCAAAAAAAACAAGCAAAAAACCCAAACCACTCCAATCCCAAAAAAAGGCCACAAAAGGGGATCCACTGAGAGGGCAGCAGGGAGAAGGGCATGGGCAGCGGTGCTGTGTGACACTGATGCCCACAAACTCCACGTCCCAACACTAAGCCGAGCCAAAGAGCCGACAGAGATTCACTTCCTGACCCCGCCCCTGGCAAGCCTGTCTGGGGGCAAAGGTTGAACAAGCCGAGAGGGTTCAGTAGCATCGCACTACAGCGCGGGCTGTCTCTTCACTGCACCAGAAACGCTCGCTGGCCCAACTCCAGGCTTTAGCCGCGGCCGTTTTGCTTTGCCCGGGATCAAATCCAGGGGCTCACACATGCCAGGCAAGCGTTCTGCCGTTCAGCGCCATCCCTGGCCGCGTCCAGCTCCCAGGCTGGACTCCACTGACCTCACCTCCGTCCTCGAAAAGACTCTGGGCCGTGTGCACAAAAAGGGCGCCGGGGCCCAGGCAGACGCGCAGACGTGGCTCCCAGCCCGCTCGGGACTCAGAGACTCCCCGACCTGCTCTTACCATGACCCAGACATGGAGGGAGATGCTGAGGGCGAGGTAGACCACGGTCAGGATGATGGTCCCTTTGAACTTATGGAACAGGAGGCTGACCAGGCCGGCCTGGAAGACGAAGGTGTTGAAGAACATGAGGCAAATGATGATGATGTTGAAGAGGATGGCCACGTCCTGGATGCTGTGGGCAGACGAAGCACAGTCACGTGGAGCCTGTGTGAGGACCACGGGTCGGGCCTAGTCCTCAGGGGACCGAGCAGGTCTGGCTCTGGCCTTCTGGGGCTCCGGGCCCCTGAAACCTCCTTGCAAACACGGGCTTTCTTGCTTTTGCGGCCGTGCGAGCTCTCATGATATTCAAAATGAGCGATGGAAATTACATTATCTAGCGTCTGCCCCTGGCAGGTAGGCTTGAATGGTGATGGGAAAATAATGCCTAAAAGTAGAGAGAGAAGGGCGGGAGTGATAGCACAGTGGGGAGGGCGTTTGCCTTGCACACGGCCGACTCGGATTAGATCCCCAGCATCCCATATGGTCCCCTGAGCATCGCCAGGAGTAAATAATTCCTGAGTGCAGAGCCAGGAGTAACCCCTGGGTGCATCACCAGGTGTGACCCAAAAAGCAAAAAAAAAAAAAAAAAAGAGAGAGAGAGAGAGTATTGAGGAAATTGTCTGCCATAGAGGCAGGGTGAGGACTAGGAGGGGGGATGGGGAGGGCGGAGGGGGGGTTAATACTGGGGACACTGGAGGTAGAAAATGTGCACTGGTGGGGGGATGGGCGTTTGATCATTGTATGGCTGAAGCTCAAACAGGAGAGCTTTGTAACTCTATCTCACGGTGATTCAATAAAAAACAAGAAACAAACATGGGCTTTCAGCTCCAAACAGCACAGAGCTTCAGGGCTGGAGCAATAGCACAGTGGGTAAGGCATTTGCCTTGCACGTGGCCGACCCGGGTTCGATTCCCAGCATCCCGTAGGGTCCCCCGAGCACCACCAGGAGTGATTCCTGAGTGCATGAGCCAGGAGTAACCCCTGAGCATCGCCAGGTGTGACCTGAAAAGCAAAAAAAAAAAGAAAGGAATAAAAAAAAAGAACAAACAGCACAGAGCTGAAACGACCCACGGGCCCCACTGCTCGGGGCGTTCCTTGCCCTCACTCAGCTCGACGCAACTACCCGGTGCTTGTGAGAAGTCCATTTTCTGCCGCCTTCCAGATGATACCGACCCGTTGGGCCTCGAGGACGTTTTTATCAAGCGTGGCAGCCAAGCCCTGCCCTGATCTAATCACGGCCGGTACCTGAGTGGCTCCCAGACCTTTCCTATGTCCCCTCTCAACCCCACCACCTCGAGTAGCTGGCTGTCCCCCTCACAGGGGACAAGTCCTCGTGGTCTCTCCCCGGTAGGACAGACGCCCCCTGGGAGCAAGGCCTCGTCACGGGTCCGGTTGGCATGTCGGTGGCCTCTTGCTGCAGGCACATGGACGCTGTCAACTTTGCTTTGTGTGTGGCCGCCTCCAGAAGCCTCCAGAAGCCGATCAATCCCAGGAGGAGACTCGCCAACAGCTGCCCCGTGTTGGGGTTCATGTGTATTTGTTTGTTTGTTTGTTTTGTTTGTTTGGGGGTCACACCTGGCAATGCTCAGGGCTTTCTCCTGGCACTGCACTCAGGAATTACTCCTGATGGTCCTTGGGGACCATGCCAGGAAATTGAACCCGGGTCGGTTTTGTGCAAGGCAAATGCCCTCGCCGCTGTTTTTATCGCTCCAGCCATTGACTGTCCTTCTCACTGGCCACGTTATTCTCTCTCTCTTTTTTTTTTTTTTGCTTTTTGGGTCACACCCGGCGATACTCAGGGGTTACTCCTGGCTCTGCACTTAGGAATTACTCCTGGCTGTGCTTGGGGACCATTGGGGATGCTGGGGATCGAACCCGGGTTAGCCAAGTGCAAAGCAAATGCCCTACCCACTGTCCTATGGCTCCGGCCCCCACTTTATTCTCCTTGATGGCGATGGAAGACAATCCGGCTCGGACTGCCCGCAGCTCACCACGAGGAGGCTGGCTGCGTTTCCTATGTGGAATGCTCCCCTTACCCCGGGCAGCAGTGCAGACCGACCGACGGACAGACAGACAAGCCTGTCGGGGGGCCACGGGGCACCCCAAAGCAGCCTCCTCCCTCCAGTTTCCCCGTGCACAGCCCTGAAGTGCCGAGTCACCCTGCGCGTGGGACTCACATGAAGAGCACCAGCTGGATGACAGGGGCCGTGCGGAGCAGCTCCGAGAAGGAGTTGACGAACAGGTCATAGGACAGTAGCAGGAACTGCAGGGACAGCACCAGGCTGTAGCTGCTGGTCTGCAGCATCTTCCTCCGGCCCCGCGGCCCCGCGGGGGCACATGCCCCGGTTCCTTCCCCGGCACAGAGGGAGAGGGGCCACGTGTCACTCCCGCAGAATCACAGCGGTCTCCCTGCTTTAAGGCTCCAGCCTGTTGAGACACAGGAAGGGCCGAGGTTAGAAAATCATCTGTGGGGCTGGAGCGATAGCACAGCGGGCAGGGCATTTGCCTTGCATGCGGCCGACCTGGGTTCGATTCCCAGCACCCCATATGGTCCCTCAAGCACCGCCAGGAGTAACTCCTGAGTGCAGAGCCAGGAGTTACTCCTGGCAGTAACCCCTGTGCAATGCTGGGTGAGACCCAAAAAGCAAAAAACAAAAACAAAAACAAAACAAAACAAAAAAACACCTCATTTGTCCGAGGTAAAGGGACATACGTGATAACCTTTCGGTATCTGTATTGCAAACCATAATGCCCAAAATGAGAGAGAGAGAGAGAGAGAGAGAGAGAGAGAGAGAGAGAGAGAGAGAGAGAAGAGAATAATAGTGCTATAAGTACCTTCCACAGGGTGGGGTACGGGAGAGAAACTGGGGCATTGGTGGTGGGAAATGTACACTGGTGAAGGGACAGGTGTTGCAACATTATATAAGGAAAGCCACTCATGAACAACCTTGTAACTGTGTATCTCACTGTGATTCAATAAAAAAATACAAAATTTGGGGGGGCTGGAGAGACAGCACTGCAGGTAGGGCGTTTGCCTTGCATGCGGCCGACCCGGGTTCGACTCCCAGCATCCCATATGGTCCCCTGAGCACCGCCAGGAGTAACTCCTGAGTGCAGAGCCAGGAGGAACCCCTGTGCATCGCCAGGTGTGACCCAAAAAGCAAAAAAAATAAATAAATAAATAAAACAAAAAAACAGAAGCCCAGCACCAGATAGCTTGCTGACGAATTCTAGTACATCTTCAAAGATGATCGAGAAAAAGAAATAAAATTCATTTGTCCTGGGACCGGAGAGCTAGTACAGTGGGTAGGGTGCTTGCCTTGCACACGGATGACCCAGGTTCAATTCCCCGAACGCCACCAGGAGGGACCCCGGTGCGCGGGGCCAGACGCAGGGGTCAAACAGAAAACAAAAAAAAAAACCCAAACAGAAAGACCCAGATTCATTTGTCCAGGGCCGAGAGAGACAGTTATGAGGACTGAGTACATGAAAGCTGGTGGCCCGGGTTTGGCCCTGGCACCCACAGAGCCCCCCCACATACTGCCGGGACGACCCTCTGAGCACAGTGTAGTAGTAGTCCCTGAGCACTGCTGGGTATGGCCCAGGAAGGAAGGGGGGGGGGGGGAAGTTCACTTTAACACAGTATCCAGTGGGGCCAGAGGAACAGTACAGTGGGGAGGGCACTTGCCTTGCATCGGGGGTCCTGGGTTTGATTCCCCACATCCCATATGGTCTCTCGAGCCTGCCAGGAGTGACCCCTGAGCATTGCCAGGTGTGGCTCCAAAAAGAAAACCACCCCCCCAAAAACAAACAAACTGGGGCTGGGGGGATAGCTCAGCGGGTAGGGCGTTTGCCTTGCACGCGGCCGACCCGGGTTCGATTCCCAGCATCCCATAGGGTCCCCTGAGCACCGCCAGGGTAATTCCTGAGTGCAGAGCCAGGAGTAACCCCTGTGCATTGCTGGGGGTGACCCAAAAAGAGCAAAAAAAAAAAAAACTAAGATGTGATCTGGAAAGGAGTTTGGACATCACCTCCAGCTCCGGACTGAACCCACCAGCCCACACCAGAAGAGGGGATCACGTCAGGAGCAAAGGCCCTCAGGGACAGAAGGAGACCCTCCCCCCCAGAACTTCTTCCTCCTGCCACCACAACCAGCCTTGCGAGTCCACTCTGGGGCTGCCCACACCCCCCTGCTCTGGATGTCTCATTTCCTGCTCCTCTCTTTTTCTCCGATTTCTTATTTTTCTTGGGGGTGAGGCACACCCCAGTTGTACTCAGGCCTTACTCCTGGCTCTGCGCTCAAGAATTGCTCCTTGGCAGACTTAGCGGAACTATATGGGGTGCTGAGAATCGAACACAGCTTGGCTTATGCAAGGCAAGTGCCCTATCCTCTGTACTATCGCTTTAGCCCCTCTCCTCTCTCTTCTCTCTTTTTTTGCTTTTTGGGTCACACCCAGTGATGCTCAGGGGTGACTTCTGGCTCTGCACTAGGAATTACTCTTGGCAGTGCTCGGGGGACCATCTGGGATGCTGGGGATTGAACCCAGGTCGGCCGCATGCAAAGCAAATGTCCTACCCGCTGTGCTATTGCTCCGGCCCCTCCTATTTCTTAAATACAACGGATTGGCGTCTCTGTCTTCTGAGGTTCCTTTCTGCAGTAACAGACAGTGTAGCCAGGGACTCCTGCTTCGGCCTCCATCCCCGCCCGCTCTTCAGGCAAGGCTGGGACAGGCCTGGCTGAAGGGAGCAACTGCATCCTCTCAGGATGATGCCTCACAAACCCCACTGGCAACACTCACCTTATTTTTATTTCGGGGGGTGGGGCATACCTGGCAGTGCTCAGGGTTTAGTCCTGGCTCTGTACCCAGGGGCTCAGGGGACCATGTGGGGTACTGGCATTCTGTCACTGTCACTGTCCTGTTGTTCATCGATTTGCTCGAGTGGGCCCAGTAACGTCTCAATTGTGACAATTGTTACTGTGTTTAGCATATCGAATACGCCACCGGGAGCTTGCCAGGCTTTGCCGCGCGGGCGAGATACTCTCAGTAGCTTGCCGGGCTCTCTGAGAGGGGCAGAGGAATCAAACTCGAGTTGGCTGCCATGTTGGCCGCTTGCGAGGCAAACGCCTTACCCGCTGTGCTATCGCTCCAGCCCATAGAGTACTGGCGGTCTAACCAAGGCAAACATCCTCTCACCAGTACTACTACTCAGTTGGAATCTCCCCCCCTTCCAGCACTGCATAGGGTCCCCCGGCACGGCCAGGAGCACACAGCCAGCAGCGACCCCTGAGTCCCACTCAGTGTGGTCCCCAAATCACAACAAAAAACTAAATCTGGGGCTGGAGCAATAGCACAGCAGGTAGGGCGTTTGCCTTGCACGCGGCCGACCCGGGTTCGATTCCCAGCATCCTATATGGTCCCTCGAGCACTGCCAGGAGTGATTCCTGAGTGCAAAGCCAGGAGTAACCCCTGAGCATCGCTGGGTGTGACCCCCCCAAAAAAAACAAAAACTAAATCTTTTAACAACTCCGTGAGGCAGACACATATTATTACTCTCTCCACTTTAGAGCTGGGGCAACGGAGGCCCACAGGTAAAATGATTAGTCCAGAGACAGGTAGGGTGCTTGCCTTGCTCATGGCTGACCTAGATTCAATTCCCCAGCACCCCATATGATCCCCTGAGCTTTGCCAGGAAGGATCCCTGAGCCCAGAGCCAGGAGTAAGCCCTGACACAGCTGGATGAGTTCCAAAACCAAGCCAAAAAAAAAAAAAACAACCAAACTACTAACAATCATTTCCAAGATAATACAGCTCTAAATGAAAGAGCTGGGATTCAATCCAGCCGCCCTGGGCTCGGAGTCTGCCCTGAAACTATCGCCCCAAATGCAAAAGGCTGAGAGACCCCAGCATTGGCGTTAAGGGCCCCCCCCCTTCCCCGTCCGGGCAACCTTAAAAGCAAAAGGCAATTCCATAAAACTGCCTCATAGGATTGGAGAAATAGTTCAACAGGATGAACAGCTTTGTGTGCCAGAGGTCAGGGTTCAGTCCCTCACACAGGATTCCCAGGGCACTGCACCCTGGAAGCACTGAACCAGGAATAGCCCACGAGCACTGATGGGTACAGTCCTGAAACGTACCAAGAAGAGAGTGCAGTGGGGAAGGCATTTGCTTTGCACGCGGCTGACCTGGGTTGGATCCCTGGCATCCCATATGGTCCTTCCAGCGAGTAATTCCTGAGTGCAGAGCCAGGAGCATTGTTGGATGTGATAACCCCCCCCAAAAAAACCCCCACAAAACACACTCCCCTACCCCCAAACAACAGCCTTTATATAACTGTAAGTATGGGGAGGAGGGGCGGGGAAATTTGTGGGTCCTGGAAGACAGGGGACTGTTGTAGGCGGAAAAGTCAACAGGTTTCCTTGCCTGCAGGACTATGATTCACGCTATGATAATAACACAGCAGGGACAGGTAGGGAGAGCTGAGGCATTTGTTTTTGTTTTTTGGGGGGGCCACACCCAGCAGTGCTCAGGGCTTATTCCTAGCTCTGGGCTCAGGAATCACTCCAAGCTGGGCTCAGGGAACAACCTGGGTCGGGCTGTGCAAGGCAAGCGCCCTACCCACTGTTCTATCTCACAAGCAGCCCTGGGGCTTCATTTTTCTAAATTCCCAGGCTCTCGGGGATGGAGCTGGTAGAGCGCGGCTAACCCAGGTTCGATTCCCAGCATCCCAAAGGGTCCCCGGAGCACGCCAGGGGTAATTCCTGAGTGCAGAGCCAGGAGTAACTCTTGTGCATCGCCGGGTGTGACCCAAAAGGCAAAAAAAAAAAAAAAAAATTCCAAGGCTCAGTGTTTACTTTGGTGGGGGGTCCTGAAGAAGGCCCTGCAGGTGGGGGCCGGCGTGTTCTGGGGTTTTGAGAGAGCGGCAGGAAAAGAATCTCGAGAAGCGCCGGGCTCCGTTCCTGCAGGGCGGCCAGGCCCCCTCCCCGCCCCCAGCCTCTCCCCGGCGCGTGCCAGGGAAGCACAGTCGCGCTAGCCGGTTCCCGCCGCGTCCCGCGCGCCCGTTCGGGTGCGGGTCATGCCCAGGAAAGGGCGCCCGCCCGCACGGACACTGGGCGGCGGGGCGCGGAGCCCGCACGGGCAGCCACGCCTGCCGCCCGCGACCCCGCTCCCAGCACACGGACAACGGGGACACACACACACACACACACACACACACACACACACACACACGAGGAACGTGTCGCTGGCGCCCAATCCCCCCTCCCCCACACACACATACAGGAACGTGTCGCTGGCGCCCAACCACACACACACACACACACACACACACACACACACACACCATCAGGAGGAACGGTCGCTGAGCCCGCGCCACCGCCCACCCTCCCACGCACGCGCGCGCGGGCGTATACACACACACACACACACACACACAAAGCATCACGAGGAACGGATCGTGCACACACGCGCACACACACACACACACACACTGACCATCACGAGGAATGGGATATGCACACACATACACACACCATCAGGAGGAACAGGGCGTGCACACACACACATACACACACTACATGCACAAACCATCAGGAGGAACGGGTCGTGCACACACACACTACCCCATCAGGAGGAACGGGGCGTGTACACACACACACACACACACACACACACAAAAGCCATCATGAGGAACGGGTCGTGCACACACACACACACACACACACTACACACACCCCATCAGGAGGAACGGGGCGTGCACACACACACACACACCCCATCAGGAGGAACGGGGCGTGCGCACACATATACACACACACACAGACACACACACACACACACACAGAGACACACACCCATCACGAGGAACGGGTAGCCGGGCCCGCGCCGCCGCCCACCCTCCCGCTCACCTGGGCGCCCCGACGCCGGTTGCCATGGCGACGCCGTCCGGGGCTCCCGGAAGCGCGTGTACAATCCCGGAAGTCCGCGGAGGCCCCGGTTGGAACTGGGGGGGGAGGGGTGCACCTGGAGCGGTAGTACAGTGGGCAGGGCGTTTGCCTAGCACGAGGCCTACCTACTCGGGTGGGACCTCCAGCATCCCATAGGGGTCCCCGAGCACTGCCTGGAGTGATTCCTGAGTGCAGAGCCTGGAGTGACCCCTGATCATCAATGGGTACGACCCCCACCCCCCCGCCCAAAACAATAAAAATTTAAAAAAAAACCGGAACTGGGCTCTTCGCGCGGGGCGTGAGCCCGCCTCCCCGCGGCTCTGGACTACAATTCCCAGGGGGCTGCGCGCGCGGCCGGAAGCGGCGCGAGCCTATAAGAGGGCGAGGCGGGCCCCGTTCGCCTAGTGTGGAGCGGCGGTGCCCAGTGCGTGCGGGCTAGTGCTCGGGAGTCCCCTGACCCACCTCCCAGGAGCCCCGGGAGCGGTGTCGCCGGGGCGAGAAACCGGCTTCGGAGAGTGCAGCCCCGCCGCGTCCCGTTGTGCTTTGGGGGTGAGAAAGAGCCCAGTCCGGGACCTGGGTCCGAGTGCCGACTTGGCTCCCTCCTCGCTTCCTGCTGCCGCGACCTCCCCCTCGCAGCCCCGCGCTTTCGACCTGAGTTTTGTCTTCTAGGAAACGGGACACTTGTCCTCCGTGCCCTTCCTGCCACCACTCAGGTGGCCGAGGCTCGAGAGCTGTTCGGAGGCTGCAGTCAGCAGGTGGAGCCCCTCGTCTGCAGACTCGCCCAAGGTTAACTTGCATCTCTAGTCCCCCGGCAGTGGTCAAGAACAGGGTTCTGCCCCGGTTCTTCGGACCCCTGACCCAGACGGAGCTGTTGGAACGGCGGGTGTCTAAACCCCTGGGCTTGGCTGGTGGCTCACGCCCCCGACAGGAATTGGGGGCTTTCCAGGCTTAACTCTGCTGGCGCTCCTTTGGCAGGGAGGCGTCTTGGGAGAGGGGGGAGTGGACCGGGCTCGCGTTCCTTTCCCTTTCTTAGCCAAAGCATCTTCATTCCTGGCGCTTTTAAAGGACTTGGGCTCTTTCCTGATTTGCGGTGCCGGGGACCGACCCTGGGTCAGCTGCATGCAGGGTAACCAACCGCCTTACCTGTACCCTGTACTGTCTCTCTGGTCCTGGCACAAGTTCTTACGTTTTTTAAAAATTAAGGACCAGAGCCATAATAGAACGGGTTCCCATGTGATTCTCTGAGTCCCTCCAGGAGTGATCCCTGAGCACCTCTGGGTGTGATCCCCAAAGCAAATAAGATTAATGGACTTCCTTTTTGGGCCACGTCCCAGAGGTGCTCAGTGGCTATTCCTGGCTCTGTTCTCAGCGGTTGGCCCTGTTGGTGCTCCGGGGACCACGGGGGTGCCAGGGAGGGAACCTAGCCTTCCCACATGCACTCAGCCCATTGTGCGTCCCCAGCCCCTGACATTCTTAAATGATAGGGAAAGAATGAAAGGACCAGCCGAAGTGATAGTACAGTGGGGAGGGCGATTGCCTTGCACGTGGGCCACCTGGGTTCAATCCCAGGCATCCCATAGGGTCTCCTGAGAGCCGCCAGGAGTGATTCCTGAGTGCAGAATCAGGAGCAACCTCTGAGCATTGCCAGGTGTGACCCAACAAGCCTAAAGAAAAAAAAAAAAGAAAGAAAATGAAAGCACTGTATTTTTTTTTTTTTTTTTTTTTTTTGCTTTTTGGGTCACACCTGGCGATGCTCAGGGGTTACTCCTGGCTCTGCACTCGGGAATTACTCCTGGCGGTGCTCAGGGGACCACATGGGATGCTGGGATTCGAACCCGGGTCAGCCGCATGGAAGGCAAACGCCCTACCCGCTGTGCTGTCGCTCCAGCTCCTTTATGCTGTGTTTTAATTAATTTTATCTATTAATTTAATTTATTGGTAGCACAGCGGGTAGGGTGTTTGCCTTGCATGCGGCTGACACGGCCGACCAGAGTTCGATTCCTCCGCCCCTCTTGGAGAGCCTGGCAAGCTACCAAGAGTATCTTGCCTGCATGACAAAGCCTGGCAAGCTACCCGTGACATATTTGATATGCCAAACACAGTAACAAGTCTTACAATGTTACTGGGCCTACTCGAGCAAATCGATGAACAACGGGAGGACAGTGCCAGTGCCAGTGATTTAATTAATTAAACCAAATTCCAGTCTCCAGAAAGTATGTTGGGAACACCAGTGCCATCATTTCTGAAGTCATCATTTTTGATGGTTCTGGCACTATCACCACTAAATTGACAGCAGAATTGTGCCGGAGATGTCACCATTAATCAGCAAAACCCAAAACGCTTAACGTTCTGGCCCTTCCCAGAAGTATCTGTTGACTTCTGCCTTAGGAAAGCAGCAGGATAAAGTGAGGTGGAACTGATGCCCGACTATGAGGGGCATCTTCAGAAACCACTGCACAACCTGCATTCTTAGAAGAACAGGGAGGAAGTGCCAGAAAGGTCGCACAGTGCCAAAGGCACTGGCCTGGGACGCTGCAGACTCGACCCTGGCACATATGGTCCTAGAGCCCACAGCCAGGAGAAAACTCTGGGCACTGCTGGGTGTGACCTCCCTTGCTGGGGGATGGGGTGGGGGGAGAAATGGGAGGATAGTCCTGGCCTCTGCGTTTGATTTTTCACTGCATTCTCTCAGCTTTGGCTCCCGATTTCTGGCCAAGAAAGGGCCCCCTAAGGGGAATAATCTGCTCCTGTCAGGCAGTGATCCATCCATGAGGCAGTCCTAGTCTGTCCCAGAGCAGAGATCCAGGACCTCCAGCCGGGGACCAGGTGTTTGTGTGTGTGTGTGTGTGATGTGTGTGTGGTGTGTGTGTGGGGGGGGGTTATGCCTGTGACATCATGCCTTTGCTTTTGGCTTTGCTCTGGGGCTGCCCCTGATAGTACTTGGCGACTACTGTCCATTTGGTGCTGGGCACTGGCTAGAGTCATTCCTGGAGGAGCTTGTGGGGGTGACTATGAGGTGCTGGGGGGGGGGTGTCACACTCGGGACCTCGTACATCTGCCACTGAGCCGCAAGAGTATATAGGTTCTTTGGCATTTACTTTTACTTGTATGGGACACGTGAAAGTGACTACTGTCCATTGCCGGCAGCTGACTTCCTCCTGCTTTGTGGGCTGCGGGAGTGACTGACCATCTTGTGACCCGACATGACACTGTCCCCTGTCCTTGCTGGAACTGAGGGCACAGCTCAGGCCCAGGAGTGCCACTTGGCTCTGTTGTTGGGTGTTTTTAGGGAAGTTGGTGGCCTGCTTTCTCCTTTCTTGTTCCTGGAAGCTTTATGTTTTTGTTTTGTTTTGTTTTTTCTTTTTTGTGGGCCACACCTGGCGATGCTCAGGGGTGACTCCTGGCTCTGCGATTGGGAAACTCCTGGAGATGCTTGGGGGACTGTATGTGATGCCGGGGATCGAACCTGGGTCAGCGTGTGCAAGGCAAACACCCTGCCTGCTGTCCTATTGCTCCAGCCCTGTTTGTTTTTCTTTTAGGGACCACCTGGTGATCTGACATGACACTCAGGGACTGCACTCTGCTCTGGGCTCACTCTGGCAGTGCTCGGGGGATCATGCAGTGCCAGGGATTGAACCCTCGCCTTTTGCACTCATCAGGTGCACTCAAGCCCTTTGAGTCATCTTTCTGGCTTCTTTCTGTGGCTTTTGGACCACACCCCGTGGCGCTCAGGAACGACGTGGCTGGGGAGGGGGTGCCCACGGTTGGGTTGGTGGGTGGGGTTTAGATTTGGCCTGCGCACCGTACCAGGCCTTTGTGCCGCTCCATAGCCCCCGGGAGCTTTCTTTTCCTAGCCAAAAGTGCTTCCTTTCTGAGATTCCAGCCAACTTGGTCACCAGGCCGAGGATCGAACCTGGGTCACAGAAACCGGAACCGGAAGAAACACCTAGTTGAGTCCCTCGAGTACCCAAGCCCCTGGATCTGGCATAGTCTGTCTCCAGGGGCACCCACGGCTGGCCATTGGGGTTCCTCTTGTGTGGGAATGTTCTTCCTGCCAGTGGGGGAGGGGGAGGGCTCTGCCGGGTGAGACTGGCCCACCCCCCCCTGGATCCCCCAAGGGTCTTTCTGAGCCTCTTTTTTTTTTCTCCTTTTTGGTTTTTTGGGTTGCAGCTGGCAATGCACGGGGCCTCCTCCTGGCTCTGCACTCAGGAATTACTCCTGGCAGTGCTTGGGGGACCATATGGGATGCCAGGGATGGAACCCGGGTCGGCTGCATGCAAGGCAAACGCCCGACCCGCTGTGCTATCGCTCCAACCGGGTCCAACCCCTCTGAGCGTCTTTCTGGTTAGATGGAGATCTTGCCTGGAGGGGGCCTGACATGGCATGAAATTAGGGTGCCAAGAGGCCTGGGCAGATGAGCAGGGCTGGGGGGTGGGGGGCTGAGCTCTAGATGTTTGGAGAGTTAGGACTAATTGCCATGCTGATATTATAAGATACCACCTTGCTGCGATGCCTGTTTGGGTTTATAGTTTGGGGGCCACACCTGGAGGAGCTCAGGGCTTACTCCTGGCTGTGCCCTCAGGGACCACTCCTGGTGGGGCTCAGGGGGACTATGTGGGATGCCAGGGATTGACCCCGATCGGTTGTGTGCCAGGCAAACGCCCTACCGGCTGTACTATCACTCCAGCCTCATGTCAGTGTCCTTTCATCTTTTTTCTCAGTTGCCCTGACAACTTGTGGTCCGCGAAGAAGCCTGGGCCTTACAGCCAAGTAAGCCGGACCCCTTTCCCCTCAATCCCAATCCCTGGGCCCTCATGCTCACTCCTTTATTTTTCTGAGCCTCAGTTTTCCCCATCTGTAAAGTGGGGGCGGTTACTACTCACAGGGCTGCCCAGAGGAGAAAAGACTGGGGTGTACGACTTGGGGCACTCTGTCCCTCGCTTCCTTCCAGTGAGTGACATCCTGTCAGATGCAAAGGCTGAGTCCTATGCAGGCTGCGTGCCTCTCTCGGGGGTCCCCGTTCCTGCGTGTTGGACACGGACCCACCACTGCAGCCACTGCCCCTGGCTCTGATGGTGCAGAATCCGGGCCTCTATCTTCTTGGGGGTGCCAGGCAGCGATGGGAGCCTCTCTGACAGCTGGTTGAGGCTGAAGGATGCCCCTGGTAGAGGCCACTACGTCCCCCTCCATAGAGAGGCTTCACCCAGGGCCAGTGCCGCTTGTGTCCACATCCACCCACTGGGTCCGGGACAGCTGCTCGTCCGCCCCCCCCCCCCCCCCAGTTGGCCTCACAGCTTACCCCGTGCACGCAGAAATCTCAAAATAAATCCCTGGTTCCTAGACCGTGACTTCTCGGTTCCTCTTTCTCCCCTGGGCTTTCCCCAGTGGAAGAGAAAAGCAGAAGTGACAGGCCTGGGAGGACTGAAGGCTCCTCTGGCCCAGGGTCCAGGTGTGGTGTGACTTGGGGGCCCAAGGGGGGGTGGATGGGCCAGCCTCACTCTGCAGAGCGCCCCCCCCCACCGGCAGGAAGAACATTCCCACACAAGAGGAACCCCCGCGGCCAGCCATGGGTGCCTCTGGAGACAGACTATTCCAGAACCAGGGCCTTGGGCACTCGAGGGACTCAACTAGGCGTTCCTTCCGGTTCCGGAGAGGCAAGGAGGCCCCTCTCACGGGCCGGACCTGGCTGTCCTGTGTCCTGTGGCATGGGGGGAATGGCGGGGGTGGGTCACAGCCCCAAGCCCCGATCCCCGGGGGCTCAGACTGAGACCGGGATCACAGTCATACTGTGATGTGACATGTGCCGTGATGTGACTCACGTGTTGCTGCCTCTAGGCCCCGAGCAGAATGGCTGCAGGCTGGTTCTACCTCTCGTGCGTGGCGCTGGGCGCGATGGGCTCCTTGTGCGTGCTCTTCACCACCTACTGGATGCGGCACTGGCGCGGCGGCTTCGCCTGGGACGGCTCGTTGCTCACGTTCAACTGGCACCCGGTGCTCATGGTCGCCGGCATGGTGGTGCTCTACGGGGCTGGTGAGTGGACAGCGGCCAGTGGCCAGGCGGGGAAGCAGCCTCCCTCGGGACGGGTTGGGGGGGGTGCGTTGGGATCACGGGGGCGGGGGAAGGAGGAGTGGGGAGGGAGGGTCCCTGTGAAGGCGGCTGACATGCTCCAGAGAGCACGGGTGTGTGAAGCGATTCGGACCCAAACCCAAATAGGAATCGGCAGCTTCCACCCCACCCGGGGCTGCCTGGCCTGCTCAGTTTCTCGCCAGATGAATTGCTTTATGATTGGTGATCGTCAGGGCTGGATTAGCATGTCCATTTGTTTTGTTTTGTTTGTGTTTTTTTTTTTTTTTTTTTTTGCTTTTTTGGGTCACACCCGGCGATGCACAGGGGTTACTCCTGGCTCTTCACTCAGGAATGACTCCTGGCGGTGCTCGGGGGACCCTATGGGATGCTGGGAATCGAACGCGGGTCGGCCGCGTGCAAGGCAAACGCCCTCCCCGCTGTGCTATCACTCCAGCCCCTAGCATGCCCGTTTGGATATCCCTGGATACTCCGTTGTGTAATAAATGTATCAGGCGAGAGCCGGGGAGATAGGGACAGCAGGTAAGGCGTTTGCTCGCCTTGCACAGAGGCTCTGGGGGGTCGGTACCTGACACCCCGTGTGGTTCTCTGAGCACCTCGAGGTGTGTGGCCCTCAAACAAAACAACGAACTTGCAGGCGAGGGCCCGGAGAGCTAGTGCAGGAGGGAAGGCGCTTGCCTGTTTATAGAGTCTGGGGGTGTACAAGCAGCTGAGACCAGGGCTGACTCCTGGCTCTGCACTCAGGGGTCACTAATGGCAGAGCTTAGGGGACCATGTGGGGTGCGGGGAATCAACCAGGGTAGGCCACGTGCAAGATAAGCACCCAGCCCTCTGTATGTGTCTCCAGCTCCGCATGTGGCCACTTTAGTCGGCTCTAATTCGAGCCCCGGCACCGAATCTGGCCTCCCGGGCTCTGCCGGGGGTCGCTGCTGAGCACAGAGCCGGGACTAGCCCCTGAGCACCCATCAGGTGGGGCTCAGCCCTCCCCCGACTCCGGAAGAAACAGATCATAAGTGGGCAAAGTCTGAAAGCGCCCCTGTAGGGTAGGGGCCAGGTGACAGATACTTGCAGGCCGGGGTGCTCTGGACTGCAACCCCTCAGCCCATCTCTTGAGGCAGTGGCCGCAGGCAGCAGGTAAACATGTGTGTGGTAGTGTTTGATATGCTCACCAGAATGGCAGGGCAACTCAGAGGGGAGAGTGCCCAATGCTGCCCATGTTTGAGGCCTTGGGTTCGATCCCCAGTGCCTGAAAACCAAAAATTGACAGAGGGCTGGATGGGGACTATAGTTTGTCTCACACATACACACACATACACACACACACTCACACACACACACACACTCACACACACACACTCACACACACACACACTTGCGCGCACACACAGTTACACACACACACACATGCACACACACACACACTCCCCTGTGCTAGGGAGCAGGAGGGGGAGACCTCGGTGACGCCGTCAGAGTGAGGGTTCTGCTTACCCCCTAAGGCAGAGCTGTGGCCCAAGTAGGTTTCAGTTCCTGGGGAAACTGGCCGTGATGATGCCACTGACAGTGAGTTTGTCCTGGGTACAGGGAGAACCCGGCCCTGCTGACTGTGTGACCCTGGTCACACTAGCCAGGTGCGCCGAGGACGAACCACCCAGCAAAAGGGTAGGGCAGAACCTGGGCTGGCCCACAACTCCAGGACACAGCTTTACCCCCTGACCCTTGTTCCACATTGTCGCCAGAGGGACACGGGGACCCTCCCTGTTTCTGGTCTGGAGCACCCGCCACCTGGGGTGCTTAACTAGAACTTAGGGACCCTGCGTGTGCGGTCAGGGGCAGAGGCCAGGGCGCGGAGGTTCCTAGTCTCGAACCCCACCCCACCCAAGGGGGTGATCCCGTGTTGGTGCCAGCTACACCCAGTTGCACCTCGGCTTCGCTGCGTTGGGCGGGGTCCCCCGCCCTTCCCTTTCATCATGGGCCTTTCTCGCCACACTTCCCGGCTGGCTGCCGTCCCAGAAGTAATTTCAGGGCTGGAGAGAGAGTGCAGTGGGCAGGGCGCTCGCCTGGCACATGAACGACCTGGGGTCAGTGCCCGGCATTCCGCACGGTCCCTTGAGGATAGCCAGGCGTGATCCCCGAGTGCAGAGCCACCAGTAAGCCCTGAGCACCACTGGGTGTGCCCACCCCCCCAAGATAATAATCTGAGGGGTTCACAGGATGCCCTCAAGCTTCCTTTCTTCCCTGGGGAGGCTGGCTGGGGCGCGGCCAGGCGGGAGTGTCCTGCGGCGTGCGTGAACCCCCTTGTTTCCCCGCAGCGTCGCTGGTGTACCGCCTGCCCCAGTCGTGGCTGGGGCCCAAGCTGCCCTGGAAACTTCTGCACGCGGCCTTGCACCTGCTGGCCTTCATCCTGACCGTGCTGGGGCTGGTGGCCGTCTTCTACTTCCACAACACCGGGAAGATCGCCAACCTCTACTCCCTGCACAGCTGGCTGGGCATCACCGCCGTCTTCCTCTTCGCCTGTCAGGTGGGGCCCTCCCCCCCCTCCTCCTCCTCCTCCCCCCTCCACCCCCCTCCTCTTCCTCCTTCCTCTTCCTCCTCCTCCCTCCTCTTCTCCCCCTCTTTTTCTCCTCCCCTCCTCCTCCCCCTCCTCCTCCCCCTTCCTCCTCTCCCCTCTCCTCTTCTTCCTCCTCTTCCTCTCCCCCTCCTCTTCTTCCTCCTCTTCCTCCTCTCCCCCTCCTCTTCTTCCTCCTCTTCCTCCTCTCCCCCTCCTCTTCTTCCTCCTTCTCCTCCCCCCTCCTCTTCTTCCTCCTCCTCCCCTTCCTCCTCCCCCCTCCTTCCTTCCTTCCCTCCTCCTTCCCTCCTCCCCTTCCCTCCTCCTCCTCCCCCTCTTCTTCCTCTTCCTCCTCCCCCTCTTCTCCCCCTCCTCCTCCCCCTCCCCCTCCCCCTCTTCTTCCTCCTCTTCCTCCTCTCCCCCTCCTCTTCTTTCTCCTCCTCCTCCTCCTCCTCCTCCTCCCCCTCCTCCTCCCTTCCTCCCCCCTCCTGCTTCCCTCCTCCCCTCCTTCCCCTCCTCCTCCTCCTCCTCCTCCTCCTCCCCCTCTTCTTCCTCCTCTTCCTCCTCCCCCTCTTCTCCCCCTCCTCCTCCCCCTCCCCCTCCCCCTCTTCTTCCTCCTCTTCCTCCTCTCCCCCCTCCTCTTCTTTCTCCTCCTCCTCCTCCTCCTCCTCCCCCTCCTCCTCCCTTCCTCCCCCCCTCCTTCCCTCCTCCCCTCCTCCTCCCCCTCCTCCTCCTCCCCCCTGCTCCTCCTCCCCTCCTCCTTCCCCCTCTTCCTCCTCCTCCTCTCCTCTCCTCCTCTCCCCCTTCCTCTTCCTCCTCCTCCTCCTCTCTCCTTGTCCTCCTCTCCCCCCTTCTCCTCCCCCTCCTCCTCCCCCTCCTCCTCCCCCCTCCTCCTCCTCCACCTTCTCCTCGTGTCCCCACCCTCAGCTGTCCTTCCCGGTCATCATGCCCATGTCGGAGGATGCGTGATGCCTGCACCAGGCCCTCTCCCCGCCTTTCCTTGCAAGGGAACCGGCTCCTGTGACTGCCGGGGCCGGGAGGGAGTGAGCAGGGGCTGGCCCGGGGAAGGAAGCGGCCTTGGCGGAGTAGAGGTGCCGTGCAGCTGTAGTTCCCTGTAGTTCCCTGTGTCACCTCATGTTCTGGGAGCAACCATCAGGACGGAGGCGTGGCAGGGCCCCAGGCTGCTGGGCAGGTGTCAGGAAACAGGGTGTGCAGCCGCCCCCCCCCCCCCCCCCCGTGGCGTGGCCTCGGGCCTCACCGGGTCCCCCCCCCCCCCCCCCCCGCCGTGTCCACAGTGGTGCCTGGGCTTCTCCGTCTTCCTGCTGCCCTGGGCCTCGGCGTGGCTGCGCGCCCTCCTCAAACCCATCCACGTCTTCTTCGGAGCCTCCATCCTCTCGCTGGCGATGGCGTCGGTCATTTCCGGCATTAACGAGAAGCTCTTCTTCAGCTTGTGAGTGGGCTGGGACCCCCCACCCCCCCGTGTGTTTCAGGTGTTGGGGTGGGAAGAGGGGAAGGATGGCCTTTGGGGCTGGGACGTGTCTCCACGGTGTCTCACGGCTGATGAAGTGGCTCTGTCACTCTGCTGTGTTGGCCCGACACCCGGTACCTCCCAGGCGTCAAGGCGGCTTCGGAGATGGCCTTGTGCCAGTGAGGGCCTGCAGGGATGTGCGCTGGGGTGTCACCAGGTCATGGCCATGCATAGGGCAGCGCCTTCTACCCTCGGGCCCCACCCAGCCCCCCTCCGAGGCCAGAGGCCCTTCCCAGAGCCCCACGGGTGTGGCAGGGACTCGGGATGTGTTCGCGCTGGTGGTCCTGGGAGAGGGTCGCTTTCACTTCTCTTCCTGGAAATCGCGTCTCTCAGAGCAGAAACGGGGAGAAGAGCTGTTCTCTGTGGTCTCTGCCCTTCAGGAAGAACGGCACGCAGTCGTACAAAGAGCTGCCCAGCGAGGCCGTGTTCGCCAACTGCACCGGGATGCTGGTGGTGGCCTTTGGGCTGCTGGTGCTCTATATCCTTCTGGCCTCGTCGTGGAAGCGTCCAGAGCCAGGGAACCTGACCGACAGACAGGTAGGGGTCCCGGCCTCCCACCCCCACCCCAGGCACCGAGTTTCCTGGGCAGCTTTCGCTCGGCTGAAGGGAGCCAGGGTGTCAGGCCAGCACATCTGGGCCCCGTCAGGCCAGTGCAGCTGCCCAGGGTACTCCAGGGCCACCGATGGGGAGGGGAGGGGAGGAGGCGTTGTGAGGTTACTTCCCTCCCAAATGCTGGAGGTTCTGAGAGGCAAAGTGTGGCCCATCTCCCCTCGGGGGGTGGGGGGGGGCTCAAACAGGATGTTGCAGCTTCTCCTTTGCTAGCTTGGGGGTTTGGCTGCCAGGCTGGGACTCCCCAAGTGGTGCTTGGGGACCGTGGAGCTCCCGGAGCGGGTCCCACTGTTTCCCTGGCCAGGCAGGGCACCCTAGCGATGTGGGGTACGGGGGTCTCCCAGACCCAGGGACTTGGGGGCTTCCCTGATTGATGTGGTATTGGGTCCCCGTGGGATCGGGAGGCCCCTGCAGGTGTGACATCTGTGCGTCAGGGACATTGGCCCTCATATCTCTTATGCCTGTGCATCTTTCTTTCCAGCCCCTGTTGCACGACAGGGCGTGACCCGGGAAGGGGCGCCCGGAACAGCCGGTGTCCCCTCAGCGGCTCTGCTCTACCTGGGGCTCCTCTCTGGTTGTCTGGCCACGGCGAGACCAGCCCCGAACCACTCTTGGTCTCCAAGCGGGGCCTGCACCCCACCCCGCTCGCTGCCTGATGCTCTGTGTGATGCCTTTGTCTTCTGCCCCCTCCCTCCCGCCCCCCCCCGCCGTCTCGGCCCCGACGTTGCAGACTCTCGGGTCCTCCCAAGGAGGCCCCCCTTCACCCTGGCTCAGCTTGCCCCCGTAGGGCCAGGTGGGGAGGCAGGCTGACCCCCTAAATTCCCAGATGTGGGAGACCGTCCTGATGGCTCGGCTCCAGCCGGCTTGTGGGGAGGGGACCTCTGTGCAGTCAGGGGTGGGGACGATTTTTCCCCCATGAGAGGGGCGCTTTGCATGTATGCCCCCCCGCCCCCCACCGCCTGCCAGAGCACGCTGTCCTCTGGGATCGGGAGAGCTGGCGGAAGTGTGGTGGCCTGGCAGCTTCCGCCAAGGAGCCGACTGCCTTCCGCCCTCCGTCACTGCCTGTCCTCTTCCAGCTACGGCTTCAGCTGGGGCCTGGATCCGGCCTTTCCCTGTGGCTTTTGTGCTGGCAGGCAGCCCCACGGGCCCTGGTGACCTGCTCTCTCAAGGACAGCCAGCCAGGTCCCCGTGGTGCCCATCAGATGGGCCGTGGGGGCCTGTGAACTTGGCCGCTTCAGGGCTGTCCCTGGGCCCGGGCCACCTTGCTTTCTGGACGGGGCCCTGGGCCAGCTGCTTTCACTCTCCAGCTCGCCAGGAACGTGCCTAGGTCGTGACCAGTCCTGGGAGCCACCACCACCCTCTGACGTGCTCCCGGCTGAGTCAGCGTCCCCCCTGACCCTGGCGGGGCTGCCCTCCACATCCAGTCCCTCCCTGTGTCATGGCAGAGAGGGGGAGGCCAGCTCGGTCCTTTCTGATGTCGCGTGCCTCTGGCTTGACCTGCCCTCTGGACACAGGAGCCCGGGCACCAGGGTCGGGGCTCTGACGGGCCATGTGGCGACTGTCTGCCCCGGCTCCCGGTGGCCAGGTACTGGCAGGAGACTGCGGAACCAAGCTTCGCCTGGATGAACGCCTTCGGGCGTGGGATGGGCGCCCCTGCCCCTATGCCACGGGGCGGGCACTGTTTATGACGTGTGGTGTCGCACTAAAGTATTTTTAAGAATCAGGTCCTGTTCTTCTGACGTGCTATTGTGTTTAAAGGAGTCCAGGCCAACTTGTGGAAGTCTCAGGGGACTCTGACACCCTCAGGGCAGGGGGTCAGGGCACCCAGGAGCCAGAGGCTTATCCCTGCCATGGGACCGGGTCACGTGCAGATAGGATGACAGGGAGCATGGTCCTCGGCGGGAATGGTTTTGGATCACTGGGTTCTGTCACAAGGAAGGAAGGAAAAGTCACCTTGGTGGTGACCTGCGTGACAAGATTTAAAACAGAAGTGACAGCCCGGAAGTGGCAGAGTGGTGAGCCTTGGGGCAGGTGGCTGGTGCCAGCCTGGCTTCCTGCTGCTGGTGGTGGCCCTCCAGCACACTGGGATCCCAGGGTCAGCTAGGGGACCGGACGGGACCCTAAACAGAGGCCCAAGGTTCAGGCGGAGCCCACAGCCAGGTATGAGCAGAGTGGGGGAGGGACCCCCTCCCCGTGTGACCAGCACAGATGCCCTGTGGCTTGGAGCAGACACGGTGATGGAGAAAGCCACGCCCAGTGTGGAACCCTCACATCCCCATCTGACAGTCCTGGGTTCGGTAGCTGGTGGGAGACGCGTCGGGATTGAGTCCTGGTGCCCTCGGTCACCCCTCCTGCTCGCTCAGGTTCCAGTGCTTACTCTGCACCACGGGACAGCTGGGGCGCAGTTTCTGTTCTAATACTGATGGTTCCCTTCTGGGCTCCCAGCAGCCCGTGTGCTTCCTGAGGAAGCCTTGAACTGTTGGCTTCACGCTGAGAAGGAGCACATGTGTGTGTCTCAGGAGGGTAAGAATGGGGTCCCCCGGGAGCCAATCCAGCCCTGCAGCCGTGATTTGGGGGGTCTCAGTGGCAAAGGAAGCGCCAGTACCAGCCCCACCAGGGGCTCGGGCTCAGCTGCCGCCGCCTGTTTGCACACTTGGGAACAGCGCCAGGAAGAACAACTCTGGCTCTGAAGTGGTTTATTGGGTTGCTTCCCACGGGGAGTCTCAAAAGCCAAACTAAAGGCAGAGAGGCTGGAGAGGCCTTATCACGGCAGGCCAGCGCCGGCGGGCGCAGGAGACCCGGAACCCCACCCTCCAGCAGGCAATGAGGCTCTGGGCCCACCCAGGCCTGGGAGGGTTCTGCAGCGCGCAGAGGGGTTCCTGCTGAACTGCCCGGGAGACCAGGGCAGAGGGAGTGAGTGGGGAGAACCGGAGTCACTTAGTGCTCAGGGTCTCCAGGATGGCCCCGAGAACCGCTGCAGCCGCCACTGCCCCAGGATCTGGCTGGTTCAGCTTCCCTGAGGCGATGTAACTGGCTCTCCCTGCCCCGGCTTCCATGTCCTTGGTGGCCTCGGCAGCATCTCTGGCACGCTGTTGGGTGGGAGTGGGGAGATTCGAGGTGAGGCCTTTCTGCCATGGAACCTGGGTCCTGTCTCAGCTTTGCCCAGGCAATGGTCACCAGGCTGGAGAGGCCCCTCGGACCCCTGGGGCCTGCTAAGTCCCTCCCGACCCCCTCTTCCATCCCAGCTCCAAGCTCAGAGGACGGAGTGGGCTGTAGGGAGGGCGCTGAGTTGCTTTGGGTCACCAGGAGCAGGGCAGGGGGCAGGGGCAGGGGCCGGTCCCGCCTCACCTGAACCGCTTTGGTCAGGACTTGGAGTAGATCCGCCCCGGGCCTCTTCCAGGCTTGGAGTTCCTGTCCTGCTGCCCACAGAGAATCCAGCTGGACAAGGTGTGGGAGAGGGTCAGTCTGAGGGCAGGTCCTGCCAGGGGGCCCGGCCCACAGGGCTGCAGCCCTCAAAATAGGGAGCACTGTAGCACTGTCCTCCCATTGTTCATCGATTTGCTCCAGCGGGCACCAGTAACGTCTCCATTGTGAGACTTGTCGTTACTGTGTTTGGCATATTGAATACACCACGGGGAGCTTGCCAGGCTCTGCTGTGCGGGCGGGATACTCTTGGCAGCTTGCCGGGCTCTCTGAGAGGGAGAGAGGAATCGAACCTGGGTCGGCTGCGTGCAAGGCAAACACCCTCCCCACTGTGCTGTCGCTCCAGCCCCCAAATAGGGAAGGGCTGGCCAAATACACACCATTGTCCTGTCCCCCGGGGCGGCATTGCCGTACCTGGCAGAGAAAGCCTGTGTAAGTTCACGGGAGGATACGGTCTGGGGGTGGGGATAGCTGGGAGCCGATGGGGTACCCACCTCCCCCAGCTTCCCCCCACCCAAGGCACCCGCTTGCTCACTTCTGCATGGCCTCCAGGCCAGCGTCCATGGCGCGAGACCAGCTGGGGAGGTCAGTACTGGCCCTCAGTGGCTGGGCGGCGGCCATCAGGAACAGGCCATAGAGCTGGGGGCGGGAAAGGGCGCATGAGCGGGCAGCCAGCCTGGGCCCCCTCCTGTGACTGCCCTCTACCTCTGGGGGGCTGCTGCACTCACCGCGCCAGAAGAGCCCCCCATCTTTTCCAGGAGCAGGAGGGACAGTTTGGACAGTAGCTGGGCAGGACTGGCAGGGGGTGGGCCTTCCTTCAGCCACCCCTGGATCGCTGCGGGCGGAAACGGTAAGGAATTCAGAGAGGCTCCGTCCTGATGTCTGGCCGTCCTGGCGCCCAGCCTCACTCTCGGGCAGAACGGAGGCAGCAGCAAGTATTCCGCCCGCATGGCAGAGCCTGCAAAGGCTCCTTCCTCACCCAGGGCACAGTGGCAGGGTGGGCAGTTCCCCCCCAACCCCGTGGCTGGGCCTGGCCACTCGCCTGCGTACTTCCTGCCCCGCTGCGCCCCTTTTCTCCGCGACTCTGAGCACTACCCTGGGCGCATCCCTAAACAAGGCTGGGGCTGTGACCCACTCTGCTCACTACACTATCCAGACTAGGGAAAATAACGCCTGGCCCGCGGTGGTGGGCGGGAGATGGAAGGTTCTAGACTGAACGTTCGGTGGTGGACGATGAATGAAGTGCTCTTTCTGGGTCTGGGTAAGTGGAGGGAAAAAAATGGGAGGAGGGTAACTCGTCCCTGGCGCTGGGATCGATCACTGCATGTTCTCTGGGCTGGCCTTCCTGCAGACATCAGCCAGGGGGCACTGGGCTGTGGTGACCTTGCCAGGCAGAGCCAGGTAGGTGGGTCCACGCCAGCACCCTGCCTGTCTGTGCGACTGCCCCAGCTGGTGAAAGGCCCGATCCGCCGCCCGTCTGCCGACCATGGGGACCCCCATGCACCCACCTCTGGCAGCACGGCTGTGCGTGGTGCCGCAGTCGCCGTCGCCCGAGGCGCGGTCCAGCTCGTTGAGCTGCTCCTCCAGGCCCAGGAGGGTGCTGCACACCCGCTCCAGCACACACACCACCACCTTCGGGGCAGGTCCTGTGGGATGGGAGTGGGGGAGGAGGGGCGGATGGCAGCAAGTGGCCCTCTGGTTGCAACCCAATCAGACCAGACCAGAATGGGAGGCAGGTGTTGGGGCCCTGGCACCCCTTCCATAGAACCACCTACTAGGGGGTCAGGCCAGAGCCCAGGCCAGCCTCTCCCGGACAGTGACAGCAGGGGACGGTACCTGCTGTGTCAGCCGAGGCGGGGACCTCCGGAGGCTCAGCGGGGGCTGGCCGGCTCTGCTTCCGCCCGGTCACTGAGACCTTGGGCACGTTCGGCCAGGCGGCGGCAGTGGTTTCGGCGTCTAGGGACAAGCAGGGGGACTCAGAGCCGGACCGCAGCATGGGGCCTAAATTCTCCAGCGGGGTCCAGTTCAACTCCGACACCGAGAGCCAGCACTGAGTGCTGACTGCACACCAGGGACCCTGGAGGAGCCCCGGGGAGGGGTCCCAACATCACTGGGGTATGGGAGGCTGCAGGAGCGGAAAGGGCGTGCCATCCTGTCAGCCCTCCGGGCCTCACCGATCAGTTTCAGGAGGGGCTCGTCCACCAGCAGGAGGGTGAGAGAAACGCCCTGCATTTCCAGGGCCGACATAAAGGTGCCCACCAGGGCTCGGGCAATCTTCACCCCGCGGGTCTCTGCAAGATCCAGGAAGGGAAGGGAGGGGGAGGTGGCGCTTCCCCTCGGAGATCAGAAGGGAATACCGAGGAATAAGAGGAAAAGGAGCCCCGAGACCAGGGAGAGGGCAGACACCCGCCAAGGACCGCCCTCCTCAGGGGGTTCCTGCCCCCTTGCAGGAGCACTAAGGGGGTCTTGGGCAGCTGCCGGGCCCGGGCCAGTGTGCCGTTCCCTCTCCGTAGCCTGGGAGGTAGGGCCCCTGGCCACGGACAAAGAAGCAGGTTTGGGGCTCACCGCCACCCCCTGAGGCCCTCGGCTGCCTTCCTTGGGATTCTGGTTTTTGTTTCTGGGCCATAGCTAAGAGGATTCAGGGGACCACGCTGAGCTGGGGACAGAACCCCGGCGTCCCCCAGGCCCAGCCTGGACTCCACCCTTCAAGCCCTCTCTTGGACCCTCAGCTACTTCCTTTTGGTTCCAAGAGCCACAAGTGCAGCGCTGGGGCGGGGGGAGCGGGGTGGCAGGGGTGACACCCAGAGGTGCTATAGCTGGGCCTCGGCTGCCGCTGTCTAGCTTCGTGGGGCCAGGGGTGAAGAGGGCGGGGGAGACACTCTGGGGTCAGGAGGTCCGGCCGTGGGGGGCTCACCCAGAGAGCGGACAGCGGCGTCGGCTATGATGCCCAGTTCCAGGAAGGACAGGCCACCCAGGTTGTTGACTATGAGCACCACCGTGGAGCCTGGGGGCAGACGTGACCCCTCGGTGAGACCCGGAGAGTGTGCGGGCTGGGAGAAGGGCATGTGGGCACCTCACCAGGCTGCACGGGCACATGGGAGATATTGGAGGGGTCCAGCATGTGGTCCAGCATGATGGTCACAATCTCCTTGGCGGTCGCCATCTGTCAGGGAGCCAAGGGTGAGTTGGGTGAGGGGCCTGGGAGAGCTGGGAGCCCCACCAGAGCCTCGGGGCGCCCCTACCTTGATCCGGCGCACGCCGGCTTCCCCGTGGATCCCTGTGGAGAGACACGCTTGCTCATGGCTGGCCTGCCCAGGGCCTGGAGACTCAGTCCCTGTGTTTTCCTCGAGGACTCACCTGTGCTCAGAGAGGTGAGGTATATTGGCAGTGGGGGTTGGGGTGTTGGGGTATGTGTGTGTGTGTGTGTGTGTGTGTGTGTTATAGAAGGGCAGACAGAATGGCAAGCAAAGTGGGGGGATGGAAAGCTGCCACTGATGGCCTCTGAGTGGCCCCCGAAAGACAGACTATATATATGTATATATATCTATATATATCTGTATATAGATATATATATATATTTTTTGCTTTTTGGGTCACACCCAGCAATGCACAGGGGTTACTCCTGGCTTGTGAATTCAGGAATTACTCCTGGCAGTGCTCAGGGGACCATATGGGATGCTGGTCATCAAACCCGGGTCGGCCGCGTGCAAGGCAAAAGCCCTACCCGCTGTGCTATCGCTCCAGCCTGCCCCCCCACCCCCCGAAAGACAGACTATAAAGGCCTCAAATATCCACTTGGAAACACAGGCCAGGCCAGGGAGACGCTGCACGTGCAGAAGTCCCGGGTCTGACCCCTGGTGCTTCATGGTCTTCCCGAGCACCACGTGGAGCCGCCCCCAAATACTGCTGGGTATGACCCCAAAACTAAAACAACAAACAGGAAACTAAGGCCAGCCCCCACCCCCCACCCACCCAGACTCTGGAAGCAGGCACAGCCGGATTGGGGTCCCCACGCTTACCCAGGCCCAGCTCAATCTCACTGGCCGAGAGCTCAAAGGTGGCTTTGGAGCCGGGGACACTGCAGGAGGACAGACTCACTCCCAGGGTGCCTGTGGGGGACAGGCAGGCAAGGGCTGAGGCTTTGCCTGGACAAAGGCTGCCAGGAGATCCTTCTCAGGGCCGGGCCTCCCAGGGGCATCTGCCCTCAGCCCCAGAGATGACCGGGGAGCCCTCCTGGGAGGTGCCAGGAACTCGCCTCTCTCCCTCACCCCCCTCCCAGCCCCAGGCCACACTCACCCAGGCCCTTGACAACTGCGTTCGCCTGCTCTGTGATCTCCTGCAGCCCCACACCTGCCTCAGCCAGGGCGCCCGTCACCTGCACCCACACAGACACAGGTCCCCAGGGTGGGCAGAAGACAGGCTGGGGCTAAGGTTTCTAGTCGGGAAGGCGAGGAGGGGACTGACCGGGCGAGCAGTCTGGCCCTCTGGAGGGCAACTGAGTGTCCCCCACCCCCGGCGCCTGGCGCCCCATCATCACGCGCTCAGAGAAGGAGGGGTCGGTCCTTTCCGGTGTCACACAGACATGGGCAGCGTTTAGCTCTGTGGCAGGTACACCCGCCGCAGGGTCTGGCAGGGGGACAGGAGCACCCTGAGCTCGATGGGCCTCTGCGCGCAGGGGCTGGGGAGCAGCGGCCGGCACCCCACCCCGAGAGAGAGAGAAGGGGATGCAGGCACAGGTCCCACAGGGCCTGCTGCGAGCCCACTCGCGGCCCCTGGAGAAGCCCCCCTCAAGCTGGGCCTCTCGACAACAGCGAGGACTGGGCGGCCAGTCACAGAGGTGAGTCCTGGCCATGGAGAGCAGGGACAGTGGGAAGGAGGGGTAGGCTGGGGGTTCTGGGGGGAGGGGATGGCAACCTGCATCCACTCTAGGGACGTCGGCAGGCAAACAACAGGTCAGACACCAGATACAGGTTTTTTTTTTTTGCTTTTTGGGTCACACCAGGCGATGCTCAGGGGTTACTCCTGGCTTTGTGCTCAGGGGACCATATGGGATGCTGGGAATCGAACCCGGGTCAGCCGCGTGCAAGGCAAACGCCCTACCCGCTGTGCTATCGCTCCAGCCCCCAGATACACATTTTTGTCTGGCTTCGGGACCACAGCTGGTGGTGCTGAACTCCTGGTTCTGTACTCAGGGATCACTCCTAGTAGGCTCAGGGGAGCAGATGGGGTGCCGGGTCAGCAAATCCCGGTCAACCACTGCAAGGCAAGGGCCTTAACCTGGGGGCCATCTCTCTGGCCCAGACACACATTTTAGAAGACTCCCCAGGGCCGGGACATGGGAATCAGCAGTGGAGCGCAAGGCTGATCTCCACGCGTGTGGCAGTCTGAGCGCAGCTTTGGGATGCAGTCTGGCCGGGGCAGCCCAAACAAAGACAGGTGAGGAGCCGCGTGGGAAACAGATGGCCGGCCAGCGGAGTGCCAGCACGAGGCTGGACCCTGCATCAGGGCTCTGAGGATAGGCCCAGCCTCCAGTGGCTGGGTATGGGAGAAGAACGCTGGTAGAGGCGGGGCGGCTGGTGTTGGGGTGTGTGTGTGGGGGGGCGGGGGGACCCTCACCTTGTGGACAAGCAGGGTGCCACAGAGCCCCCGCCTGCCTGTCTTCTTCAGGACGCTGAAGGCACAGTCGTCGCCCACGATCACCATCTCCACAGCGATGCCCTCGGCCCGGGCGTGCTCCCGTGCCAGGCCGAAGTTCAGCCGGTCCCCGGTGTAGTTCTTCACGATGAGGAGGACCCCCGCTGCAAGAAGGGTCCCCGGGCAGAGACATCATTGTCGTCATCGTCAGCATCTGCTGCCCCACTGCAGCCCCTCTCTCCCCCCCCCACCCCCGCGGCACTCACCTGTGCCCGCCTGGGCTACTGCCCTGATGGCCGCCAGGATGCTGCCCACGGCCGGGGAGGCAAACACGGCGCCTGCGATGACTCCCGTCAGCATCCCCTTCCCTATGAACCCTGGAACAGGAAGGGTGGCCGGAGGCGGCTTGGGTGGGGACCTGCAACTCCAGTCCCCAGATCCCCCCTCCTTAGCCCCCCGGGCTTCCTGTTGGGGTGAATCCTGGGGTGTCAGCCCTCATCCCCTTCTGGGACAGGAGAAGCTTCCAAGCTGCAGTCGTGCCTCGGCCCTGCCCACACCCGCATGCTCAAGGGTCATCTTCCTCACGCCCGTGACCTTTGGTCACTGTCTCCCTGTAGGAGGGCAGAGGCATCTTCTGTTTGGCTCCAGGGCCCAGAACAGTGACAGGCACACAGTGAGGGGTCACTGATGTATGACAAGTCACGGGGCAGGAAGGCTCTGCCCCTTGGGACAGCTGCCCTCAGGCCCTGGTGGGAAACTGCAGGAAGGTCCCTGCAGGTGTGTGAAACTGCAGCGGAGGGGCGCCCGGGTTAGGTCCCCCGAGTACCGCCAGAGGTCACTCCTGAGCACCCCGGGCTCAAATTTTTTTTTTTGGGTCACACCCGGCGATGCACAGGGCTAACTCCTGGCTCTGCACTCAGGAATCAACCCTGCCGGTGCTCAGGGGACCATATGGGATGCTGAGAATCGAACCTGGGTTGGCCGCGTGCAAGGCAAACGCCCTACCCGCTGTGCTATTGCTCCAGCCCCTCAAAAAATTTTTTTAAGTTAATTATTTTCCCCCAATATTTCCCTTGCACTTTATATATAAACACTGTGGTCTACAAAGTTGTCCGTGATGGTTTGTTACTGGCATTCGATATTCTAACACTAATCGCACCATCGCTACACCTTCCCTTCACGGCTGTCCCCAATTTTCCCAACCAGGATTTATGCCTGCTCCCGTAGCAGGCCCTGAGTAATTTATTTAATTTTGCTTGTTAGCAATAATTTGCTAATGGAACGATCAAAAGATGTTTCTTTAGAAGAAAATAAGTGAAACTGTTGTATTTCACCTTGAGTGTGGCTTGATATTTCAAAAGAAAAAGAAGACTACCACCTGATTGATAGTATAGCCCGTAGGACATTTGCCTCACACCCCATATGGTCCAAGCCCACCAGGAAATAATCCCTGCGTGCAGAGCTGGGAGTAAGCCCTGAGCACTGCTAGGTGTGGTCCTCCAAAACAGGAAAATGCAGGCTGGAGAGATAGTAAAGGGGCACGTGGCTGACTCAGTTCAATCTCTGCACCACATCCGATATCCTGAACCCTACTGGGTGTGATCTCTGAGCACAGAGCCAAGAGTAAGCCCTGAGTACTGCTGGATGTGGCCCTAAACACCCCAAAGAAGAAAGAAAATAAAATGCAGAATGGGGTTTCTGGAGGTAAGTACTGTATTAGACTGAAGAGTCAAGAAGGTATCATGGAGGAGAGGGTCAGCTGGGCCCGGACGGCCAGGAGGTCTGGCAGAATCACAACTCTCTGTGCCCGAGGGGTGTGAAAGACCATGGGTCCGACTTCATACCTTCACAGGACAGAGAGACTGAGACCGAAAGAGAGGCCTGGGGGCTGGAGCAATAGCACAGCGGGTAGGGCATTTGCCTTGCACGCGGCCGACCCGGGTTTGATTCCCAGCATCCCATATGATCCCCTGAGCACCACCAGGAGTGATTCCTGAGTGCAAAGCCAGGACTAACTCCTGAGCATCGCAGGGTGCGACCCAAAAAAACAAAAAACAAAAACAAAAAAGACAGGCCTGGTCGCAGTGTGGAGGAGTCAGAGAGTGGGGACACGGTTCCTGACTCTGGGGCGGGCTCTGGCCTGAACCTGCTACCAGCACTGCGGGGCTGCTGGGGGCCCTCATCCCCTCCCCCAGCTCCGAGGTACTCACCAATGTGGGCAGGCTCATGGCCGGAGCCCCCTCCCGTCAACAGTGCCACTCGGCCCTTGAGGCTGTCCAGGTCGGCACGCAGGGCTACGCGATGGCCCTGCAGGACCTGCAGGCCGGGGTTGCAGGCCACCATGCCCGCAAAGGCGTCGTCGGCACAGCCTTCGACCGAGTTCACCAGCTTCTTAGAGGACTGTGGGAGGTGAGCGAGAAGGTTCCGAGTGAGGTCAGCAGGGATGTGACCCCGTTCTGCCAGCCACACTACTCTGGGCTAGAGCACGTACTTTGCAGGCAGAGGCCCCAAATTCCGTCCCTGACACTGCGTGTCCCCCCTCCCCAGCACATCACTGAAAATGGCCCCAAACCAGAACAACTCCCCCGCCCCCAAGGGGGGTGGGTACTGGAATCTTAAATATAGAAAGCCTCCAGGGCCAGGGGCATAGCTTGGAGGTGTGGAATGGACGCCCGGCAGCTGTGAGGCCCTGAGTCCCACCCCCAGCACAGCCTGCTTCCCCCACGGCACCCAACAGCCAGGCAGTGCTGCCCAGCAGGCAGCGCCCAAGCTCATCAGGAGATCCCTGGGAGCAGCTCCTAGAAAGAATAAGATGGGGGTGGGGCTGGAGAGATAGCACAGTGGGTAGGGCGTTTGCCTTGCATGCGGCCGACCCGGGTTCGATTCCCAGCTACTCCTGAGCACCGCCAGGAGTAACTCCTGAGTGCAGAGGCAGGAGGAACTCCCGTGCATCGCCGGGTGTGACCCAAAAAGCCAAAAATAAATAAATAAATAAGACTGGGACTCCAAGAGGACTCTTCTGTCAGAGGAGAGGCCCCAGATGGAGGCCTTGAGGCTAGGGAAGGGTCAGGCAGGCTCAGACCATCTGCTGCCCTGCCCAAGAGGGGCCACTGAGACAGGACTGGCAGTTGCCAAACCTTTTGGGATGGCCCAGGGCTCTGCCTGTGCAGGAGGTGGCTGGCAGCCACTGCGGAGAAGGGTCATTAGGAATTGGGAAGGGAAATGGAGGAGAGAGGGAGAGGGGAGCAGCTGGCTGTGAATGCCTGAGGGCAGGTCACCCAAACCAGCCAGGACAACCAGGACCTGCAGGAAAGCAGAGGGTGGAGCCGCCCGAGTGTCCCCCTTGCCCCCAACACCCTCTGCCCACCCCAGGAGCTGCCTAAGAGGGTCATGGGCAGGCTGGCCAGGCAGAAGGGAGCAGTGTAGGGCCTTGAGTGGGGGGGGTCTATAGTCATGGCTATCTGACCCCCCATTTCTGCCTCCTATCAGCAGTGATGACCCCTCGGTCCTGAGCCTCAAGTCTTTCTCTGCCAGATGGGGTCTAAACAAAGCCGAGTACGAGTACGTGTCTGCCACATAAAGCAAGCATGAGCTGAAAGGGAGCTCTCCCAAGATGCAGCTTCCGCCTTTAACCGCCAGAAACGCTGAAACTGGACCCAGAGGGCTGGGCACCCAGTGCCACCTGGTGGCCCTCAGTAGAATGGGTCCTAGCAAGGTACCCTTTGCAACTACTTCTTCCTGTACCTACTACTCCTTCCCTTTGTGCAAGACTTTCCTTGTCCAGGGGCCAGAGGGGCAGTACAGCAGGTAGGGTATTTATATTGTATGCAGCTGACCAGGGTTTGATCCCAGCGTCTCATATGGTCCCCGGAGCTCCTTCAGGAGTAACTCCTGAGCGCAAAGCCAGAAGTAAGCCCTAAGCACCGCCAGGTGTGACCCCAAAACAAAAAAAAAACAACAAATCTTGGCCTTCCCAGGGCTGGAGTGATAGCACAGTGGGGAGGGCGTTTGCCTTTCACACGGCCAACCCAGGTTTGATTCCCAGCATCCCATATGGTCCCCCGAGAACCTCCAGGAATAATTCCTGAGTGTAGAGTAACCCCTGTGCAACACTGGGTGTGAACCAAAAAGCAAAAAAAAAAAAAAAAAAAAAAACCAAAAAACAAAAAACAAAAAACCAACAGGGACTGGAGTGATAGCACAGTTGGGAGGGCATTTGCCTTGCAAGCGGCCAACCCAGGTTCGATTCCCAGTATCCCATATGGTCCCCCGAGCACCGCCAGGAGTGATTCCTGAGTGCATGAGCCAGGAGTAATCCCCGTGCATCGCTGGGTGTGACCCCTCCCCAATAAAAAAAAGAAGCTTGGCCTTCCCTGTGCATGGCAGGGATCAAGGCCTAGCGGCTGCTTTACGATGGGACAGTGATTGAGATCAGTGGGGAAAATTCTCCATTTACCGCACAATGACTAAGAGCCAGGTAGGTTCTGAGAACTTCTGGGCAATTCTCATTGAACTGTCCTCTTGGCCCTAGAGCCATTCATAAAAGCCATTATTCTACTTCATGGGCTGGAGCGATAGCACAGCAGGTAGGGTGTTTGCCTTGAATGCTGCCAACCCGGGTTCAATTCCTCTGTCCCTCTCGGAGAGCCTGGCAAGCTACCGAAAGTATCCCACCCGCACGGCAGAGCCTGGCAAGTTCCCCGTGGAGTATTCGATATGCCAAAAACAGTAACGACAAGACTCACAATGGAGACATTACAGTGCCCGCTCGAGCAAATTAATGAACAATGGGAGGACAGTGCTACAGTGCTATTACTACTTCATTATTTTATGTGTGGCTACTCTGTGTGTGCACGAACACATGTGCATGTGTGCATCAGGGGTTGACCCAGATCTTCAGGCATGCAAGGCCTGTGTTTTGTTTTTTTTTTTTCCTTTTTGGGTCACACTCAGCAATGCTCAGAGGTTACTCCTGGCAGTACTTGAGGGACCATATGGGATGCTGGGGATTGAATCCTGGCCGGCTGTGTGCTAGGCAAATGCCCTATCCACTGTACTATCGCTCCAGCCCCAAGGCATGTGTTATTACACTGAGCTACTCTGAGCCTTTAACTTTGGAAAGATTAGAAAATGTTGGGCCGGAGCAATAGTACAGTGGGTAGGGCACTTGCCTCGCATGCGGTCAACCCTGATTCGGTTCCTCCCTGACACCTTACATGGTCCCCTGCGCACTGCCAGGAATGAGCCCTGAGTGCAGAGCCAGGAGGAAGCAGGAGGAAGACCTGATCACTGCTGGATGTGGCCAAAAAAAAAAAAAAAAAGCAGCAAAATAAAAAAAAAAAGAAAAGAAAGAAATATGCCCCTCACCATCACTGAAGGTCTGTCCTGCTAGCAATATGTAACCTTTCCCCAAATCAGAGCCAGAGAAGAGCCTGGACTCCCAGAGGCGGTACAAAGACCAGGAGGACGGGAAGACAGATCAGCACTTTGTAAGAAGCCCCCAGGACTCTGGTGGCCTGATTGATACCTCCCAGCCACTTGGAGCAGGCGTTTGTCTGCTTGGTTCTGCAGAAGAGGTCGAGGAGGCTTGGAGAGATGGAACTGTCCTTAAAAATGTCCGAGGCAGGCTGAAATTTGAAGCCAGGTGTGGCCAAGTGGGGAGTCCAGCTCTGGGACCAAACCACACAGCCCCGAGGCTGGAACGGTTCACGGTTCAGGATCAGCTCATGAATCATTTAGAATACATAAAGAGAGGGAAGTGATAGGTGTGGGGGGGGCCCTGGGGCAACTCTCCTGCAGGGACCAGATGGTGAATGACTCAAAGGGATCTGACCCTCAGAAAGCAACCCCCTTCCTCTCTCTGCACCCCGGAAGGCAATAGCTCATCTCTGAAACAGGTCAGGAAGCCCAAGGCCTGCCTGGCCAGTGCTCCAGCACCCGTGGGGGACCTTGCTTCCTCACTTGCCTCGCCCTGGTCCTCGAAGGACTCACCATGGCGCCTGCAGAGTTCACACCTTCACAGCAAGCCTACTCGTCAGCCACCCGTCGGGCCCGAGGTAACGTGGGTGACACCGTCAGTGGCTGAAGCGCTCCCAGTCGACTGGTGCTTTCAAGCTTCCAGGGCCCTAGGGAGCTGCCTGGGACTCTGATCCAAGTCCAAACTCCAGGCTGTAGGCTGCAGGTGGAGAGAAGCGTGCTCTGAACCGTTGTTCACCTGCACCTTTCACTGCCAGGACCCTAGATCGATCCATCCTGGCTGAGCACGGTCCCTCCAGTGCTGCCCAGGAGTGTCACCGATAAGCCTGGACACTGATAAGCCACTTTCTCTGTCACCCGGGGAGAGGGCATGAAGTCATATGTTTACAACAAGCCCAGATTGCTACTGGTCGCCCCGGGAGGGAGGGAGCTGAGCCGCGATTCCCTTGAACTTCTGGGCAGGGACCCAAAATTCCAGGACTGCATCCAAGGTCACTCCAGGAGAGGCGTCAGGACTCAAAGCAGGTGGTCTGGTCGGGGGCTGGAGAGATGGCACAGTGGGTAGGGCGTTTGCCTTGCACACGGCCAACCCGGGTTCAATTCCCAGCATCCTATAGGCTCCCCTGAGCACCGTCAGGAGTGATTCCTGAGTGCAGAGCCAGGAGAAACCCCTGTGCATCACCGGGTGTGACCCAAAAAGCAAAAAAAAAAAAAAAAAAAAAAAAAAAGCAGGTGGTCGAGGTCAAGTTCTGGCCTGCGGAGCCACTGCTGTCCACTGACAACAGTGCTTTGGCAAGGGAAGACCGGGTCTGAGGGATGGAGCGACAGCACAGTGGGTAGAGCGTTTGCCTTTCACGGCGCCAACCCGGCTTCCATTCCCAGCATCCCATAGGGTCCCCTGAGCACCGCCAGGAGTCATTTCTGAGTCCATGAGCCAGTAACCCCTGTGCATTGCCAAGTGTGACCCCAAAAAGAAAAAAAAAGGAAAAAGAAGACCGGGTCTGGGGGGTCACCCTAGCTGGGGGGAGGGTTCGCCTTCTCTGGGGCTTCCTCTTGGGAAAATCTGACTAACATAGGGGTGCAGCAGAGGCCCCCTGGGGTCCTTAGGGTGCTCCCCGGGGGGAATCCTGCTGCATTAGTGTTTGAGACACGTGAATGGGGGAGAGGGGGACGGGTCTCCTTCCAAGGTGGGCAGGCCGCCCTCTCACAATAAAAGTGGGGGTGGGTGACAGATCCTGCAGAGGGGAGGGGAGGGAGCTACGCGTGGGTGGCCTCTCTCCCTGAAGACGGGACACCCACTGCGGCCACCCCAGTCCTTTCTCAGGCCGCGGCAGAGCTTCCGGTGGGGGGGGCGGAGAGAGCCCGCCCCCCCCCGTGGGGGGCCCATCCCCCCCACGTCACGGCTCCTGGAGGCCGAGGGGGGGGGTGCGAGGGCAGCGAGTGTGCGGCGGGGCGGCTCCGGGGGGGTCTCGGCGCACCTCCCCCACCCGCTCTCGCCCGCAGCAGCCACCTGCCTAGTGGCCGTCGCTTCAGCAGGGCCGCCGCCGCCAGCCCGCCGCCATCCGGGTCCTCCGGGTTCGGGCGGCGGGCGGCGGGGCGGGACGGGGCGGGGCCTCCGGCGGCCGGGGGCGGGGCCACCGGGGCGGGGCCTTCTCTGGTTGGCTGCCTCCGGAGCCGGGAGTCCTCCAGGGGGTCCGGGGAGGCCGTCCCGTGATGCCCCGCGCCGCGGCCGCTCTGGCCTGCAACGTGTCTCCGGGGCGGAGGCAGCGGCCGCCGAGTTCGCTGCGCGCGGCTGGGGGGGGGCTCCCTGTCTCTTCGCTGGTGTCCATCTCTCTCGCCGCCTGGCGCTCGCGTCCCCACGGGCCGCCCCAGCCCTCGCCATGTCGTACAACTACGTGGTAACGGCCCAGAAGCCCACCGCCGTGAATGGCTGCGTGACCGGTGAGGCCTTTCACCCCCCCCCTTTCCCGCTGCGGGCTGGAGACCCCGGCGAGGGCGGGAGTGAGGATGGCGGGGGGGGGGGGGCGGGTGGATGGGGAAATCGAGGCCTGGGGGTAGGCCTCCCGGGGGGGGCGGCGCGACAGGAGGACGGGAGCCCGGGAATGGAAGGCTCTGGAGAGGCCGAGGGGCCTCCCCGAGGCCCTGCCTTCGGACAAGCGCTCTCAGCCCACGCCTTTTTTTGGGGGGGGGGAGCTGCATTCGGCGTGCGCGGCCGGGGGCGATCGTGACTTTTCATCAGGGCAGGGTTGGGGGTCACCTGGCCTCGAGGACGGGAACGGGCACGGGGGCGATCGCAGAGGGACGTGTGCGTCGGCTCGTGCGCGTCTGCTCGGGTCCCCGAGGTGCTGGGCGGCGGGTTGGGGAGGTCGGGGGTCTCCTGTGGCGGGGTAAGGGGTCGTGCGACTCGGAGGGAGCGCCCCGGGGGCCCGGCGGGGGAAGGGACGAGAGGAATGTCCCCGCGGGCCAGGCGCCCGCCTCGCCGGGGGCTGTTGTTTGCCTGCGCGCTGGAGCGAGCGCGCGCTGCTGGACAGCGGGGGAGGGGGGGCCCAGGGTGCTCGCCCCCCCCAACCCCGATCCCCCTCCCCCACCCCTTTTCCCGGAGGCTCCGGGCTGCACTTGGCCAGTGTCGACCCCGGATCCCGTGCAAGGATCGTTGCAGACGCTGCTGGGATCCGGGACCCTGGGAAGAATGGCCCGAAACCCACCCCCCCCAGCCCCCAATCCCGGCAGAACGCTAAGGAAGATCACCCCCAGCCACTAGGGCTTATGCACGTCCTAGTCGCGATTTCCAAACTCGAGTGTTGTTGGGAGAAAAATGAAAGCGTCCGTGGTCTGGGCGGGGGGCGAGGAGGGGGAGGGGGTGTGTGTGTGTGCCAGCATTGAATGCTGGGAGCAAAAGAGGTGGAGATGAGCCGCTGTTTACGTCCAAAGCTCCGAGGATGGTCTGCACGTGACCATGGTGTGTTTGGTGACGGTAAGGGCGCCCCTGCACCCTCGCGTTGGAGGGGAAGTCAGCATCAGGCTGTAAGACAAATAACGGGGCCATCTCAGAGGTATCCCCTCCCATCCCCGAACCCCCAACCCCCAACCGCTGTGGCTTGAAGGATGCGGTCCAGTCCGGATTTCTCAGTCTGACTTCCGAGGACCACCACCTCCCCCCCACCTCCCCCGTTGAATGACTGTTGGGTCTGATGGGCAGGATTTGGCTGCAAAGGAGTTGAATGGAGGGAACTCGAGCGTTCCAGGAAGTGTGTGAGAGCCCTGCAGGTATTTAAGTGGAAATGATCGGATTGTTCTCTACTGCTTTGGCTTTCAAAATTGGTAGATGGCCCCAAGATAGCTGAGTGGATGGAGTGCATGCTCTGCAGGAGGTCTGGGTTCTGCTTCTGAGCAGACAGCCTTGTATAACCCCTCCCCCACGTGGATTTTCTTTCTTTCTTTCTTTCTTTCTTTCTTTCTTTCTTTCTTCTTTCTTTTTCTTTCTGGATCACACCTGATGATGCTCAGGGGTTACTCCTGGCTCTGCACTCAGGAATTAATCCTGGTGGTGCTCCAACCATAATGGGATGGCAGGGATCAAACCCAGGTCAGCCAACTGCAAGGCAAATGCCCTCCCCACTGTACTATGGCTCCAGCCCCCAAATGGATCTGTTCTTTCAGGACACTTTACTTCGGCTGAAGACTTGAACCTGTTGATTGCCAAAAACACGAGATTAGAAATCTATGTGGTCACCGCCGAGGGGCTTCGGCCTGTCAAGGAAGTGGGCATGTATGGGAAGATCGCTGTTATGGAGCTTTTCAGGCCCAAGGTAAGGCCGAGGGAGAACTGGGTTGAACAGTATTTTATGTTAATCGTCTCTTGGGGTGGAGTGAGCCTGATGAGAAACTTTATTTTTTGCTTGATTCTGTGTTGGGACCACACCTGGCAGTGCTGCTCCCGTGTTGCCCAGGGACTTGTCAGTGTTGGCAATCCAGGACTCCTACATGCCCAGCATGGACTTGGGTACTCTCATCCTTTGAGCTCGCTCTCTTTCTCTCTCTCTCTCTCTCTCTCTGGCCTGAGTCTTTTTTCTATTTGGATGGCAAGACTTGCCATTAGATGTTTGAACAAGCTTCCTAGATGTATCAGGAGAAATTTGCTAGAAAAAAAAAATTTCAAGTTGATTTTGTTTTTGATTTGGTTGTGCTTTTGGTTTTTGGGGCCGACACACCCTGTGGTGCTTAGAACATGAACCTGACCCTGTGCTCAGGGATCACTCCTGGCAGGCCTTGGTGGACCACATGGGGTGCTAGGTATTTAACCAGGGTTGGCCACGTGCAAGGGAAGCACCCTTCCCTCTGTACTATCACTTTGGCCCACAAGTTGATTTCCTTGGAGGGGAAGGTGTGAAATGTGGGTAGCCATACTGTGGTTGTTCTAGTGAGAGTTTGAGACTCCAGAGTTAGGGCAGTGCTGCCTTTTTTTTTTTTTTTTTTCATTTTAACTTTAGATGCTGCTTATCCTTTCTAAGCCTTGATTGTCTGTTTTGTTTTGTCCTTCCAGACAAACCTCCTCCCCTCCCCCCACTTGCAAAGCAGGTAACAAGTATCCAGACTATATTGTTATGGGTTATTGTGAGTAGTAAAAGATTTGTAACTCAGTATTTGGTACTTAGCAAGCAATCTTAGAGACAATTATATTATTGTCACTGTTAAAAAAACAAAATGCAGGTGTGGTTTTTTTTTTTTTTTGGATCACATGGATTGGTGCTCAGAGCTTACTCCTGACCCTGTGCTCAGGGATCACTCCTGATAGCACTGGCAGGACCATATGGGTTGCCAGAGATTGACCAGGTCGACTGCATTTTACCTACTGTACTTCGGCTTCTGTTGTAGTTGTAATTTTTAGTTTTGCTTTTTGGGGTCACACCAAAGGGGCCAGTGCACAGGCCTTGTTCTGTGCTCTGGGATCACTCTTGGCTGTGGCTGGGGGACCATATGTGGTGCTGAGAATTTGAATTGGGGTTGGCCATGTATAAGGCAAGTTTTTCTCCTGTGCGCCCAATGGTGTTCTGGGGACTTTGCAGTGTCAGGGATTGAGCTGAGGCCTCCTTCGTGCAAAGCATGTGCTTTAGCCCATTGAGCCCTCTCTCTGGCCTGGTTCAGAGTTCTAATTGTAAGCCTTTAGTTCTTATTTGTTTCTGTTTTGGGGCCAGACTTGGCTGTGCCCAGGGCTGACTCCTGGCTCTATGCTAAGGGATCACTCTAGGTGACTTGGGAGAACCAGATGGAGTGCTGGGAATCGAACCCTTGTCAGCCACACAAAAAACAAGCACCTTTCCTGCTGTACTTTCCCTCTGGCCCTTTCATTATAATCCTCTTTATTATAATTACAACATTCTTATAAAATTCTTTGGAGACAGATATCTGCATTATGGAAGACTTTGAGCATCACATTTTTGGTCCTCATTCTCCAAATACTTGAAGAATTTGGAAGGATGATTGAAATTAGCTTGAATTGGAAATAGATGAAGAAGGTGTAGGTCGAGCAGAGAGATGGAGAATTATTAAAAGAACTAGATGTTTACCAGCTTCGGTTCTGGCCTTTGCTGTTTATCTTTAGGGCAGAGATCTTCAAACTTATCTGACCTATCACCCCCTTTTGGGAGAAAACAAAAATCACTCAGTACCCCTTCCCTCCTCCTTGTTTAAGTGACCAAAACAGAAAGCTCTTTCCTATTGGATAGAGTCCTACTGACCCCCGCACCCCCCACCCTCGTGGATCTTGGGTGTGGGGGTAGGGCAGTCTTATTGCCCACTTCGGAAAACATTGCCTTAGGGTAAGTATATGTCTATACTTACCTTGCTTTTTCTCTTGGGGGTGGGGGATGGAATTTAACAGACTCCGCTGTGACAAGCTGGGCAGGTACTCCTGACTCAAAAGACACCTCTCTGATAGTAAACGTTGGGTTCCAGGGGGAGAGCAAGGACCTTCTGTTCATCCTGACAGCCAAGTACAATGCCTGCATCCTGGAGTACAAACAGAGTGGCGAGAGCATTGACATCATAACACGAGCCCACGGCAATGTCCAGGTGAGGGGTTTGCTACGGTGGCAAGAGTTGCCTGGTGCGACTTTGGTAAAAATTCAGTGTTTTGGGTGCGGGGCATAGATGAGCAGAGAAAAGAGGAAAACTTGGTCTGTAAAACTCAACTCGGCGGTTGGCGAGAAGGCCTGCCTTACCACTTGGACTCCTGGGCATAAATGCCAGATAGATGCCACAGGTTTCATTGCCGCTCCTGCGAGCATCTTGGGGAAGTGATGTCTGGTTTCCAGGGTTTTTCTGGGTGTCAAGGTTCTTCCCTACCTGCACTTTCCCTTCTCAGGACCGAATTGGCCGCCCCTCAGAGACGGGCATTATCGGCATCATCGACCCTGAGTGCCGGATGATTGGCCTGCGACTCTACGATGGCCTTTTCAAGGTTATTCCTCTAGACAGGGACAATAAAGAGCTCAAGGCCTTCAACATCCGCCTGGAGGAGTTACATGTCATCGATGTCAAGTTTCTCTACGGTTGCCAGGCACCTACCATCTGCTTCGTCTACCAGGTACTGAAGAGGGAGGAAAGGTTTGGCGTGTAGGCTCTTGGGAACGTCTGGATTTATAGTTGTACTGTAGCGTAGAGTTGTCAGTAATGGATTCGTCTTGGAATGCTTTGAACGTGAAAAGGAGTACGGGTCCGATTTTAGTCGCTTCTTGATGCAGTTGGTGCTTACCACGAAGGCAGGAAGCTCCCTGGGGCTTGTAGCAGGACTTAATCCTGAGATTATACCTTGGTTGTGGGTCTTCGAACATTTTATAGGATGACCCAGTTTATCCTTTGAATCTCTAACCGGTGTGCTAAGGGATTATTTTAACTGTGGAAAAATGGTCTGGAAATTGCCTTTGGAAGAAAAAAGAAAATGTCTTGGTGGTACCTTATTTATGTCTTCTAAGAAGAGACTGGCGTTCTGTCCAGCACTCACTTTCTTATGACCTGTTGGCTCTTGACTTCTATTTTAGTCTGTGTCTAAAACTTCAGCAGACCTGATCCTGGGCAGCTGTTCTCAGTCATTTGTGTTATGTGGGGTGGGGGTGGGGCGTGGGGGAGCCATCGCAGAGTAGCAGACTGACAGTCTGTGCCTGTGTCTTGGCAAAACACTGTTGTTGTTGTTTCAAATACAACGTTTATTTATTTATTTTTGTGTCACACCCAGCGATGCTTAGGAGTTACTCCTGGCTCTGCACTCCGGAATCACTCCTGGAGGTGCTTGGGGGACCATATGGGATGCTGGGAATCGAACTCGGGTCGGCCGTGTGCAAGGCAAACGCCCTACCTGCTGTGCTAGCGCCAGCCCCTAAATGAAACATTTATTATTGTTCAGGTGACATGTTTAGGATAGTGTTAATGTTTATGGTTTTGATGTACAGTTACCACACATCACGGCAGGAAAAACAGTATCAATCTTTTCGGCCTCTACATGGCTTCCCTGCTTTGCATGAGCCAGACCATGATTTTATGCCCAGTACTGTTTTGTTTTATATTTTGGGCCTTACCTGGCGGTGCTCAGGGCTTGCTTCTGGCTCTGGGCAAAGGAATCACTCCTGGTGGGTTCAGGGGACCCTTTGAGATGCTGGGGCTCGAGTTCGGGTTGGCCACTTACAAGGCAAAGGCTCTACGGGCTATGCTATGGCTACGCCCCCTCCTTGGACTGTTTAACAAAGGACTGAATAAAATGAAGTCATTGCACTCTCTGGTTGAATAAATGACGGAAGGAAACCTTTTCCAGTTCCACGTACAATGTGTGGGCATGCAGACACTTGGGTTGCTGTGTTAAGTACTGGAAAAAGAAATGTATTTTTATTTCTTTGTGTTACCATAAGTATTACAGTTTTGAACTGACTGGAATAATGATTGAAAGGGTTGAATTGTTCAGATGGTTTTGTTTATGCTTGTTTCTAGTGCATTGACTTTCAGAGCTGAAAATAAAAGCTTAAGACTTGTTTTCCTGTCTTTGTTTGATAAAAATTTATTGATGTTGGGATGCAGAGTTGTATCTTTTATTTCTTACTGTTTTTTTTTGAGCCACACCCAGTAGTATTCAGGAGTCATTCCAGGCCCAGACTTGGGGTTCACGCCTGGCTGTGTTCAGGGACTGTGTGTAGTGTTGGGCATTGAATTGGGGTTAGCCACAGTCAAGACAGTCACCCTAATCTTGGTACTGTCTCTCCAGACCCTCCGCTGGTGTTTGTTCTGTTTCTAGCCTCAGAGCTGTGGATTGTGAATGACCTTCACTTCTCTGTCCCTTAGAGCCCCGAATCAAAACCCCAATTTGAAAACTATGCATGAGATTGAGTTGGTTGTTTTTTTTTTTTTTTTTTTTTTTGCTTTTTGGGTCATACCCGGTGATGCCTGGGAGTTACACCTGGCTCTGCACTCAGGAGTTACTCCTGGCGGTGCTCAGGGGACCATATGGGATGCTGGGAATCGAACCCAGGTCGGCCGCGTGCAAGGCAAACGCAATACCCACTGTGCTATCTCTCCAGCCCCATGAGATTGAGTTTTACTCCTCTTCATTAATGGGGAAATCTTTTCACCATCTGCAAATGATTTATCTCCTGCTATGTGCCCCGGATTTGACTTGAACACCTGTCCTGTGAAAGTCAGCTAAGATACACAAAGGGGTGCTAGTGTTGATGGTCCTTGCCATGAAGCACATGGTTGAATTCTGTCCACAGCTGTTGAGACTCGAGCTGGCCTTCACCGAGGCCCCCCTCTCGTAGCTGAGAGCAGCCTTCTCCGCAGCCCTGCCTTTTTACGGCTCAGAGGCGCCTTGGCAGTCCTGGAACTGAATCATGGTTCAGAAGAAGGGGAAGATGGTGTTGGCAGTGAACGGTTTCACTCATTTTGAAGGGAGCAGCGTGTTCTTTTCTCCCTGTGGTCCCATCAGAGGCTTTTAAGATTTGTAGCAACCAGGGTTAGAGCCATTACATTGCAGCGGGTAGGGTAGGGGGTTTGCTTTGCATGCAGCCGACCCAAGTTCCATCCCCAACATCCTATAGGGTCCCTGAGCACCCCCAGGAGTAATTCCTGAGTGCAGAGCCAGGAGTTAACGTTGCTGGGTGTGGCCCAAAAACAAAAACATCAAAAAAGAATTGTAGCAACCAATTTTTTTTTTTTTGCCTTTTGGGTCATAACCCAGCATTGCACAGGGGTTACTCGTGGCTCATGCACTCAGAAATTACTCCTGGCAGTGCTTGGGTGCTTGGGGGACCATATGGGATGCTGGGACTAGAACCCAGGTCGGCTGCATGCAAGGCAAACGCCCTACCTGCTGTGCTATAGCAACCGATTTTTTTTAAATCTCTTAGGGTGTATGTTTAGTTTTATAACGTGCTGTTTCTTAGCTGTTTCGTACGTTTTTTTTTTTTTTGGTATGGTTTTTGAGGCCAAGGAAAATGGGGTGTGTTTGTTTGTGTACATGTCATAGTTATATAAATGCACACACTTTGCATATACGCATGTGTGTGTGTGTACACACACTTTTATATGTCTGTCTATCTCAGTGTCTGTGTGCGTTGTATCTCGTAGCGATAGGGACTGACAAATTCTTTCTACTGATTGTTGTCTTTGTTGGCTGAATGAATTGCTCGAACAGTAGGCCTAACACCAGCAGGCCATAATAGGCTGCCTGGCTGAGATGCCGGTGGACGAGGGTGGGGGCTAGGTGTCAGGAATGTCACCTATGAGTGTTGCTGACTTGTTCTCTTCAGGACCCCTCCCTAGCCCAAGGGCCACCCTTCCCAGAAATTGACAAACCCTTGTACTTTTCCCCACACAGGACCCTCAGGGGCGGCATGTCAAAACCTATGAGGTGTCTCTCCGAGAGAAGGAGTTCAATAAGGGCCCTTGGAAGCAGGAGAACGTGGAGGCAGAGGCCTCCATGGTGATTGCAGGTTGGTTGGTTGTTTCAGGAGTTTGCGTCCACCCCTGTTTAGGGGTGTGTGTGAAGGTAGGGTGGTGGGGGCTTTCCCCTGGCTCTGTGCCCAGGGGTCACTCCTGGTGGCTTGGGAAAACTATATATGGTATCAGGGATCGAACCCGGGTGTTCTCATGCTAGGTAAATGCCCTCCCCGCTGTACTGTGGCCCTAGCCCTGTTCACACCCCCACACCCCCACCCCCCGTTTTTGGTCCGGTATCTTGTTCTGTTCCTTCCTGTTTTCCTTCAGCTCAGTATGCAGGTGCTGTAATACTCGCATAGGCATTGCTCAGCACCTTCCTGCTGTCTGCGCTCTCCAACTGTGTTTTCCTTTGCCTTTTTTTCCATTTCTTTTTCCTTTTCTTTTGTGTGGGGGGGCTGGAGCGATAGCACAGCGGTAGGGCGTTTGCCTTGCACGCAGCCAACATGGCCGACCCGAGTTCGATTCCTCCGCCCCTCTCAGAGAGCCCGGCAAGCCACCGAGAGTATCTCGCCCTCACGGCAGAGCCTGGCAAGCTCCCCGTGACGTATTCGATATGCCAAACACACTAACAACAAAGTCTCCAATGGAGACATTACTGGGCCCGCTCGAGCAAATCGACGATCAACGGGAAGGCCTTTTTTGTGGGGGGGGGAGGGAGGTGGAGCCACATTTGGTTGAGCTCAGGGGTTAAATGACTGCTGGGGACCAAACCTGGGTCAGGCACATGCAAGACCAACATCCTGCCAGCTGTACAGCCCCCCTTCTTTTTTCTATTTCTGTCTTTGGGATTGTTCTTCGTGCCATATTCAAGAAATTTGCCTATATTTGTGGGTTTTTTTGTTAGTTTTTGTGTTTGGTCCCCACCTGCCAGTGCTCAGAGCTTAGTCCTGAGGAGCTCTGTGCTCAGGGTTCTCTCCTGGTGGGCTTGGGGAACCAGATGGGGTGCCAAGGATTGAACCTGGGTCAGCTGTGTGCAAGCCCAATGCCCTACACATTGAACTATAGTCCCCCCCCCCCCTTTTTTATGAAACTTTATTTAAGCACTGTGATTTACAGAGTTGTTCACAATACAGTTTCAAATATTCAGTGTTCGGTAGGCCAGAGCGATAGTACAATAGGTAGGGCTTTTGCCTTGCACGTGGCTGACCCAGGTTTGATCCTCGGCATCCCATATGGTCCCCTGAGCACCACCAGGAGTAATTCCTGAGTACAGAGCCAGGAGTCACCTCTGAGCATTGCCGGGTGTTAGCCAAAACCCACCCCCAGGACCCCCAAATACTCAGTTTTTCAACACCTGTCCCATCATCAGTGTGCCCTTTGTTCCATCATTGTCTCAGTTCCTCCTCCCGGCCAGCCTGCTCCCTTAGCAGGCACAAAATACTTTATTTTACGTTCCTTTTTTGGGGGGTGGCGGGGGGAGGCTTTTTGGGTCATACCTGGAGATGCTCAGGGGTTACGGGCGAGGCTTTTTGGGTCATACCTGGAGATGCTCAGGGGTTACTCCTGACTCTGCACTTGGGAATTACTCCTGGATCATGTAGGATGCCAGAGATCAAACCAGCTCGGCTTCTTGCAAGGCAAATGCCCTACCCGCTGTACTATCATTCTGGCCCCTGAACTACCGCTCTTGTTCCGTAGTTTGCTTGTATTTGGGATGGAAGAGACAGAACTGAGATTGATATGCAGCATGGAATATGGAAAGTGTCTCATTTAATAGGATCATTTCCTTTTAACATTAAAAACTTCAAAATTAGGGTCCAGTAGGGTCCTGGGGTAGCAGTCCATTCCCCCCCAAAAAATGAGGGGACTGGAGAGTTAGTACAGTGAGTAGAGTGCCTGTCTTGCATGTAACAGTCTCTGATTTGATCCTTGGCACCTCTATGGTAGCCTAAGATTGTCAGGAGTAGATTACTAGTGCAGAGCTGGGGGTAAGCCCTGCATACCTCCGAGTGTGCCGCCTCACCTCCTCCCTGCAAAAGAAAAAACCTATTAAGAGGAAAATACCGTAAGATACTCAGGTATTAGCCTCTTCCTTGCCTGAGGCTGCACATTTGATTCTTGGCACTGCTCCATATGCTTGAATGCCATCCCTGTAGCAAGCACCACTGTTGTCTGGGATCCCTGGCACTGTAATAGTGTGTGGTTGGTACACCACGACTGAGTGTGTGTGATCATCGCAATCCAGGGTGTCACCTTTGGTTGTCCCTATAGTACCAACAAAGGAAAGAGAAAGTGAACATTTTTGTGAAATTTGTGAGATTTTTGTGAACATCTGGTTTTGGGGACACACCCAGCTGTGCCCAAAGGATTGGTTTGGGGGACTGCATGGGGTGCCAGGGATTGTACGTGGGTTGGCCACGTGCAAGGCAGCATCTTCCTTTCTGTACTATCTCTCTGGCCCTCGGGGGAGGGGAAAAGTTGTTTTGAAAATGGTTTTAAATACATCTTAAAAATGTGTTTAAAGCATTTTAAAATTTGGAGGAATCCGTAGTGCTTATCTGATTATTCTGCTGATGAGGAAACAAGGGACTTGCCCATGCCTGCTTTCCCGATCCACCAACCCTGACCAAAGCCCAGGTTCTCTCTGCTCCACATTCTGGACTATTCCACACTGTGTCTCACCTCATGGAGACATGGTGCTTTTATTTATTTATTTATTTATTTATTTATAATATATTCATTTATTGAATCACTGTGGGGAAAGTTACAAAGCTTTCAGGTTTAAGTCTCGGTCATGCAATGATCACACACATTTCCCTTCAGACATGCTGCTTTTATTTATTCATTTATTTTTTGCTTTTTGGGTCACACCCGGCGATGCACAGGGGTTACTCCTGGCTCATGCACTCAGGAATGACTGGCGGTGCTCGGAGGACCATATGGGATGCTGGGAATTGAACTGGGGTCGGCTGTGTGCAAGGCAAATGCCCTACCCGCTGTGCTATCGCTCCAGCCCCGACATGGTGCTTTTAAATGGTGGCTCTGATAGGGAATTAAACCAAGGTAGGAGGTGGGGAAAGTAAAAGCTTTTAGGTGGAAAGAATCAGAAATTTCTGAGAAAAATGGGAAGAACTGAGAACTGAGACAACTCCCCACCCCTTGAAAGTCAGAAACTCTCAAAAGAAGCACTAGCGCCAGAGAGAGTACAGTGGGTTAGGCGCTTTGCAACACTCCGTGTGGTTCTCTGAGCTTCCATCAGGAGTGACCCCTGAGCACAGAACCAGGAGTAAGCCCTGAGTATTTTTGGGTGTGACCCCCACACTGTCCCCCCCACCAAAAAAAAAAAAAGAAAGAAAGAAAGAAAGAAAGAAAGAAAGAAAGAAAGAAAGAAACTTGACTAGGGTTAGAAATGACCAGCCTAGAATTTCTTAGATAGGACTCTCAGGAAATGACTATTCTATTTCTTGAACTCTTATATATATATATATATTTTTTTTTTAATTGGCTTTTTGGGGGCCTAGGGAGGGAGTTCAGGGCCTAAGGCATATGTTTTGCATGTACCAGCTTTAGTCAGTCCTTGGCACCGCATGGTTCCCTGAACATTCCTGTCGCCACTGAGCATTGCTGGGTGTGACCCTAACCACAGCCTGGAGGCCCTAGCATGTTGCTGGCTCAGGTGGCCTGTGTAATCCACAACACTGCAGAGCCCAAGCAGTGCCATCCCCTTTCTTTGGGTTCGTCAAGAACTGCTGGAAGTATGGCCCCATAGATCCCCAAGCACTGCTAGGGAGGTGCTGCCCCAAATTAAAAGAAAAAAATATGTATATATTTTTAAATCATGCTCTGTGATGCTTAAGGGTTTTTCCTGATTCTGCACTAAGAAATTACTCTTGTGCTCAGGAGAGCCTGCGGGATGCTGGGGACTGAATCTGGGTCAGCGGTGTGCAAAGCAAGTGCCCTCCTCGCTAAACTCTTCTCTCCAACCCCAAGAAAAATAATTTTTTTAAAAGTTTGCCTTGGGGCCGGAGCGATAGCACAGTGGGTAGGATGTTTGCCTTGCACTCGGCTGACCTGGGTTCAATCCCCGGCATCCCATATGGTCCCCCAAGCACCGCCAGGAGTGATTTCTGAGTGTAGAGCCAGGAATGACCCCTGAGCATCGCTGGGTGTGACCCAAAAAGCAAAAAAAAAGCAAAAAAAAAAAAACGTTTGCCTTAGATATAACTGGATCAGTGTCCCGGCACTTCAGGGCTTGGTAGATCTCAAGTGCTGATACATGTTTCTCTTGCAGTTCCAGAGCCCTTTGGAGGGGCCATCATCATTGGGCAGGAATCCATCACCTATCACAATGGTGACAAATACCTGGCAATCGCCCCTCCGATCATCAAGGTGAGCAGGAATCCCTCTTTTTTTTTTTTTTAATTCCTATCTCCCCCCTCCCCCCACTTTCCCCCAGGTCTTACCTAGGTCTTCATTTCTCTCCCTCTGTCAAAGGAGATTCACAGGTGTGTGTCTCACTCCTTGCTCTCTATATAGGATACTGTGTTCGTCACTGGAAATAAAAAGAAAGATTGACCTGGTTTTGCTAACAAAGAGCGTGCTTGGCGAGATGCAGCTCAAAGGGTTGGGCACATGCAGAGTCCGAGGTTTGCTTTATTCCTTGCACTGCAGGGAACAGTACCTTCCAATCCCTTACCCCAGCACCATGAGCAGCAGTCCATCCCCCTTAAAAAATCACGGGGGAGCTGGAGAGACAGTAGGGGGCCTGCCTTGCATGTGGCAGACTCAGGTTCAATCCTTGCCACCCCGATGGTACCCTAAGACTGCCAGGAGTGATGACGAGTGCAGAGCCAGGAGTAAGCCCTGCAATATCTCCGGGTGTGCCCCCCACCTCCTCTCCCCTCCTCCCAAGAGAATAACACCTGCGTTTAGAGAAATGGTAATCAAATTAAGTTTATCTTGTGTATTGACTGGGCCGGATTTTTTTTCATTTTGGAGGCTCCCACTGCCGTGTGTGGGGGATACTTTTGGATTGGTACTGTTCCCTGTTCCCCCCTCCCACCCCCACCTCGTCCTCCAGAAAGGCAGGTTGTTATTGTAGTTTGAGGGTTTGGGCCACGCCTGATTTGGCAGGGGAACTTCGCCTGCTTTGTGTTTGGAGGTCACTCATTGTCAGTGCAGTGCCAGGGTCAAATGGGATTGACTGTGTGCAAGAAAATCACTTAACCGCTATACTATCCCTGGTACCCCCTTTAATCCCCTTACACATGTTTAAGGGATCACTCTCTGCAGTGCTCTGGGACCATGTGGTCTGGGAATTGAACCAGGCTTCACATGTGTAAGGCAAGTGCTCTATCACTGAGCCATATCCCCAGCACTTACTGGACCAACTTTAAGGAAGGAACTATTTTTTCTTTTGTCTGTTTTGGACCACACCTGGTGGTGCTCCAGGCTTAACTCCTGGCAGACATGGGGAGGGGGGTGCACCATATAGGGTGCCAGGGATTAAACCTGGGTGGGCCGTGTGGAAGGCAAACGCCATACCCACTGTACTATTACTCTGGCCACTAGAAAGAAAATGCTTTACAATCCTATTGATTATGATGTTAAGTCACATAAAGTGATAAATTATATAGATTTGAAAATACATTCATAAGAATTTCAGACCTTTGAAGGTATTTTTTTTTTGGTGGGGGAATCACACCCAGTTGTGCTCAGGATTTACTCCTGGTTCTGTGCTTGGGGATCACTCCTGTGGGCTTGGGGAAACTATATGGGGTGCCAGGGAGTGAACCTGGGTCTGCTGCATCAAGGCAAACTCCTTCCTGGCTGTACTAGCTCACTAACTGCCCTATTTTTGAGGGTTTTTTTGTTTGTTTGTTTGTTTGGGGGCTATACCCAGTGATGCTCAGGGGTTCGACACTCAGGAGTTCTCCTGGCGGTTTTGGGGGGGCCATATGGCATACTGGAGATTGAACCCAGGTTGGCCATGTGCACAGAAAGTGCCCTACCCGCTCTGACCCCCTCTTTTGTATTTGAAGGTAAAAAAAAATCATTAACATTCACAGTCCTGTGCCTATTTAGAGTTCCTTGTTGATATACTGCTATTTTCTGATAGAATAACATGTGAATAAACTTTCAAACTTCTGATGCAGTGTTAGCTGAATTGATTCCTTGCTTGTGAAGTGACTGGCTTGGTAAAAGGAATGGCAGCCCGTTAGGGTTTGCTGTGAAGCAGGTGTGTCGTGCAGTAACCGTGCCTTCCCTATCGGTAGCAAAGCACAATTGTGTGTCACAATCGCGTGGACCCCAACGGCTCCCGCTATCTGCTGGGCGACATGGAAGGACGGCTCTTCATGCTGCTGCTGGAGAAGGAGGAACAGATGGACGGCACCGTCACCCTCAAGGACCTGCGGGTGGAACTCCTCGGAGAGGTAGGTGTGGTCCTGCCCTCCTGACACCCGCGTGATGGGGAATCACGGTAGCTGACAGGCTTCACCCTTGCTGTGGAAGCTGATGTTTGAATGATCTAGGGATTGGTGAGTCTCACAACCAGGCACATCAAGTACAAAAAATGGAAAGGATACAGTTGAGAGTTAGAGCACTGTAGCACTGTCCTCCCGTTGTTCATCGATTTGCGCGAGCGGGCCCAGTAACATTGTGAGACTTGTTAGAGATTTATCTAAATATGAGATTAATACCCGAGGCCGATGGAAACAAAGGCTAGGAGGAATGGTCCACGGTCGGAAGCTGGCCATAAGTAGTGGTGGAGGGAGGGTAGCTAGGATAGAGAAGGGATCATTGTGCAAAGATACTTGGAAATGATCGCTCTGCATAAGAACTGCATGCTGAAAGGAGGGAAAGGGACAAACATGATAACCTGTATTGCAAGCCATAATGCCCAAAAGGAAAGAGAGAGAGAAAGAATAAAAATGTCTTCCATAGAGGTAGGATGGGGGGCGGGGAGCCAGAAGGAAACTAGGGATATTGGTGGTGGGAAGAATGCACTGGTGAAGGGATGAATGTTAGAACATTATATAACTGAAACCTAATCATGAATAACTTTGGAACTGTGTATTTCAAGGTGATTCAATGTAAAAAATACATAAACTTTTTTTTTAAAAAATTCATCTGATGCAGATTATTTGATTCAGGGAGATTATTTGCCCCCTCAACTTTTTTTTTTCTTTTTGGGTCACACCTGGCGATGCTCAGGGGTCACTCCTGGCTTTGCACTCAGGAATTACTCCTGGCGGTGCTCGGAGGACCATATGGGATGCTGGGAATCGAACCCAGGTCAGCCACGTGCAAGGCAAACGCCCTACCTGCTATGCTATCGCTCCAGCCCCACCCCCTCAACTTTTAAGAATTATGCAGAGCTGGGTAAAATAGTACAATGGGTAAGGTGCTTTCCTTGCACATAGCTAATACAGGTTCAATTCCTGGCACTGCATATGATCCCTGAACCCCACCAGGAGTGATCCTTGAGCATCGAGCCAGAAGTCCACCCTGAGCACACCTAGCTGTGGTCCCCTTCAGAATAAAATGCAGTAAACTTGATAGTTTTTCATTATTTTGCGTAAATTGGAATGATTGGGATTAGCAGTAGGTTGTTCAGAGCAGGCATCTCTTAAGATCAGTTACAGATTTTTCTGTCAGGATGTGATAAATGGAGCCACTCATTTCAGAGACTGACCCACATTGGTTCAGTGTGCTGCAGGATTTGAAGTTGGCTCAGGAATCATGTAGCAGACGTCTCTGAGGTGGGTGGGAGGGAGTCTGGATTCCTGGCGGAGCCCGCTCTGATTTCTTCCATGTCATTGACTGTCTTCTAGACCTCGATTGCTGAGTGCTTGACATACCTTGATAACGGTGTTGTGTTTGTCGGGTCTCGCCTCGGGGACTCCCAGCTTGTGAAGGTAAGGGGACGTTTTCTTTCTGCCTGTATTTTCACCCCCTTCCCTGCTTCTTCAGTTGCTGTTAAGTTTGGTGTCTCAGAGTTTAAATTAAGATCATCCAGCTTTCTGTTGCTCAGCTTTCTACTTGTACGTTTATGTTCTACAGTGACTAGCTCTCTGTCTCAAAAGTTCATCCAACAAATGTGCTAGGTAACGTTATTGGTGCAGTGAGTACAGTGAAGAGCAAAACCCAGCTCCTACCTTCCACTGTAGGGCATAACTAATGTGTGAGTTTAGAATTCATAGAACGTGAACATTTTGGAGCTTCTCTGCAGAATAATGCACATGACAAAAAGGGTTAATTTCCCAACTCTTCTGAGCTCCATTTGTGGGACTCCAGATTAGAAATCTCTGACTCAATGTGGGTTACCTATAGAATAACCATGAACCTTAGTCAAAAGCCTCGTTCTGGAAGCATCCAGTGGTATCCAAGAAGGATGTTTTACAGTTGAGGTCTTTTGGGTAATCGCCGTCTCTTTAAGGTGGTGCTGTTAAGAGCAATGCTCCAGGACTAACATTGTTCTTTTTCTCAGCTCAATGTTGACAGCAATGAACAAGGTTCCTACGTAGTAGCCATGGAAACCTTTACCAACTTGGGACCCATCGTGGACATGTGCGTGGTGGATCTCGAGAGGCAGGGGCAGGGACAGGTAAGAACTTCATCCTGGATGCGCATAGTTGGTGTGCCCACTGCGTTTAGTTATCTAGAACGGGGAGTGTGCACTGGAGATAACATTTAGGCGCCTCATTCACTAATCCCAAGGAGGCAGGGGCAACCACCATTTATTGGGTACCTATCATGGCCTGCCAGACGTTTCCAGTAGTTATCTTTAATTACCCAGTCACTGTTAGAAGTGCGGATCTCTGGACTGAGGAAGATTGTCCAAGATCACATACACAAGTCAATGTTAGGCCCATCTGACGCCGGCTCCTTTGCCCTTTATAGTAAACTAGGTTCCAGGGGTGGAGACACGCTCGCTTGAAGCAGGGGTTCTAGGAGTTTTTTTTTTTTTTTTTGCTTCATGGTCTAGTACGGCCAGTCATCTCAGTCAGTTTGGGAGATTTGGACATGAATATATACTAAGTCCGCATCCTCAAACCTAGCTCCCAAGTTCTTGGATTTAGTGTCGCTTACTTTCTGTTTGGACAGTGGGATGGCCTCAGTCTCTAGAGGAGCTTCCATAGAAACCTTTTCTCTACTTGCAGCTGGTCACTTGCTCTGGGGCTTTCAAGGAAGGTTCCTTGCGGATCATCCGGAACGGAATTGGAATTCACGAGCATGCCAGCATTGACTTACCAGGCATCAAAGGTAGCCTTGGGGTGGACGAACCTCAGACCTCGGTTGTATTTGAGTGAACCTGACCTTTGGACTTGTAAAAACACTTGAGTAGGAGCTAGAGGAAAGTGGATCGAACGAAGAGTTCAGAGAAGTCATTTTAAGTGATTGGGGCCAGAGAGATAGTTCCAGGGGTTAAGGCTCCTGTCCAGTGCACGGCTGACCCGATTTGATCCTTGATACCACAGATGGTTTCGTGAGTTCTGCCAGGAGTGATCCCTGAGCACAACCAGAAAGAATTCCCTGAGCATCGCTGATGTGTGGCCAGACCTCCCTTTCCCCACTGAAAAGAGTCATAATGGCAAGTCAAATGATAGAGGCTTCAATATTTAAAAGTAAAGTTAGGTTAAAACGGAAAATATTAAGGGCCGGATTGATAGTGCAGCAGGTTTATATTTAAAAAGTATCAATAGAGGCATCATTTGGGGCCAGAGCAATACAGTACAGCGGGTAGAGCATTTTCCATACACGTCTGGTTTCAGATCCCTGAGCGCAAAGCCGGGAGTAAACCCCGAGCCCTGGTAGGTGTGGCCCAAAGACTAAAACCCAAAAAAAAAAGGTACCAGTTGGTTGTTTTTCTTGATTTAGGTAAGTGAACATCCAAATGGCAAAAGGAAGAAGCAAGAATACAATAAATACTTTATTTTTTAATTTTAATTGTTTGGATTTGTGGTGGGCTGGAGCAGTAGCATGCGGGTAGGGCGGTTGCCTTGCACGCTGCCGACATGGCCAATCCAGGTTCGATTCCTCCGCCCCTCTCGGAGAGCCCGGCAAGCTACCGAGAATATCTCGCCTGCATGGCAGAGCCTGGCAAGCTCCCCGTGACGTATTCGATATGCCAGACACAGTAACAAGTTTCACAATGGAGACGTTACTGGGCCCGCTCGAGCAAATCGATGAACAACAGGAAGACAGTGACAGTGACAGTGGATTTTTGGTCACACCCAAGTGCTCAGGGGTTACTTCTGACGATGCTCAGGAACCATATGGGATGCTCGGAATCAAACCCAGGTCGACTGCATGTGAGGCAAGCTCTTTACCCAATCACTTTACCATAGCTCTGTCCCCACGGGAAATACTTTAGAAAGAGCAGCAAGGTCCTAGAGAGTTAATACAGTGGCTAAGGTGCTTGCCTTGCTCCTGGCCACTCCAGGTTCGATCCCTGCCTACCCTTCTGGTCCTCTGAGCACACCAGGAGTGATTCCTGAGTGCAGAGCCAGGAGTAACCCTTGAGCACTGCCAGATGTGGGCCCAGAACAAAAGTAAAGGAGCAGTGAGATGAACTAGGCCATTACATTGTAAAAGCATGCTGTTGAATCTTAGGAATTACACATTACACGTGTGCTTTCAGTGCATGAAGAGGCAGGAAACTCAGAGGCAACTCAGAGGCAGCCTCAGAAGTCCAGAAATAGACAGTTGGGAATGGGAATTGAGTTGTGTGGTCTCAGGGAAAGACAATTCTCTTTAATAAAGGGTGTTGGAAATACAGGCAGTCATTTGGGACAAGAACTGTTTGTGTTCACTCTTCGTATCAAAGTAAAAATATAGGAAGCTATACAGAAACTGAAAGGAAAAGTTGGTGGATAACTAATTTTGAAATGGAAAAGACTTCTAAATTTTATTCAAAGTCACGGTCACGGTCCTTCCGTTGTTCATCGATTTGCTCGAGCGGGCCCAGTAACGTCTCCATTGTGAGGCTTGTTGTTACTGTGTTTGGCATATTCAATATGTCACGGGGAGCTTGCCAGACTTTGCCGTGCGGGCGAGATACTCTCGGTAGCTTTCTGGGCTCTCCGAGAGGGGTGGAGGAATCGAACCTGGGTCAGCCATGTCGGCCATGTGCAAGGCAAACGCCATACCCACTGTGCTATTGCTCCAGCCAAAAAGAAAGCTTCATGACAAAAAACAAAGAACCTTTAGGTTAGTAGGAAAAAGAGGGAAAACTGTATAAAAATGTTGTTTACCTTTTCTGTTGGTTTCTGGCTTTTGCGTCATACCCAGTAGCACTCGGGCTGCTCCTGACTCTGCCCTTTGAAGGCCGTGGGTCTCTCCTGGCAGTGCTGGGGACCTGGATCCTGGAATCTGAGGGTCACACTTGGGCCTCCAGATCGCATAGCATTTGCTCCGTCCATTTATGGGGCGGGGTGGGGTTGGGGTTCCACTCTGCAGTGCTCAGGGGGACTGTTGGCATGGAACCAGGCGTGTGCAAGGACCGAGTTCCCCATTGAACTGCTCTCTCCCAGCTGCCTCAGCCTTTGGAGCGCTCTGGCCTCGTTTGCTGTCCTGTTGTTGTTTTCTTTTTCCTTTTTATTTAATTTGTGATCAAGGGGGTTGGAGCAATAGCACAGCAGATAGGGCGTTTGCCTTGCACGCAGCCAACCCTGGTTCGATTCCCAGCATCCATAATGGTCTCCTGAGCACCGCCAGGGGTAATTCCTCAGTGCAGGGCTAGGAGTAACCCCTGTGCATTGACGGGTGTGACCCAAAAAGCAAAAAAATAAAAAATGATAATTTGTGATCAAACAGAATAGTTTTTACTGAAATGTACTTTGTTTTTGTTGAAATTTACTTAGAAGGATACAGGGGAGAGAAAGGGAAATACTATTCAAGAGAGAACACAGGCTTCTCCAGAGTAGAAAAGAAAAGAAAAGAAACAGAGCAAGAAAAGTAACTTGTTGAAAGGAGAATACAGCTTGAAGAGCAAGCTTCCTTTTAAATTTTTTCCTATTTGATTTAATTTTATTTAGTTTTACTTCTTGGCCCACGCTTGGTGGTGCTTAGGGAATAATATTCTTGGCTCTGTGCTCAGGGATTGCTTGTTTTTTTTTAATGAATCACCGAGAGGTACAGTTACAGACTTACAAACTTTCGTGCTTGTGTTTCAGTCATACAACGATTGAGTACCCATCCCTCCACCAGTGCCCATTCTCCACCACCAATGTCCCCAGTTCCCCACCTACCCTCCACCTCTGTGGCAGGCACATTCCCTTTTACTCTCTCTCCCCCTTTGGTTGTTGTGGTTTTCAATACAGGCGTTAAGCGGCCATATGTTCAGTCTATAGTCTATAGTCTATATTCAGCACACATCTTCCATCCCGAGTGGGCCCTACTAGCGCCCTTTACTTAGTGGTCCCTTCTCTATCTGAGCTGCCTCTTCCCCCAGCATGTGAGTCCAGCTTCCAAGTCGTGGAACAATCCTCTGGTCAGGGATTGCTCTTGGTGGCCTCTGGGGGACCATATGGGATGCTGGGGATTGTACCTAGGTTGACTGCAAATGCCCTACTCACTGTACTACCACCCCCAGCCCCCGTCTGATTTATTTTAAAGACAGAAACCTTAGCTGCAGTATGCACAAAGGGAGTACTTGCCTGCCTTGTGTGAGGCCTTGAGTGCAATTCTTTTTTTTTTTTTTTGGTCACACCTGACCAGGCTCAGGGGCTATTCCTGGCTCTTCACTCAGGAATTACTCCTGGCAGTGCTTGGGGGACCATATGGGATGCCAGGGACCAAGCCCGGGTCAGTGTGTGCAAGGCAAATGCTCCCCATTGTATTATGACTGGCTCCAAGTTCAGTTCTTTTTTTTTTTTTTCTTTTTGGGTCACGCCTGGCGATGCTCGGGTTACTCCTGGCTCCTGCCTGTGTTCAGGGGACCATATGGGATGCTGGGAATCGAACCTGTGTCGGCCCTGTTGGCTGCGTGCAAGGCAAACGCCCTACCCGCTGTGCTATCGCTCCAGCCCCTAAGTTCAGTTTTAGCACAGCATGGATCCCTGTGCTCCAGGAACAACCCGAGCCTTAGCCCCCAAGCACAGAGCCAAACAAGACAGAGGCTGGTCTTGATTTATACGAAGAGTTCAGGGTGACTCTTGATGTCACCTGCACCTGCGTCTCCCCCAGCTGGGCAGAATATTCAGTGTGAGAACCCAAGGGTGCAACACTGCTTGGTGGGAATTCCCCTGGCCACTCTGGCAGTTCTTAAGGAAATGGGTGCTTAGGTACCAGAAGTTCTAGAAGGTTCGCCAAATTTCCTGTTCTCAAATTGACCAGGGCACGAATAGATAGGTCACAGTATTCACTTCTAATTAAAAAAATTAAAGTCAAGTCACAGCTGAAGAGTGGTACCATTATTCTATGTGGGTTTTTTTTTTTTGGTCACACCCGGCCATGCTCAGGGGTTACTTCTGGCTCATGCACTCAGGAATCACTCCTGGCGGTGCTTCGGGGACCATATGGGATGCTGGGAATCGAACCTGTGTCGGCCATGTTGGCTGCGTGCAAGGCAAATGCCTTACCTGCTGTGCTATTGCTACAGCCCCTATTCTATGTTTTTAAACTTTGCTTTTTATGGTAACATTCGTTGGGATTTTATTTAATTTTGGGGGCCACACTTGGCAGTGCTCGGAGGTGAGTCCTGGCTCTGCTCAGTGGTCACTTCCGGCAGGGCTCGGGGACCATAAGCAGTGCTGGGCATTGAAACCCAGATTGGCCGTGTGCATGGCAAGCGCCTTACCCTCTGTATGTCTCTTCAGCCCAGTGATGCCCATTCTTTCCACGAAGATCAAAATCGTAAGTTTGAGAACTTACCCCGTTGGGGAGGCAGTGAGGGAAGACGCAGGCACTGCCTCATCTTCCTAAATTCTATTCGGCATCCATCCAAGCATCCACCCAGCAATTCTGAGCATCTGTCCACAGACCTTCCTGTGTATAAAAATGACAGAAGTACAAGGTTATTATTGTGGCGTTATCTTTTAGAGCTGAATACCATAAAAGTGTCCACCAATAGGAACATAACGGATCCATCTACAGACTGAGTATAGACGGGGACCTGCCACGGCTCAGGGGGATAGTTACTGGGAGCAGGGATCATGGTGGCGGGGCCAGGGAAGCAGCCATTCAGACTGTGAAGCAGTTTCTCCTTTCATTGTTTCTTTGTTTTGTTTTGTTTTGTTTTATGTTGTTTTTTGTTTTTTGTGCTTTTTGGGTCACACCGACGATGCTCGGGGGTTACTCCTGGCTCTGTACTCAGGAATTACTCCTGGCGGTGCTCAGGGGACCATATGGAATACTAGGAATCAATCAAACTCGGGTTGGCTACATGCACGGCAAACAAACGCCCTACCCGCTGTGCTATCGCTCCAGCCCCTCTCCTTTCAGTGTTGACCGCCCTCAAGTTTGTTATCGTTTTGGGGGTCGCACCTGGCAGTGCTCAGGGCCGTTCCCTGCTGGGTGCTCAGAAGAGGGCTCTAGTGTTGTTCAAGTACCAGGTCAGAGCTCAGATTGTATCTGCGCCTCCCGCATCGCAAAGCACGTGTTTGTGTTATCGTCCTGGCCCAGCCTGCCCCAAGTTTAGACTCTGAAGAATTCTGTAGTTTTTTTCTTCTTTGTGTGGCGGGCTGGAGATAGTTCAGTAGTTTAGGCACTTGCCTTGCATCTGGCTGACCTAGGCTTGATCCCCACCCCTACACACTGTCCCCCTGAGGGCTGCCAGGGGTCAGTCAGTCCTGAGCACAGAGCTAGGAATGGCCCAGAGCTCAAATGCCTCCCACCCCACCCCCCAAACAGACAAGGAGGAACTGTTGTAACCAGGGCGCTGCCCCTGAAAGTGTGAAAAAGGATAGCATAAGATAAGTGATGAGTAGCGTATCGGAATCTTTCATTTGGTATTTGCGTGTAACACAGATTACGTGCAAATACAATCTTTGCTAGGTACCTCAAAATTAAGCATTAGAAGGATAAACAGGAAACTGTTAGTGATTCCTGCTTGGGAGTTGGGTTGTAGAGGCAGGGCTTGAGGGTGGGCATTCCAGCTCAGGACGGACTTCAAAGTTCTCGTCCCTCTGTGGGTCATCCTGCCTCTTCCGGTGACGTGAGCGCTGGCCTGGAGTGTGGGTCTTAAGCCTTGGTTCTTGTTCCAGGCCTGTGGCCCCTTCGGTCTGATCCGACCCGGGAGACTGACGACACTTTGGTGCTCTCTTTCGTGGGCCAGACAAGGTAAGATGAGTTGGGTGGGGACTGGAGCGATAGCACAGCGGGAAGGGTGCTTGCCTTGCACGTGGCCGACCCGGGTTTGATCCTCAGCATCCCATAGTGTCCCCCGAGCACCTCCAGGAGTCATTCCTGAGTGCAGGAGCCAGGAGTAACCCCTGTGCATTGCCGCGTGTGACCCAAAAAGAAAAAAAAAATAAAGATGGGTTTTAGTTGTGGGTGCACGCATGGAGGTTGGAGTGGGTGGCTGGCTGGCTGACGGGGCCTCTCGCTCCGCTCTAGAGTGCTCATGCTGAACGGAGAGGAGGTGGAAGAGACGGAACTGATGGGCTTTGTGGATGACCAGCAGACTTTCTTCTGTGGCAATGTGGCTCACCAGCAGCTTATCCAGGTACTGACCTGAGAAAGGGCAGCAGCGGGCCGGAAGTGAATCTGGCTGGCAGTGGAGTGCTGATGGATTTTCTTTTTAGACAGTCACTTTGTAGGGATGGGAACGGAGCAGCTATTCTAGAAAGAAGTTAAACTTGGCTGATAATCCCCTGCTCGAAAGGAAAACACTTGGTTGCCATTCACCCCAAGCTTTGTGTTTTCTCTCTAAACTAGAGAGCTTAGAGAGTGTAAATCTAGACTCAAATATAGTACTGTATTTTCTTTTTTACCCTAGAGTGATTGTCATTGTGTGTGTGTATACACAGCTGTTAATTTGGAATACTTTTTTTAAAATTTATATTTATTTATTTATTTTTGCGTCACATCTGGTGATGCACAGGGGTTACTCCTGGCTCTGCACTTAGGAGTTACTCCTGGTGGTGCTCAGGGGACCATATGGGATGCCAAGAATCGAACCTGGGTTGGCCGCATGCAAGGCAAACGCCCTACCCGCTGTGCTATCTCTCCAGCCCCATACTTTTTTTTTAAATGTAGGAGTATTGCTATTTATTCAACCATTGATTAGGCTGATTGAATTGGGCATGAACTCCACTGGAATACTGTTTTAGCAAGTACTTAGACGCTTTCTTCGCTTGTAACTGTAGTGCATAGTTATTTGTTAAAAAAAAAAAATTGGAAAATGTCAGGGGCTGGAGATACAGCACAGCAGGTAGGTTGCTTGTCTTGTGTATGACTGACCTGGCTTTAATTCCTGAAACCCCATATGGTTCCCCCACCACTGCCAGGAGTGATCCCTGAGTGCAGAGCCAGGATTACGCCCTGAGCACTGTGGGGTGTGGACCCCCCATTTTGGGGGGAAGGTATCAGAAAACATAAAGAAGGGGGAAAATAGTACTAATGGTACCATCCACCCCCAAGAACGTAGATATTTTAGGAAGTCAGATTGGATTAACCAATCCATTCTATGTATGTGTGTGTCTGTGTCTGTCTTGGGACAATAGCCATCACGGCAGTGCTCAGGGCTTAACTTCTGGCTCTGTGCTCAGGAGTCACTCCTGGCACTGATCAGGGGCCCCTGCCATGTCAGGAATTCATCCTCTGCCTCCTGTGCTCAGAGTATTCGCCCAGTCCGTTAGACTTTCTCCGGCCCATTCTGATCTCTTTGGACTGAGAAGAGCTGCTCATCACCGGGTCGTCCTTCCTTATTACGGTAACACTTACTACTGTCAGTGTTTGTGTTGCCTCAACCTTAGTAAGAATGAAACTGGCCGTTTTGTCTGACTTTAGGTACAGAAAGTGTCAGAATAGCTTTAGGCCAGCCCTCAGGGCTTCGTCTAGAAGCGGCACCGGCTGGGATGAATCGAGATCTCTGGCAGGAGAGGAGTGACTTTCCGGGCACTCCTAGGGCGGCCTCGACCACCTCTCGCTTCCCTGGCGATCCCTGCAGGAGCCCAGTGTCGTTTTCTCCTCCCCAGATCACGTCGGCGTCTGTGCGGTTGGTCTCTCAAGAACCCAAGGCCCTGGTGAGCGAGTGGAAAGAGCCGCAGGGCAAGAACATCAGCGTGGCGTCCTGCAACAGCTGCCAGGTGGTGGTGGCCGTGGGCAGGGCGCTCTACTACCTGCAGATCCATCCTCAGGAGCTCCGGCAGGTCAGGTGTGTGCTCGTCCCCTGCCCTGTCCCTCCCCCGTCCCCGGGGGGGCGGCTCGGCTATCTCGCCCCCTCCTCCCGCCATGTCCCTCTTTGTTCAGCCACACGGAGATGGAGCACGAGGTGGCCTGCTTGGACATCACCCCCTTGGGAGAGAGCAATGGCATGTCGCCTCTCTGTGCCATCGGCCTCTGGACCGACATCTCGGCCCGGATTTTGAAGCTGCCCTCCTTTGAACTCTTGCACAAGGAGATGCTCGGTGGAGGTCGGTGCCTCGTTAAGGCCCCCGGGCTGGGGTCGGAGGGCGACTGACTTCGGAAGACAAACCTCACGATGCCCTTTCCCCCGCAGAGATCATCCCTCGGTCCATTTTGATGACCACCTTCGAGAGTAGCCACTACCTCCTTTGTGCCTTGGGAGATGGGGCCCTCTTCTACTTCGGACTGAGTGTGGAGACAGGTGAGGGTGGCGCCGGGCACGGTCTTGGCCCTTTCCCCAGCCAGCAGCGTGTCACCATCTCATCTCTCCTCCCTCTCCTCGGGGCTCCTCTTTCCGTAGGCCTGTTGAGCGACCGCAAGAAGGTGACTCTGGGCACCCAGCCCACCGTTCTGAGAACGTTCCGTTCTCTTTCTACCACCAACGTCTTTGCTTGCTCTGACCGCCCCACTGTCATCTACAGCAGCAACCACAAGTTGGTCTTCTCCAACGTCAACCTCAAGGAAGTCAACTACATGTGCCCCCTCAACTCCGATGGCTACCCCGACAGGTGGGCCTCTCGGTTTCCCGCGGCCTCCGCCCCATGCCTGTGCTCTTTTCCCAGCGTCAGTGGCGTTAAATATCCGAAACGGAGCTTCTCCGCCTGCCCACTGGAAATAGAGCTAGAAGCTTTTTCAGAGTGATTTGTGTTTCCCCACTCCCCAGGGTCTCAGTGAGTAGAAGTAGGACCCTCGAATTGCTATTTTAGGAAAATAAAATAAAATTGCTATTTTAGCAATTCTCTTAGGTGTTGTGGGTAAGAGTCAGAACTCTTTTTTTTTTTTTCTTTTTGAGTCATACCTGGCAATGCACAGGGGTTACTCCTGGCTCTGTGCTCAGGAATTATCCCTGGCGGTGCTCAGGGGACCATATGGGATGCCGGAAATCGAGCCCGGGTTGGCTGCGTGCAAGGCAAACGCCCTCCCCGCTGTGCTATTGCTCTGGCCCCATTGTCAGAACTCTTTAGGTAGGTGATAGTTAGAATCGCTGCTCTGGTGGGCTGGAAAGGTAACAGAGGAATTCAGTCATTGGCCCCGCATGTAGCCAACCCTAGCTTGATCCACAGTAAGTGGCCCCTAAAGTCCTGCCACCAAGACGTGACTCTTCAGCACAGAGCCAGAAGTAGCCCCTGAGCACCTCTGGGTATGGCCCAATATCCCCGCCCTCTGCACCCCCCCAGAAAAAAAAAACCAACAAAAACAGAAACACCACTGTTCCAGATTCTAACGCACATATGCGTTAGATGGAAAACTGTCATCCTTGACACCCCCAGATCGGTCACTGTCACTGTCCTCCCATTGTTCATCGATTTGCTCGAGTGGGCCCAGTAACGTCTCCATTGTGACAATTGTTAAGTGTGTTTAGCATATCGAATATGTCACGGGGAGCTTGCCAGGCTCTGCCATGCGGGCGAGATACTCTGGGTAGCTTGCCGGGCTCTCCGAGAGGGGCAGAGGAATTGAACTCGGGTCGGCCATGTTGGCCGCGTGCAAGGCAAACGCCCTACCCACTGTGCTATCGCTCCAGCCCACCCCCAGACCAATGAAATAAATCTGGGGAAGGGCCCAGGCCTCAGAATGTTTCGTCTCCTCAGCTGGTGCTGGGTTGAGAAGCCGGCCCTGGCTCTCCCGCCCTCTGGGGAGTTCCCTCGGCCTCTCCTTCTCGTGGCTCCTTCATCTAAATTCTGCCTCTTTCTTCCAGCCTGGCCCTGGCCAACAACAGCACCCTCACCATCGGCACCATCGACGAGATCCAGAAGCTGCACATCCGCACGGTTCCCCTCTATGAGTCTCCCAGGTGCGGGCGGGGCGGGGAGCTGGCGGGGTGGCGGCCTGGGCCAGGCCCTGCTGCGGGTCTGAGCTCCTTCGTCTGTGGTGTCCTCTAGGAAGATCTGCTACCAGGAAGTGTCGCAGTGCTTTGGGGTCCTTTCCAGCCGCATTGAGGTCCAGGATACCAGTGGGGGCACGACTGCTCTGAGGCCCAGCGCCAGCACCCAGGTGAGGGTGGGCCGCAGAGGGCACGGGAGTAGGGGCACTTCTCTGTAAAGGCGGAGAGTGACCTGTCGGCAGGCCCAACCTCGTGTTGGCAGCACAGCTGTCTCAGAGGCAGCCGGAAATGGGTGGGCAGAGCTGACCGCCGTCCAGCTTCCTTGCCTACAGAAGGGCAGCGAGCTGAATGGGGAGGCTGAGGAGAATATTTATTTTATTTTGGGGGGGAGGTGCTTTTTGGGTCACACCCAGTGATGCACAGGGGTCACTCCTGGCTCATGCACTCAGAAATTACTCCTGGCGGTACTCGGGGGACCCTGTGGGATGCTGGGAATCGAACCCGGGTCAGCCGCATGCAGGGCAAACACCCTACCCACTGTGCTATCGCTCCAGACTTTGAGAAGAATTTTCTCATCATTAGTTTGGGTGCTTTGTGTCTGGGGGAGGAGGGCCTGTCATTAATGAGGCTCGGTAGCATGATAGGTAACGGTGTGGGACTTGGAGTCAGGCCTGGTTTCAAGGTTTGTCGTAGCTGGGTGCCTTTGGTAAAGTTGAAAATTCCGTTTTTCACTTGCAAAATGAGGCTATTAGAGCTGTACACAGCGGACTAGGTGGAGGGAAGAGCTGAGCCTTGGGAATCACTTGTCGGCTCGGCCTTTCCAGCTCTCGGGCCCTTCGAATCGGACTTCTTGGAGTAGGACTTTCCCATTTTGGCTTTTGGGTCACACTTGGCAGTGTTTGGGGGACGATGTGCTGCCAGGATCAGACCAGGGATTTACACGAGTGGAGCAGCTTTTATTTATTTATTTATTTATTTATTTTGTCTTTTGGGGCACACTCAGCGGTGCTCAGGGGCTACTCCTGGCTCTGCACTCTGGAATTACTTCTGGTGGTGCTTGAGGGACCATATGGGATGCTGGGGATCGAACCTGCAAGGCTAACGCCCTCCTTGCTGTACTGTGGCTCTGGTGCCCTGCTGCAGCCTTTTGGGGCTGTCTCCCGCCCTGCGTTGTCTTTTCAGTGCTCCTTGCTCTTCCTTGAGAGCTGAACCTCGTTCGTCTTGGCCTCATTTCGCCCCCATTGGATGGCCCGATTCCTGGGTGTTGTCTCCACAGGGGATTGGAGCCGCCTGCGCTCCGTAAGGGCCAGAAGCCTTGGGAGTGCGCCTGATTCCCCCGGGCTCCCGGGCCTGACCCTGATGCACCCTCTGCCCTGTCTGTCCCAGGCCCTCTCCAGCAGCGTCAGCTCCAGCAAGCTCTTCTCCAGCAGCACCGCCCCCCACGAGACCTCCTTTGGAGAAGAGGTGGAGGTCCACAACCTGCTCATCATCGACCAGCACACCTTCGAAGGTGCACATGCCCGCCCTCTTGGCACTCTCCGGGACCCCCAGACAAGGCGCTACAGACTCTGAGACCGTCCCGAGTTAGGAGAACAGGGGCCAGAGCGATAGGACAGCGGGTAGGGCGCTTGCCTTACATGCCGCCGACCCGGGTTCCATCCCCGGCATCCCATGTGGTCCCCCAGGCACCTCCAGGAGTAATTCCTGAGTGCAGGGCCAGAAGGAACCCCTGAGCATCTCTGGGTGTGACAAAAAAAAAAAAAAACCCAAAAACATCCCACGTTCGTCCCAGGAGAGGTGCAAGGGGTGGGCACCCGACTTGGCCATGATTGGGGCTTGTGGTGCCTCCTCAGGTTGTCCCAGGCTGATGGGGGGCACGCTTGGAGCCAGGGGCTGGCGGGGACCAGTGCTCTGCTTTGAGCCGGGCCCTAGGCCTCAGAAACGAAGGAGGAGGCGCCTCAGGGAATGCAGCCAGTCACTCTCTGCTGTTCTCCTTCTAGTCCTTCACGCCCACCAGTTTCTGCAGAACGAGTATGCCCTCAGCCTGGTTTCCTGCAAGTTGGGCAAAGACCCCAACACCTACTTCATCGTGGGCACAGCCATGGTGTACCCCGAGGAGGCGGAGCCCAAGCAGGGCCGGATTGTGGTCTTTCAGTACTCGGATGGTAGGTGGCGTGAGGCCGGCTTTCAGGACGCTCGGCTGTTGGGAAAGGGAAACGGGGGTGAATTAACTTGCGAAAGAGCCGTTTCCTCTTACACCTTTGGGGGGTTGAGTTTCAGGGAGGGTGAGCAGAGTCATAAGTGAAATGTCAGTATTTCATTTCTTTCATTTTGGCAGAGGAAACCTTGTTGCAGGACTATGTGCAACCCTAGAGTTGTCTTGGGCGGCTCAGCCATTCAGGTCCTCTGTCCAACTTCAGCATTTTGTGTTCAGTTTTCTGTTTATAATCATCTCCCCTGAAGACCAGCTGTCAGGCCCCCGAAGGGAAGGTCTGCCCTGAGCGGATTGGCTGCAGGTCTGGACACCGTCTGGTCATTGCACATGGCCGGGGGCCCACAGACCCGCCCAGGACAGTGACGTGTTTGTTTCTAGGCAGGCGCTTCGGCGGCAGGAACTGGGGCGCAGGGCAGGTGGGGGCGCGCGTGGGCTCCCGAGGGGGACTCAGGAGTTCTCTCTCCTCTCCCCCCAGGAAAGCTGCAGACCGTGGCCGAGAAGGAGGTGAAGGGGGCCGTGTACTCGATGGTGGAGTTTAATGGGAAGCTGTTAGCCAGCATCAACAGCACGGTGAGGCCCTCCCCTGGCACCAGGCCTCAGGCCGCTAGCCAGCCCGGGCAGAACACACGTCTGGGGGGTTTCCGGGGGCTGTGTGTGTCGTTGTGTTTGTTTCTCACACACGGCGATGCTCAGGGGTCACTCCTGGCTCTGCACTCAGGAATCATTCCTGGCGGCGCTCAGGGGACCATATGGGATGCTGGGAATCGAACCTGGGTCGGCTGTGTGCAAGGCAAATGCCCTACCCGCTGTGCTATCACTCCAGCCCCTGTGTTTGTTTCTTACCGTCCCCACACCCTATTGCTGTTTTGTCGGTGGTGTTGCACACCCATCTGCTGCTCACAGGGAGCTGGCTATCCGATCGTGTGCTTGCACACTTCGCTTTGGTGCTCGCTGAGATACAATCTCCTTTAGTATGATGCTCGCACTCATACTTGCCAGGGCCCCACCCGCTGTGCTTGCAGTGCTTGCTGGGGGTCACTGCGGTGCCGGCCAGGCATGCTCATCACTTGGGTTGCAGTGCTTTTTCTGGCCTTGCTCGCCAACCCCTGGAAATAGCTCCTGACGCCAGGGGTCACTGGCAGTGCAGCTCATGCCCATGCCTGTGGGACCTGGCGAAGTCGAACTCATGCTTTTGAGGCAGGGCCTCATGTGAGTCGGAGATCCTCACTGCCGGGGGGATTGAGCTGGTGCCCCTGCACACAGTGTGTTGTGCTGTAAGATTTCATTCCTGTGGCACAAATGAGCTTCGCCGTATTGCCAGAAGCACATCCCTGGAATGCTAGTCTTAACGCGGTGTTCCATGTTTCTCTGCCAGGAGACCGTTTGCTCCCTCATTTAAAAAAATACGGTGACTGGAGAGATCCTATAGTGGGTAAGGTGCACATGGCCGACCTGGGTTCGGTCCCCAGCAGCCCATATGGTGGTCCCCCAAAGCACCACCTAGTGTGGCTCAAAAATAAAAGGTGTGGGGTGCTCCCAAGAGGTACTCAGGAACTGGGGGAGGCAAGCCTGGTGATTCTTGCCCAGTGTTGCTTGCTAGGTCAGTGATTGGGCCTGGTGCTAACTTGCGGCTTGGGCCTGGCTGTGCTGGGACCCCCAGGGTCATATGTGATGGAGCCGGCAGGGGCTGGGGGTTGGGGGGGAAAGGGCAGGTTTGGTTTGGTTTGGTTTGGTTTGGTGGCCACACCCAGTTGATGCTTGGGGCTTATTCCTGGCTCTGTGCTCAGGAATCACTGTTGTCGGGGCTCAGGGAACCAACCATACAGGGTTTGAGGATTGAACTTGGGTCAAGGGACAATTGTGTGCACGACAGGTGCCTTACGCATTCTAGCCTCTTAACACCCCGGGGCGGTATTCTTTTTTTTAAATTAGTTTTCATGCTCCAATGAATTCAGCAAGAACTGCGTTGTAGAGTTTCACAGTGCCTGGTGTAATTTATGAAAGGTACCAAGAGGGGAAGTGAATATGAAGAGAACTTTTGGTTTTGGTTTTGGATCATGTGAGCAATGCTCAGGACTTGTGCCTGGCTCTGCGCTCAGGGGTCATTCATGGTGGGCTCGCGCTCCATATGGGTTGTCCGGGATGGAACCCAGAGCAGCCGTGTGCAAGGGCAAACGCCCTATTCACTGTACTACAGCTCTAGTCCCTTAAAGAAAGCTTTTCGCTTGATGGCTCTGCGATTGTTTATGCATTTTCATTCATTGGTCCTGGGGACATAGTACAGGGAGCATGTGCATGGCCCAGTTTGATCTCCTGCCCTGCTTGTTTGATCTCCTGAGCACTGCTGGGTGTGACCCCAGAGTTGGGAGTTGCCCCTGACTACTGCCAGATGTGACCCCAAAAGCAAATAAAAATAAGATTATAATTTTAAGCTGAAAGTCTGGATGAGGTCACCTAAATTCTCTCCGTTGATGTTGGCTAGTGGCTGCAGTATTGGGTCATGACTGTCTGGGACCTATTAGGGTATACTTGGGAGTCTTGTGTTTGTGGTCGTGTCTGAGCTTATTTGTGTGTGTGTGTGTGTGTGTGTGTGTGTGTGTGTGTGTGTGTTTAAGCTCTCCCTGTGGTGCTCAGGGTAGCTTTGGGAGGTGAAGCTGTTGATGCCCAGCGAGGCTGGCTTCACCCAGGGATGTTCTAGACTCTGTTGACCAGTCAGTGGAGGGCACTAGACCTGGCTGTTACTGCGGATGACTCTTGGAGTCTGAGTTTGTGGCGTTGGGGTTCCTTAAACGCCCTGGGGGGATTGTGGCTGACCTTCTTCTGTCCTTCAGTGTCTGTCTGTCTGTGCAGAGGCTGTGGGTAGAACCCCCTGCACTCTGAAGGGTGTGCCAGGACATCTTCCTCCAAGTATCCCCCCCTGCCCCCACATTGCCCTCAAGGAAATGGGGGTCCCGGGGGTGGGAATGTCATTCCGAGATGTTCCGGGTTGAGAGATGGCCCGTCCTGCACAGGTGCGGCTATACGAGTGGACCACGGAGAAGGAGCTGCGCACCGAGTGCAATCACTACAACAACATCATGGCCCTCTACCTGAAGACCAAGGGCGACTTCATCCTGGTGGGCGACCTGATGCGCTCCGTGCTGCTGCTTGCCTACAAGCCGATGGAGGGCAACTTCGAAGAGGTGGGTGGGCCAGCGTCTTGCTGGAGCTGCGGCCCCTGCGGGCGTTGTGTCTTGTGGTGAGGGATTGTCATCCCAGGGCGGGTGGGCGGAAGTGTGTTACCGCAGCGGTGAGCTGCGTGGAAAGACGGGAAAACTGAACTCGTCACTGCAGCTAAGTGACCTGCAGTGGCCAGACTCCGGGGATGGCATTCCTCGAACACGGGCACTGGCTGCCCTGTGCGCTGCTGACCGGCCTTTTCTTGTTGCCCCTTGTCTGTCTGAAGATCGCACGAGACTTTAACCCCAACTGGATGAGCGCTGTGGAAATCTTGGATGATGACAATTTCCTGGGGGCCGAGAATGCGTTTAACTTGTTTGTGTGTCAGAAGGACAGGTGAGTGGCCTGGGAAAGGGGCGGGGAGGCTGGGGCCTCCGGGTGGCCGAGGCAGCCGAGGACCGTGGGTTTCCTCTTGGACCCAAGCGCTTTCTCTTCACGGAGGTGGGATTTTTCTCATGAGAATCACAGCCACAAAGTCAGCCACTTTGAGCGACTCCGTGGCAGAATGGGTAGCAGCTTGGACTTCCAGAGGCCCAAGGCTTTCAGCATGGGGTTGCTTCAGGGACTCAGAGAGAGGCATGCAGTGGGGGCGGGGGCGGGCGGTGACATTTCACTGCCTTTCAGCGCTGCCACCACCGACGAGGAACGGCAGCACCTGCAGGAAGTTGGGCTTTTCCACCTGGGCGAGTTCGTCAATGTCTTCTGCCACGGCTCTCTGGTCATGCAGAATCTGGGCGAGACGTCCACCCCCACCCAAGGCTCGGTGCTCTTTGGCACAGTCAATGGCATGATCGGTAAGACCACGTTCCTAGCGGGCCGGCCTCGTGGTGTCTGTTCCGAGCAGCTGCAGGGGGGCCGGATGCCACCGTCTGCAGCGCATGCTCTCTGTGACTGCAGGGCTGGTGACCTCACTGTCGGAGAGCTGGTACAACCTCCTGCTGGACATGCAGAATCGGCTCAATAAAGTCATCAAAAGCGTGGGCAAGATCGAGCACTCCTTATATCCTTGCCAGAGATGCCCCTAGCTGGGAAGCGTGTTACCGTAAGCTGCTGCTGAAGGCTTTGGAAGGGGCTTGTCTGGGCTTGGGGAACAAGCTTGATTTTTTTTTTTGGGGGGGTCACACCCGGTGATGCACAGGGGTCACTCCTGACTCTGTATTCAGGAATTATCCCTGGAGGTGCTCAGGGGACTATCTGGGATGCTGGGAATCGAACCCAGGTCGGACGCGTGCAAGGCAAACACCCTACCTACTGTGCTATCGCTCTAGCCCCTTTTTATTTATCATTATTTTTTTAAATGTATGTGTTTTGCCACACCCAGCACTGCCCAGGGCTTACTCTGACTCTACACTCAGGTGTCCCTCTTCTTTTTTTTTTTTTTCTTTTTGGGTCACACCCAGCAATGCACGGGGTTTACTCCTGGCTCTGCACTCAGGAACTACTGGCGGTGCTGGGGGACCATATGGGATGCTGGGAATCGAACCCGGGTTGGCTGCATGCAAGTCAAAGGCTCTACCTGCTGTGTTATCACTCCAGCCCCCTCAGGTGTCCTTCTTGTGGGGCTCAGGGCACCATATGAGGTGCCAGAGAGCTAACCTAGGTTGACTCTCGCTGGTGCGAGGCCAGCGCCCTCCCTGCTGTCCTGACCTCCGGCCCGGGAATAAGCTTTTCTGACGGAATGGTTCCGGTTCGGTGTAGGAAAGTGCGGTACTGCCCTGGTCACGTATTTACCACTCAGCTCCAGCTGCTCCCTCTCGGAGGCACCCACGTCTATTCCTGTGTCTGCGTCTGGGTCTCCTGATGGCGCCCGGCAGCCCATGCATTGGGGTCTACCCTTGGGTACCTCCTTTCAGAGTTGGCTGGCGGCAGCCACTTCCGAGGCCCCTCACTAGTGGGTTAGCAGCAGTACCTCCAGGGGGAGAAGGGAATTCTCGGCGGCACCAAATCCAAATTCTACTGGCTGGAATCCTGCAGATTAAGGCAGTTTGGGGGCCCTCCCAGGGAGATGGGTTTTTACGGGGCCACGTGTCCGGAGGAGACAGGCAGGGCAGTGGAAGGGTGTGGTGTGGGATTTGCTGACTACCAAGTCCTTGGCGGGGGCGCCTTGTCTCAGTTAAGCTGTAAAGATGGAAAACGGGCTCAGAAGAGTGTTCCCCGGGCCTGCAGGCTCAGGAAACACCCTGCACGTCCGCTCGACACCAGCCATCATACGGGCTGCGTGTTGGGAAGCCTCAGTTCAGCTTTCTCTCCTGCTGACTCAGTCTTCCGTTTCGGAGGAGCTGCAGCCGGCACTGCTGGGGTTGATTCCAGCTCATGATGCTGAATCCTGGGTGCAAAGCCCACGTTCCCTTGCCCTGGAGCTCTCTCTGGTCCCATGATTATCTAATTTGCGTAGGAGCAAATAACCGTGTTTCGTTAAACTCCAGGATGGTCCAGAAAGCAGTGATTTTGGGGGGTCTGGTAGAAACTAGTTTCCTGGTCTCGCCCTGCTGCTTGCCTCAGCTTAGTCTTGGCAGAGGTGGGGTTGGCCGAGGGGAAGGGGAGCTGTGAATAGAGGCACATCCTTAACTCGCCGCCACCTGGAGATCCTTCCATACTGAGCGCAAGACGGAGCCGGCCACTGGCTTCATCGATGGAGACTTGATCGAGAGTTTCTTGGATATCAGCCGCCCCAAGATGCAGGAGGTGGTGGCAAACCTGCAGGTGAGCTCTGCGCCTCGGCTCAGGCCCGTCCTAGGACGTGCCAGGGCAGCGTCAGAACTCCGGGCTCTCCCTTCTTTTTTATTATTATTATTATTATTTTGCATTTTGGGTCACACCCAGCGATGCACAGGGGTCACTCCTGCCTCATGCATCCAGGAATCACTCCTGGCGGTGCTCGGGGGACCATATGGGATGCTGGGAATCGAACCCCAATCGGCCGCGTGCAAGGCACTATCGCTGCAACCTCATGTTGTACCTCGCCTGACCCTGCTGAGGGGTCAGCCCGGTCCGCGGAACGCGGAACCGCTTCCCTTTCGTCCAAGAGCCCAAGTGGCGTGTCTGGCGCGGGGAGGCCGCGCTGGGATTGTGCTGGGAAGAGGCATTCCCAGCTTGGGTGTTGCTGGTGCTAGGGACGGGTCGCCTCTGGGGCCCGGCGCGCGGTGGGCGGTGGGTGAATGTGGGTCCCTCCCTCCGGAACGGAGCGTGCCCGCTCAGCCCTCACGGTCCTGCCCTGCCTTGCAGTACGACGACGGCAGCGGGATGAAGCGTGAGGCCACTGCCGACGACCTGATCAAGGTGGTGGAGGAGCTCACACGGATCCATTAGCCACGGGCACGGCGCCCCCGGGCCCCGGCCCCGCCTGACGGCTTTGCCCACCCGCTCTCCTCCCTCTTGCCCTCCGCGTCTTCGCCTTGGGAACCCTGTCCCTCCGCCACGGCCCCAGGAGCCACGGGGCACCTTTGTGAGAATGGGGGTTTCTTAGAACTAAAACCAGTTCACCGGAGACCTGGCAGTGGGCTGGCGGTGAAATCCTTCCCCCTGGGCTTGATACCAGTCACGGGATTCCCGCTGTCACCTCGGACCACCGGCCTCGTGGGTGTGGCCCGCGGCCCTCTTCCCGGGGAGGGCTTTGCTGCTCGGGCCCGAGGGAAGCTCTGGGCGTGAGTGTGTTGTGCTCCCGCACTGTCCGCCACTCTGCTCGGGCCGGGCGTGTGGGGAGACTGGGGTCGGGGATTGGGGGTGGGGGGGTCGCTGTCCTTGAGGTGCGAGCTTCCTTTTACTTTCTTCGATGGCCTCCGAGCGCTCTGGGGTCCGCGTGTGTAAAACCCGGGGATGGTAGATGAGCCCCAAGCCACAGCCTCTCTGTCTCTGGGGAACCGCCTCCTTCCAAGGGAAGGCGGTGGGGGGACGTGAATTGGTTGTTAGTTTCTGAGTTTTACCAAATAAAGTAGACTCTAAGAAGATCTGTTGCTTCCTGCTCTGCTTCCTGCGACTTCAGGCACTCGAGGCCAGGCTCCGTGGATGGTCCCTTTCCCGTGACAGCTGTGCCCGTCACTGCATGCTGCGGTGGAAGACCTCTGGGCCTCTGCTGGCCTCGGCACCGTTTGGGGGGATCCCAAGGTTGATGGGATTCGGGGTTTATGAGATTTTGTCATCCCAACAGGTTGTCGTTGGATGCTGCATTGCCTCCACAGTGACCCGCTGGGGCCAGGGACTGCCGGGCTGCCTTCCTGGGCAGTGGCTGGCCAGTGGGTCCCCACACCTTGCTGCTCCCACACCTCCCAGGAGATATGCACTTTGGAGTCTTTTTTATTTTTTTAAATTTGGACTTTTTTGGGTCTGAAGAGATAGCATAGCGGGTAGGGCATTTGCCTTGCACACGGCCGACCCGGGTTCGATTCCCAGCACCCCATATGGTCCTCCAAACACCTCCAGGAGTAGTTCCTAAGTGCAGAACCAGGTCACACCCTGTGCATCGCTAGGTATGACCCAAAAAGGAAAAAAAAGTTAAAAAAAATAAAATAAATTTGAACTTTTTTTTAAAAAAATTTTTATTAAGGCACCTGCATCTACAAAATTATTCATATAAGAATTTTAGGCGAGCAGTGTTCCAACACCAATAACACCACCATTGGTGTCAACTTCAGTCCACCAATGTAGCCAGATTCTTCAGAGAAGCCTCTTCATTTCTGACAATTCAAACAATCTTTATTTATTTATTATGCTTCTTGGGTCACACCCGGTGATGCACAGGGGTTACTCCTGGCTCATGCACTCAAGAATTACTCCTGGCGGTGCCTGGGGGACCATATAGCATGCTGGGAATCAAACCTGGGTCGGCCGCATGCAAGGCAAACACCCTACCCGTTGTGCTATCACTCCAGCCCCTCAAACAATCTTTAGACGGATGCTCAGCGTTAGGGAGATAAGCAAAATTTGGATTATTCTTAAGGAAATCTTTGGTTTGAAAGTCGAGGAAAGGGGCACATCGGGTTTTCACCCTCCACTCTGGAGCTCCGTTGGCAGCAGTGCCCCGTGGGAACAGAGGCCACTCTGGCGCAGCAGGGAGCGAGGCAGCTGGGCCCTGCCTGGCATGGGCTGGGGCGCTTTAAGACCAGCCTGTGATACAGTGTTAGGGAAATTGTTATTTCTGAGTCTAGCTGTGGTTTTGAAAGCTCTAGGCTTAAACGGAAAAGAGCAGGGGAGCATCTCCCCTGGCAGGGTCTCCCTGAGGGAATTCTCATTTCGGACCCATGTCTTGTGTTTCATGACTGACTGTGTTTTTCCCCTGACTTCCTTGGGTTTTTTTTTTTTTTCTTTTTGGATCACACCCAGCAATGCACAGGGGTTACTCCTGGCTCTGCGCTCAGGAATTACTCCTAGCGGTCCTGGGGGACCATATGGGATGTTGGGAATCGAACCTGGGCTGGCCGCGTGCAAGGCAAATGCCCTACCCGCTGTGTGATCGCTCCAGCACCCGTGACTTCCTTGATTTTTGAGGGCGCTAAGGGATTTGAGGGGAGGGGAGGATGAGTTTTTAAGAGAAAAACAAAGACCACATCTCTCAAAATCCCCATGTAAACTGGAATCTTCACACTGTGATTTGAATTCAAGGCCCGTTTCAAATGGGAAAGGCTTGTGACCAGGCTGGGGGCTGGTTGATCCCAGTGTGGGCTGAGTCTGCTCAAACTTTTCACTCAGCAAGGGGAGGTTTGACCCTAAGAGGGCACAGTCAGAAAGAAAAAAAGGCGGGGAGTGTTCTGATCCCTTCAGCAGACTCAGACTCACCCCTACTTTCCATCCACTGTGGAAACTATCTTCGTTCCCTGTGGTCTTGGGTAGAATTACTCGAAACAGAATTCTGGCAGTCCTTTGAAAACTGACATTCTCTTGCCCCCCACATCTCTCTTAAAAAAAAACATTTAATCATCGGGACCGTAGAGCGAGAACCATGGGCAGCACACCTGCCTTGCATGCAACGTCAGGTCACTGGATTCAACCCCTGGCACCCCATGTGGTCCCCTGAGATTGCCAGTAGTGATCCCTGAGCAAAGAGCCCTGAACTCAGCTGGGTGTTGGCCCAAAACAGAAAACTCATTAATCACCTCTGCAGGGGTGAAAGGTCGCCTTCGGAGCTTAGCTCCAGTCTGCTGGGATAGTTCCGACTGGGATCCACGCTCCAGGCCTCTGCAAGGGACTTGGGGAAGAGCACAGACACCTCTGCACCGTTGGGAAGGATCGCAGGCCAGAGGCTGCCTTTCTGCCACCGACAACTTGGGTCCTCTGTCCTTGGGAGCGGGTTGTTACAGAGAAACCACAGAAATGGGAGGAAAATACTGAGAAACTGGAGCTAAGGGTTGTGCCCAAACCAGCCCTTAAAGAGGAGACGTCTCACACAGGCTGCCCTTGGAGAGGCCTCCGAGTCCGACTCAGAAGACCAAATAAGAGAGTGGACACCAAAGAAGGAAAGACACAAACTGTTGCTCAAAGCTAGGTGATGGTCATTAGGTCAAGGGAAATCACGATAGGAATTTACAGTCTCTTACAAAACCTGGAGTCTCTAAACATAGAAGGGGATTTGCAACTTAAAAAAAAAAAACTGATGGTGGGGCTGGAGCGATAGCACAGCAGGTAGGGCGTTTTCCTGGCACACAGCTGACCCGGGTTCGATTCCCAGCATCCCGTATGGTCCCCGAATACGGCCAGGAGTAATTCCTGAGTACAGAGCCAGGAGTAACCCCTGTGCATCACTGGTTATGATCCAAAAAAAGAAAAAAATGGTGAGCTGGAACGGGTAGGGCGTTTGCCTTGCATGCAGCTGATCCAGGTTCAATTCCCAGCATCTCATATGGTCCCCTGAGTACCGCCAGGGGTAATTCCTGAGTGCAGAGCCAGGAGTGACCCCTATGCATCGCCGGGTGTGATCCAGAAAGCAAAGCAAAGAAAAAAAAAAACTGGTGATGTGAAGGTTGGAATTTTAAGTTCGCACGTATGCTAGGCAGTGTCCTATACTGAGTCATAACCTTAAGGGGGAATTTTCTTTAAGCCCCAACTGAACCAAAGCTACAGGAGAGAGGCAGGGTAGGGAATTCAGAATGGAGTTGCCCAGGCATGCAGGAGTCGGGCAGAAGATGCTGCATGGTACAGGCGTGTAAGAGGAAATTAGGGCTGGAGAGCTCAATGGGCTGAGTGCACGCTTTGCCTGCAGGATCCCTCCTTACCCCCCCATAAGACATTCCCCTCCCCTGCCAGGAATACCCCCCAGAACCTGGGAACAGCCCCTGAGCACTGCCACGTGTGACTCCCAAAACAAGCTTGTTGGAGAAGTATGTTAAGAATTGGTGGACGGGGGCTGGATCTATAGCACAACGGGTAGGGCATTTACCTTGCATGCGACTGACCTGGGTTCGATCCCCAGCATCCCATATGGTCCCCCGAGCACCACCAGGAGTAATTCCTGAGTGCATGAACCAGGAGTAACCCCTGAGCACTGCTGGGTGTGACCCAAAAAGCAAAAAAAAAAAGGGTGAATAGCTTCTTGGGTGGCAGGAAAGGGTCGCCTATTATTTGACCTTGAGTAAGCATCTATGTGGACTGATAGGCAATAGTTTTGTTTTTGTCTTTGTTTACTCAAGTGATAGAAGCACTTTATTTATTTATTTATTTATTTATTTTGGCTTTTTGGGTCACACCCAGCGGTGCACAAGGGTTACTCCTGGCTCTGCACTCAGGAGTTACTCCTGGCGGTGCTCAGGGGACCATATGGGATGCTGGGAATCGAACCTGGGTCGGCCACGTGCTAGGCAAACGCCCTACCCGCTGTGCTGTCTCTCCAGCCCCAATATAGAAGCACTTTATTTTTGAAAAAAATTCAGAGCTAATTCCCCTCCCCCCTTGACCACATCCTGCAGTGCTTAGGGGTCATTCCCGGCACATTGCTGGGGACCCGTGTGTTGATGGTGCGTAGGACTCCTGCATGCGAAGCATGTGCTCCAGCCCTTTGGGCCATCTCCTTGGCCCCACAGGCTTCTGAGGAGGTGGACACTGAGGCTCTGTACCCTCGGTGAGGAGAGCAGGAGTACTGGGTGGGGAAGAAGGTGCAGTGGGATGTTTGGGGTGAAACAGAAAGATGTTCTAGAGCGTTGGACGCAAGGCCAGTTCTGGAACGCCTGTACTCCGACCCAGGGCTTTGGGCTGAGAATGCACATAATATGGGAAGTCGCTTTCTTCTTACCCTATGGGGTGAGTTTTGGGGCAGATGGCTCAGATTTTGTTTAAATTAGAAGAAACTAACAAGGTCAGAGAACAAGGCTCAAACCATCACCGTCTGCAAAAACAGCCCCACATGCTCAGGGTAAGAAAATCAGCTTATGCTCAATCATCAAAGCAGTAAAAGACAACAGGGGCCAGAGAGATAGCACAGTGGGTAGGGCACTTTCCTTGCACACAACTGATCTGGGTTCAATCCCCAGCAACACAGAAAGGATTCCCTGAGCACTGCCAGGAGTGACCCCTGAATGCGGAGCCAGGAATAAGCCCTGAGCACAGCTGGGGATGTGCCTCCTCCCCCGCACCGCCGCCCCCTCCAATAAGGGATGGGCTGCAGACAGTATAGCAGAGAGGGTGCAAGGCACTTACCTTGTACACAGCCAACCCAGTTTAATTTCCAGCATCCCCTGTGGTCCCCCCAAAACCCACATGGCATGATCCCTGAGTGCAGAGCCAGGGGTAACCCCTGAGCACTACTGGGTGTGACCCAAAACAAACAGAACAAGACCAAATCCATCTGAGGTCTAATGTAAACCCAGCGTCAGGAGTTACAGAATCGATCACAGGGTTGCCCAAAGTCTAAGGAACCCTAACCAGGCTGTGTGGATAAGGAATCAGGAGGCCAGAATGTGGACCATGTTGGCACAGCCAGGTGCTTTATTTGTGGCCACCAGGGGACCTTGGTGACAGACTGAAGTAGCCAGGGCACCTTTTTTTTTTTTTTTTTTTTTTTTTTGCATTTTGGGTCACACCCGGCGATGCTCAGGGGTTACTCCTGGCTCTGCACTCAGGAATTACTCCTGGCGGTGCTCGGGGGACCATATGGGATGCTGGGATTCGAACCTGGGTAGGCAAGCCACCGTACCCACTATGCTAGGGCTCCAGCCCCGGGAGGGCACCTATCTTAACAGCTCTGGTTCCCAGCCCACCACCCCAGGGAATGCTGAGTTCCTGAGCTGGGGAATGTGTAGGAAACTGTGTTCAGTGGGAGGTAGACTCTGGTCACTCTTTAACTGCCCCACTGTCCTATGACCTAGCTTCCACCCACCACCTGTCCACCACCAGTTCCCTGCTTCCACGCCTGTTCTACCAACTTCTCCACCTCCAACCACAGGCTGACCCCCTGCCCCTGGGTAGCCCCGAGGCTGACTGGTGTGTGTCAGGGTGCAGACCAGCAGGTTTGCCTAGAACACAGCCGCGAAATGACCCAGGGTCCCGGGTCCGGATCCCCACCTCCTCCTCCTCCTCCTCCTCACACCCTGGCATCTTGTGTTTCTCGCAGTCGAGCGGTGCCGGGGGGGCGGCGGGTGTCCCATGCCAGCCCGCCTGGTTTCCTCCCCCAAACCTCAGCCTGACGCCACACAGCCTCCCTTTGCAGGAAGCCGACGAGCACACCCGGGCCGGGCCGGGGAGGGTGCGGGCCTTGGGCGAGAAACCCCGCCCCCAGGGGGGTCCCTGATCTTTGCCCCGGCCTGGGGCTCCGCGCTTCCCCGGGAGGCCGCGGGCGGGAGCGCGTCGCGGCCTTTTGTGCGTCTCGCTCCGAGGTGCCAGAGACCCCCGGCCGTGCGCTCTAGGCCCCCCAGCCCCTCCTCTTGGCGTCTCCAGCTCCCCCGGCTTGGCTCGACTTGCCAGCTCCAGGCTCGCTGGTTCGCTCCCTGCAGCGCCAGGAGGAGGGGCGACGGCCGGCAGCCCCCTCCTCCCCCGCGCGCGGCGCCGGAGCCCAGCCGAGCCGGGGTTGGGGTGGGTGGGGGGGACCCGCCGCTGCCTCTGTCGCCGTCGCCGTCGCTGTCGCCGGTCATGTGGGCCGGACTGTTCCTTGGGGTCGCCTGTGTCGCGCTCCTGCCGCCCGGGACCCCGGCCCGGGGCTACCCCGCGAGGAAGCCGTCCGGGCACTCGGCGGCCGAGAGGTAAGCGCCCCGCGACCCTCCCCTGCGCGGCTGCAGGGGCGCCCCGGGGCGCTGTCCGCGGGGTCGGGACAAAGGGCTGCGTGCGCTGCGGGCGGGCGCCAGTCCGATGCCCCTGCTTGGGGGGGACACTAACCCCGGCTGGGCCCTGGGGGGGACTCGGGGGGGGCGCGGATCCCGGGCCAGGGGGCCTGGGGACGTGCCACCTGGTGCGGGACGCGCCTCCCGCTCTCCCCGGGCACTTTCCCGGCCTCCCCGCGCCGCTTTGGCCGTCCTGGGAGCCCCCGAGCTGGAGGGACCGGCTTGTGGGGTGGGGGTCTGCACGCCGAGCCGCCGGGGTCCCCCGGGGGCTGTGTCGGTTTCCGCCGCCCCGGACTCCTCCCGCGGACGCCGCCTCCAGGGAGCCGCCTCCCGGCCGGCCGGGCGCGCGTGTGCGTGATGCTCCGAGCCAGGGAACACGGTGTCAGCGGGCGGCCAGGCCTGGCCGGCGGCCACGGATTGGGGGGCGCGCGGGGGGCGCACACGTGCGTTCCGCAGCCCCCGCCAGTTCCTGCGGCGTCTCGGAGCCTTCCTGCCACCTGTCTCCCCCCGGCCCGCTCCGGAGCCGCTTCCCGGCGCCTCGCCGCACCCCTATCAGCCTTCCAGCACCCAGCCAGGGGCGCAGGGGGAGACCCCCGGCCGCTCGCTCGCCCGCCCCGCCCCCTCCCGGGCCCCTCCCCTGCTGCCCCCGCCCCCAGTTCTGTGTTGACTTTTTTTTTCTTTTTTGCTTTTTGGGTCACACCTGGCGATGCTCAGGGATTACTCCTGACTTTGAACTCAGGAATCACTCCTGGCAGTGCTGGGGGACCATATGGGATGCTGGGATTTGAACCCGGGTCGGCCGGGTGCAAGGCAAACGCCCTACCCGCTGTGCTATCACTCCAGCCTGTCTGTGTTGACTTTAGAGAGGGAATGAGCCTCTCCGGGCTCGGCTCCTCCGGGCTCCTCTGTCCGGGATGCTTGTCACGTTGGTCACCAACGGTTCCTCAAGGTGGGAGTGGGTCCCCAACACTGGCTACAGTGCCCCCCACCCTCGTTCCCGGGTGCTCTCTGAGCTGCCCCATCCCCAGGATATTCCCATCAACTCCTGAACTCCAGTGGCGGGAATCTGGGGGAGTTGGGGGAGATCTGGGGTGGACACACCATGGGAGAGGTGACCTTAATCCGTCAAGCTGAGCAGGCTGGACTCCCACACCCTCTAGCTCAGAGATCACACCACAATCTGTCCTGCTCCCACTGTCCCCTGTCGCCCCCCCATTTGCTTCCCTCCACTGATTCTGGGCAGCGGACCCTGCAGCAGAGTCAGGGGATTGGGGGGTCCCCGACTCTCCTGTGCCTCCCCCTACCCCCAACACTTGTCATACTGTGTGACTGTCACTGTTTGTCTGCTCACCGAGGCTTGGTGATGACTGAGCTGCCTTTTTTTTGTTTTTGTTTTTTGCTTTTTGGGTCACACCCAGTGATGCACAGGAGTTACTCCTGGTTCATGCGCTCAGGAATTACTCCTGGTGGTGCTCGGGGGACCATATGGGATGCTGGAGATTGAACTCGGATTCGCCGCGTGCAAGGCAAATACCTTATCCGCTGTGCTATCACTCCAGCCCCTAAGCTGCCTTATTTTGTGGGGGGTTGAGGATTGGGGGTATGACACTTGCTTTGACTCAGGGGCTACTCCCAGTTCAGTGCTTGGGGTCCTTCCTGGCGGTGCCGCAGATCTAGCTGGGGTTGTCCACGTGCAAAGCCAGTGCCTTAGCCCTTGGCCTGTCTCACCCAGCGCCTGGCACCTTCGTTCCCCTGGAGGCCGCCGGCCCTGGCCGCTTTACAGTCTCCACCTGACTCTCCCTCACCTGCTCTGCCCTGCGCTGTCCAGGTGCTGGGGGACAACGGGGAATCTCGGAGAGAGGCAGGCGACAGTCACGAATCATGAAATCAAGTCATTCAGGGCTGGAGAGCTAGTCCAGGGCTTAAGGCACTTGGTTTTGCACAACAAATGGCCCCAGATCCCCCCCAAAAATAAGTAATAAAGTAATTCAGTGCCAGGACTGGAGCGATCGCACAGCCTTTGCCTTGCACACGGCTGACCCGGGTTTGATCCCCAGCATCCCATATGGTCCCTTGAGCACAGCCAGGAGTGATTCCTGAGTGCAGACCCAAGAGTAACACTGAACATCGCTGGGTGTGACCCCAACCTCCTCCCCACCCAAGAAAAAAGGTAATTCAGTGCCCAGGAAGTAGGTTGTGTTATGAAGAAGGGCTCAGGGGCTTGGCACTCCTGTATTGAATTGAGTAAGTCATGAGTTCAAATCACCTTCACTGGGGTTGGTTCTAGCAACCTTGCCACCTGAAATGCCTGAGGCCACTAATGATTTCCCTGCTGCCTGGTCGCTAGAGGCACCTAGGGAAGTGTGCAGGAGCCCGGGCAGGTGTGGGTACCACAGCAGCACCCCAACTCAGAGAAGCCCCGCCGAGCACGCATGCGGGCACCACCACCGGTGGGCTCCTTGGTGAGCCCTGACACCTGCGGGCTGCCCAGTGAGCTGGGAAGGGGCAGGTGTGTGACACCCCTGCCCCCCCCCCCCCACTTCATCGCTACAGTGTCCATAACAGCAGCAAGGGACGGAGGGAGGAGTAAAGGTCTGCAAGACTGAGACTCTGTGAGCCCTCTAGGAGTTGCCGGAGCCGTGAAGGGGCTGGGGGAGGGGCTGAGGAAGGCCCGTCCCCCAACACCAACCTGCTCTTGCTCCTGCCACGGCCTGTCTTCAGCTCTGACTCCCCTCCTTGCCCCCTGCTCAGACCTTTGTCTCATTCTGCCTCCAGATCACTCCTCCCTCCCTCCCTCCCTCCCTCCCTTCCTTCCTTCCTCTCCTCCCTCCCTCCCTCCCTTCCTTCCTTCCTCTCCTCCCTCCCTCCCTCCCTCCCTTCCTTCCTTCCTTCCTCTCCTCCCTCCCTCCCTTCTGCCCTTCTTTCCTCCTTTCATTCCTTCCTTCTTTTACCCCTCTGTTCCTCCTTCCCTTCCTCCCTCCCCCATCTTCCTCCTTTACTTCCTATCCTCCTCCCTCCTTCCTTTCATCCTTCCTTTCTACCTTTTTCCTTTCTTTCTTCCTCCTCTCCCACCTTTTCTTCCCTCCTTCCCTCCCTCCCTCCCTCCCTCCCTCCCTCCCTTCATTCCGTCCTTTCCTTCATTCATTCATCCTTCCTCTCTCCCTTCCTCCCTTCCTTCCCTCCCTCCCTCCCTCCCCTTCCTCCCTCTCTTCCTTCTCCTTTTGGGGTTGCCTGGTGGCAGGGCCCCACCCGCCTTGGATCTCTCAAGCCATGCCTGCACCTAGTCGTGCCCACCTTCCTGTCCCTGCCGACCCCTCTCCCGGGTCAAAACCCAGCCCGTGGCTCTCCTCTCTTGCAGACGCCGCCTGGGCCCCCACGTCTGCCTCTCGGCATTCGGGAGTGGCTGCTGCCCCGGCTGGGCACCATCGCTGGGCAGCGGGCACTGCACCCTCCGTAAGTGCCAGCTCCTGTGCTGGGCTGGGGGCTGGGGGCAGGGGGGGCCCAGCCCCCTCCCTCACCACTCCGTCTGCTCCCAGCTCTCTGCTCCTTCGGCTGTGGGGATGGCATCTGTGTTGCTCCCAACCTCTGCTCCTGCCAGCACGGAGAGCAAGGGGCCACGTGCCCAGGTAAGGGGGGTCACTGGGCGGGGGGCGGGGGAGGTCCTGCCTTCTCACCCCCAACAATGGAGGGGGTTCCTGTCCTACTTCATTTATTTCCGGTTGGATCACACCTAGTTGGGTTCAGGGCTTATTCCTGGCTCTGTGCAGGGCTGGGAGGGACCACTGGGGATTGAACTTGGATCAGCCACGTGCAAGGCGAGTGCCCTGAGCCCTGGACTATGGGGGCGGGCGGGGCTCGCTGCCTGCTCACGGGGTCCCTCTGTTCCCAGAAGCCAGCAGACCTTGCGGGGAGTATGGCTGTGACCTCAGCTGCAACCACGGCGGCTGTCGGGAGGTGGCCCGGGTGTGCCCTGTGGGCTTCACCATGACGGAGACAGCGGTTGGCATCAGGTGTACAGGTGAGACGTCCGGGCAGCGGCAGGGCTCTCGGGTGCTGAGAGGGGACCCCACACGGCAGGGACAGAGCTCTCCGCCCCCCACGACCCACCCACGGAGACTTGGATCTGGATTAGCCCCTGGTGCCCCACAGCTAGAACCAAGCCCACCTCTGCCTCTCGGTGGTACCACGCCCCCCCCCCCCCCGCACCCCGCGGGAATAAGTGTTCACAGGCCAGGCCCTGGGGGAGCCGGGGGCTTCCCGGAGGCTCCCAGACTGCAGGCCCGCTGGGGGAGGGTGGGAGTGGTTCAGTCACACGCGTGCTCTCAGCAGCCAGTCCCAGGAAGTGTTCAGGCACCCTGGAAGGGGTTCAGTCGTTCTTCCTGCCACTTGCTCTTGAGTTTGGTTTTGATTTAGAGGGGACACACCTGTGTGGAGGCAGTTCCCGGCTCTGTGATAGGGGGGCCTTCCTGGGGGTGCTGGGGGTCAGAGCCAGGTCTCTCCCACGCAAAGCGCATTCCTCCCAAAGCGTCTCACCACTCAGCTTCAGGTGCAATGGAGGGGTGCTTTTCTTTTTCTTTTTTTTTTTGCTTTTTTGCGTCACACCCGGCGATGCACAGGGGTTCCTCCTGGCTCATGCACTCAGGAATTACTCCTGGTGGTGCTCGGGGGACCATATGGGATGCTGGGAATCGAACCCGGGTTGGCTGCCTGCAAGGCAAACGCCCTACCTGCTATGCTATCGCTCCAGCCCTGGAGGGGCACTTTCTGTGTGTTCACTTCAAGAAAGTAGACTGGAGGGGTTGCTGAGTGATTTGTTTGCTGAAAAGGGGTCCCTTGGCCTCTCCTTTCGGGGCTCCCTATGGCCTCTCTCCAGGTTGTGGTGAGGAGGCTTCCTCCCTGCACCCCATCCACAAGCAGGGCGGCTTCTGCAGGGGTTTCTCTCTCCGCAGACATCGACGAATGCTTAAGTTCCTCCTGTGAGGGCCTGTGTGTGAACACAGAGGGCGGCTTCGTGTGTGAGTGTGGACCGGGCATGCAGCTGTCTGCAGACCGCCACAGCTGCCAAGGTGAGCCGCTCCAAGGGTTGCCCCGCCAGCCTGTCCCCACCACTCACCGCCTTTCACCCCCGCCGTTCCCCCTCTGAGGGACAGTGTCCACATCCACACCTTCATGGGGGCGGGGGAAACTGAGGCCAGCGTGAAGCCGTCCTCGCAGGAGTGCGGAGTCAGGCTAATCTCCAGGTGCATAGACTCAAGGGCCCTCGGAGTTAGAAACCGGATCCTTAGGGTGACAGAGTCAACCAACCAGGGTGGGGGTAAGGGGGGGGTGACCTACAGATTCGGGGGGGGGTGCTGAATGAAGGGAGGGGAGTTCAGAGTGGGAGCCGATCATTTGTTCATTCATTTTTCCCACATGCCCCCAGTGAGGCCAGGCTCTGCAGTCACGCTTGCGGTATTAAAAATTCTGTTCTCCAGTGTTCTGTGGGGCTGGAGTGATAGCACAGCAGGTAGAGCGTTTGCCTTGCACGTGGCCAACCCGGGTTCGATTCCTCCGTCCCTCTTAGAGAGCCCGGCAAGCTACCGAGAGTATCCCACCCACACGGCAGAGCCTGGCAAGCTCCTTGTGGCGAATTCGATATGCCAAAAACAGTAACAACAAGTCTCACAATGGAGAAGTTACTGGTGCCCCCTCGAGCAAATCGATGAACTATGGGAGGACAGTGCTACAGTGTTCTGTGGGGTGGGGAGGGAAATAACAAAGACGTGAGGGTGAGGGATGTGTTGTGAGGGAAAGCAGGGAACAGTGCCAGACAACGGCAGGAGGCGACTTTGAGAAAGGAGGTGCTGTCGGAACTGGGTGTTGAGGGATGAGTAGGAGTTTTCCAGCCAGATGAGGTGGATAGACGTTCTAGACAGACAGAGGAACATGGGCAAAGCGGAGGCCCACGAGAGCATGGTACATTTGTGAAACAGCAAGAATTTAAGCCAGAGCCATAGCACAGCAGGTAGGGCACTTGCACATGGTGGGCCCGGGTTGGATCCCCGGCATCCCATAGGGTCCCCCAAGCACAACCAGGAGTAATTCCTGAGTGCAGCGCCAGGAGTAACACTTGAGCATCACCAGGTGTGATGCTATGCTATCGGTGATGCACCCGGCGATGCACAGGGGTTACTCCTGGCGCTGCGCTCAGGAATTACCCCTGGCGGTGCTCAGGGGACCCTGTGGGATGCTGAGAATTGAACCCGGGTCGGCCGCCTGCAAGGCAAATGCCCTACCTGCTGTGCTATTGCTCCAGCCACCCCCCCCCCCCCCAAAAGAAGAATTTAAGCAGGAGGAAGATGAAATGCAGGGACAGAGGTGGGGAAGGAAGGCAGTGAACGGCATTGCAGGCGCTTATGGGAGCCCTGATGGGTGGGTTTTTTTTTTTTTGCTTTTTGGGTCACACCCAGCGATGCACAGGGGCTACTCCTGGCTCTGCACTCAGGAATTACTCCTGGCGGTGCTCAGGGGACCATATGGGATGCTGGGAATCGAACCCGGGTCGGCCACGTGCAAGGCAAACGCTCTACCCACTGTGCTATCGCTCCAGCCCCCCCCCCCCCCATGGGTGTTTTAAGCGGAGTGGCCTGAGCAGAGATGATGTGGGTCAGAGCAACCTGGGGCCGAGAAACAGCCAAGGTGCTGGTCCCCAAGGTGCTGAGTGGAAACGGTGATCAGAGAAAGAGGCGAGGGCCCCCCCCCCGCCCCCCCCGTGCGCTAGTACTCCTTGCAGACTTGTTCCCTCCTAGACACAGATGAATGCCTGGGGACCCCGTGTCAGCAGAGGTGTAAGAACAGCTTCGGGAGCTACCACTGCTCCTGCAGAACCGGCTTCCATCTCCATGGCAACCGGCACACCTGCCTAGGTAAGGGCGGGGCATGCCGCTGTCTTCCTTAGGGGTGGGCGGGGAGAGGGGCGGGGCCTCCCTTTCCCTGAAGCCTGCAAGCGCTGGAGACTTTGCGGAGAGCCTGCCTTGGCCTTGGCCAGGGTTGGCGTGGCCCCTCCAGGGAGCCCCCTGGCCGGGGCTTTTCCTGGTGAGTGCCCCTTTCATCCTGTTGTTTCTCTTCCGTCCTTCTCCCAGATACACCCCAAGGATTCCTCTCTGCTCACCCATTTTCTTGGCTGCTTTGCTCCCCTGGGTAAATAAAGCACGTTATGTCTTGGTTCCTATGGTTTGGAAGGAGACCCCTGCTTTCTGAGTCATTAGCAGACATTTTCAGAAAGGGATTGGCATGTCCTGCCCTGAGCTTGGCTCATGGTTTGAAGGGGAGGGCCCGTGGGCCTACGAGAGACCTTGTTCTGGTGGAGTGAGGTCTGCACCCCCCTGGTGACTTTTGTGACTTTTCTGAAGGGGCCACTTCACCCTCCCAGACACATTGACAGGGTAAGGTTTGGAGGTTCTCAGCAGGGATCCTCCCCACCGGCCCGCAGAGCCCTTGCTGGGGAGTGTGGGGGTGGGGGAGACTCCCTGGCCCTTTGGACTAAGGGATGGGCGGGAGAAGGGCTTGCGCTGCCTCCCGGACAGTGGGCAGCAGCAAGGCTCTCCTGCAGATGTCAACGAGTGTCGGAGGCCGCTAGAGAGGCGAGTCTGTCATCATTCCTGCCATAACACCGTGGGCAGCTTCCTGTGCACATGCAGGCCAGGCTACAGGCTCCGTGCTGACCGCGTGTCCTGCGAAGGTGAGCCGCCAGCCCTAGCTCTCGCAGCCCCGAAGCCTGGTCACTGGTCCTGCCATCTCCAGCGGTAACCCTACCCTCCCACTCCCCGCCCTTCCCCCAAGACCCTGCCCTGCAAGTACCAGGCCCCGCCCATAGGCACCAGGCCCCGCCCTTCCAGCACTAACCCTGCCCTCCTAGTCCCGACCCTGTCCCAGGCCCCGCCCACAGGCTTCAGGCCTCACCTTCCCCGGCACTAACTCTTCCTTCCCACTCCCAGCCCTGCCCCAGGCCCCGCCCCGAAACGATCAGGCCCTGCCCACATATTTTAGGCCACTCCCCCTCCAACAGTAACTCCGCCCTCCCACTCCCTGCCCTGCCCCAGGCCCCGCCCTGCAAGTACCAGGCCCTGCCCATAGGTGCCAGGCCCCGCCCCTTCAGCACTAACCCCGCCCTCCCACTCCCGGCCCTGCCCCAGGTCCCACCCACAGGCTTCAGGCCTCACCTTAGCACTAACTCTTCCCACACCTGGCCCTGCCCCAGGCCCCGCCCCGAATCAGCCCCGCCCATATATTTTAGGCCACTCCCCCTCCAGCACTATCTCGCCCTTCCACTCCTGGCCCTGCCCTAGGCCCCGCCCTGCAGTACCAGACTCCGCCCACTGGGGGGATCCAGGCCCCTCCCTCCCCAGAGTAAAGCCCACCCATCTGGCACCAGGTCCCGCCTTCCTGCTGCCTTTTCAGCTCATTTATTTCCAACACATTTCTCTATAGCTTTATTTTTTGGCTTTTTGGGTCACACCTGGCGATGCACAGAGGTTACTCCTGGCTCTGCACTCAGGAATTACCTACCTCTGGCGGTGCTCAGGGAATCATATGGGATGCTGGGAATCGAACCCACGTTGGCCACGTGCAAGGCAAATGCCCTACCACTGTGCTATTGCTCCAGCCCCTCTATAACTTTTTATTTCACCTTTCCCCCAAAGTGGTAAAAGCGGAAAGGAACCTCCCCAAAGCAAATAATGGCGTATTAGGAGACCTGGGCCCCTTGGTAACCTGGGTTCCCAGGGGCTCTGACTGCCTGTCGTGCTCTGTCCCTGAGCCTGTGAGCATGGGGAATGTCCTGTGAAACACTGAAGGTGTTCAGCTTGTCCACGGTGAGTTTTCCTGCTGTAAGAGTGTGTGAGTGTGTGAATGTGAGTGTATGCGGTAGTGTGTGTGTGTCTGTGTGTGAGTGAATGTATGTGGGAGTTTGTGTGTGTGTGTGTGTCCGTGTGGGGGTGTGTGAGCATGTGAATGTGTGTATGCGCTAGAGTGTGAGTGCGTGGGTGTGGCTTTGTAGTGTGTGCGAAGGTGTCTGTGATAGTTTGTGTGTATGTGGTCGTGTGTGTATATGTGTGAATATGTGAGTGTGTATGAGTGACTGGTACTGCATGGCTATGCATGCCAGTGCGTGTGAGAATGTGAGTGTGGTACTGCGTGTGTGTGAGTATGTGTATGTATTTATGGAAGGATGCATGGGCATGTGAGTGTTTGAGTGCCTGTGTGAGTGTGTGCCATCACTTGCTGTGGAGCTGGAGAGGATCCCGGGCTGATTCCCCATCCTGACCCTTCTCACCCCTTCCCAGGGAGCAGGGACCTCCCTCTCCTTTGATCAGGACGGAGCCGTGGAGGGGAGGAGGTCTGCCTGGCTCAGGAGAACTTGGCGTCCTCGTCCTCGGAGAAGGGAGAGGGCATCAGCAGCTGTTTGCTGTTGGGGCGCAGAGAAATCTGAGCCCTCAGTCTCTCCCCTGCTTTCCTTTCAGCCTTCCCCCAGGCCGTGCTGGCACCCTCGGCCATCCTGCAGCCCCTGGGACGCCCACCCCCGATGCTGCTGCTCCCTGAGGCCGGCCGGCCCCCCCTCTCTCCCGGACACAGCCCGCCTTCAGGGGCCCCTGGGCCTCCAGCTGGAGTCGGCACCACCCACCTGCCATCGCCCACACCCGCCCCAGCTGCATCCTCACCTGCTGCCCCTGACCAGCTGCCGTCCACTCCCACGGCCTCCTCGTCCACTCTCACGCCTCCCTCGGTACTCTCGGAGAAGGTGGTTGTGGCCCCATCCCTGCCCAGGGGGCCTGCGGCCACACCGCCGGCCCCGAAGCCCTCTGCCTGCTGGCACCTGGGGGCCGAGTATGCGTCTGGGAGCCGCTGGACGCAGCCGGGGTGTTGGCAGTGCTGCTGCGAGGTAGGTGTCAGGGCCCGGGGTGGCCTGGCCTGGCGTCTTGGCCTTGGGCTGGCCGGAACTCCTGCTTCTGCTTGCAGGATGGGGAGGTGACCTGTGACAGGGTGATCTGTGACGTTGCGTGTTCCCACCCTGTTCCCCCCGGAAATGGGAGCTGCTGTCCGTCCTGTGCAGGTAGGCACTGGTCAGCAAGAGGCCGGGTGGCCCTGCCCCTTCCTCATCACCGTTGGCCCTTCTGAAGCTGACAGTCTGCTCACAGGAGTCTTGCACTCCACCCAACTTCTGGCTTTGCACGCAAGAATTTTTCCTGGCAGTGCTCAGGGGCCCATATGGGATGCTGGGGATCGAACCTGGGTCCGCCACGTGCAAGGCAGATGCCCTAGCTTCTGTGCTGTCTCACTGGCCACCTCTTTTGTTGTTATTTGGACAACACTGGCAGTGCTCAAGGTTTACTCCTGGCTCTGTGCTCCAGAATATTTCTGGTACTGCTCAGGGATCATTCCTGGAGGGACTTGGGGGACTGTATGTGGTTCTGGGGATTGAACTGGGTCAGTCTTGTGCAAGGCAAGCGCCTTACCTGTTGTAACGCCTAGGCCCCTTGTGTGTGTGTGTGTGTGTGTGTGTGTGTGTGTGTGTGTGTTTTGGTTGGCTTCTGTTTTTCCCTCACAGTGATTGGGAGCTACTCCTGACTTGGTCCTCAGGGGTTGTTCTCTGCTGTGTTTGGGGGACCATGAGGTGCTGGGGATCGAACCTGGGTCTCCTGCATGCAAAGCCTACGCTCTGGCCCTTTGAGGATCCTCTGGTCTCTAGGGTGATGTCTTTCAAGGGGGGCGTTTTGTTGTGGGAGATCCTTTGGGAACTGGATTCACTCGCTCCATCTGTTCCATGAGTTCCCTCGGAGCACCCTGCAGTCCCCTTCCCGGGCCTCCCTCCCCTCCTACTGCCGGGGGCTGGCAAATTCTGCTCCTCCCTTTTCCTTCCGTTCTCTGCCTACAGCTTTTCATTGGCTTTGCTGTGAAGATAAGGACCCACCTCTCAACAGCTCCTTCAGCAGAGTTCCTCATTCTCATTCTGCACTTTTTTTTATTCTAATTTTTAAAAAATCGAATCACTGTGATATAGACCGTTACAAAGCTGTTCATAATTGGGTTTCAGTTATAGAATGTTCCAACATCCATCCCTCCACCAGTGCACATTTCCTACCACCAGTGTCCCCAGTTTCCCTCCCACCTCCACCCCATTCCCCCACTCCACAAGCTCCCCTCAGGTAGGCACTTTTCTCTGCCCCCCCACCCCCCCGTCTGAGCATTATGGTTTGCAATACAGGTACTAAGCGGTCATTGAGTTTGTTCAGGGTGTTCAGTATTTTTATCGGGAAGGAACAGCTGAAATAGATTTGTTTTGTTTTGTTGTTGTTTTTGCTTTTTTTTTTTGGGTCACACTTGGTGATGCACAGGGGTTACTCCTGGCTCTGCACTCAGGAATTACTCCTAGCGGTGCTCAGGGGACCATATGGGATGCTGGGAATCGAACCCAGGTCAGCTGCGTGCAAGGCAAATGCCCTACCTGCTGTGCTATTGCTCTAGCTCCTCAAATAGATTTTTGTAACTGAATGACAGCTTTGCGGTGTGGACCTGACTCACAGGGCTTCCAGAAGTACAGGGAAGTGGGGGGGAGGTAACCCATTCCAGCTTCGAGAAAGCCTGGAGATTTCAGTCACAAAACCTGCATACCTGCATTTTCAGCAGATTAATATCTCAGTGAAGGTTTGTCTCAAGATGGTGGAGTCTGACTGGGGACAGAGCAGCAATTTTGGATTGTGGGAGCAAGCAGCTCCCAGGATTTCTGTTTGGGCGGGCACTGGGCCCACCCACCCCACCTCTGATGTGCCCCTGATGATTCAGCCTTGCATGGAGATTTACGCAGCATTTTGAGCTCTTTCATCAGTCTGCGTTTTGGTTCTCTGAGGGTCCTCTTAAAGCACTTTCTCGCTCAAAAGCTGGAGGGGGGTGCCGAGTGCCCACGTTTCTAGGTCATCTCTTGTTCTCCTGCTCAGGCAGAGGAGTGGGGTAACTGGTTCCCCTGGGGGAACAGTTAATAGCTATTAATAACTTTAATAGCTCCGTAGCTTCCTGGCTGACCCCAAGAGACACAGGGACACAGCTAATCCTTGGGGCCTTGCAGATAAATTGGTAAAATGTGACTCCTGGGTGCCAGCAGCCCCAGGTGGAAAAAACCTTTCCTTGGGGCTGGAGCAATAGTCCAGTGAGTGGGTAGGGTATTTACCTTACCTGGTCATGTGACTGACCAGGTTCAATCCCTGACATCCCAAATGGTCCCTCGAACCTGCCAGGAGGAATTCCTGAGCTCAGAGCCAGGAGTAAGCCCTGAGACCTGCTGGATGTGCCCCCCAGACAAACAAACAAAAACTTTCCTAGAGGGCCAGGAGATGATCAACAGGCGGGCTGTGTCCCTAGCCTGTGCCCAGCCTGGATTTGATCCGCAGCATCTCTTGGTCCATGGGGTGCTATCCTAGCCCTGCAGGGAGAGTTGGGGAACCCCTGCACGCAGGGTCCCAGAGCAGCATCGCCTCCTTGGGGGTTTGCATCCAACCACTGACCTGGTTGTTAGAAATATCACAAATGGGGCTTCGGGCCTCCTGACCACGTGTGGAACCCCCGAAACAATGTCAACCATGACACCAAAGCACTTGGGAATGTTCCTGAGTACTTGCTCAGAGAGCACCGGGGCCTTTCCTGGCAATGCTTAGCCTGGCTTTGCGGACTGGACGGTCCAGCGCTCTTGCCCATATGGTGCTGCTTGTGCCCAGCAGTCCTGGGGATGACCAGGACTCCACCCAACAGTGCTCAGGGTGCCACTGGTGGCCCTTGAAGCCTTGTGCTTGCCAGGCTGGTGCCCCAGATCTTTGGACTCTCCCTGCTCCTGCAGTGATTTTCTTTCCTTTTGGGGATGTGTGTGGGAGGGTACTGGGGGTGGGTCACTTCTAGCTCAGTGCTGGAGTGCCCCTCCTGAGGTGCTCCGGGGACAGGAGGTACCGGGGCCTGAACCCGCGGTCTCTCCCCATTCCCTGGGCGATCTTCCTAACGGCCACCCTGCTGCTTCCTGGACCCTGTCCTCCTTCTGAGGAGTTACGGGTTTTCTCCACATCTCCTGCAGAGTCCCGAGAGGTGAGGTGACCTGTCCCAGGCCACGCAGACTCCCGCTGGGGGCGGCCTGGTTTGTGCGCAGCACCTGGCAGGATTAGACGCTGTGATTTCGGCACCAGGCGGTTTCTGAGACTGGTTGGAAGCCACCAGTGTGGCGGCTCCCCAGGGGTCCTGGGACCCCACCACTGTGCATCCCTCTGTATTCCCACGGGTGGGGCATCCAGTGATGAAAGAAAGTTCCAGAGACACGATGCCTGGAGAGTCACACCAAGCTCCCCCTTTGGTGATACCTCTGTTCCTGTCTATCTGTCTGTCTGTCTGTCTCTCCCAGGCTGTCTACACAGTGGCGTCCTCCGGGCCGAGGGGGAAGTGTTCTCCCCTCCCAATGAGAACTGCACGCTGTGTGTCTGCCTGGTGAGCATCCCTCCGGGACCTCCCCTCCACCCCAGCCTCCTGGGGCTCTTCTTCCCCTTTGGGGTGCAGGAGCAGGGAAAGGGGAGCATCTCAGAGTGTGGGGTGGGGCTGGGGATAGGGAACCTCTCATTCTGTGGGGTTGGAGACGGCGTCTGCAGAGCAGAAATAAACCCTGGGCAACCAGAATCCTCAAAGGAGTGGTGGGTTCTTCAAAGGAGTGGCACAGCCACCCTTGAAACTCCAGCCTCCATGGACTGGAGCGATAGTACAGCAGGTAGGGCATTTGCCTTGCACGCGGCTGACCTAGGTTCTACTCCCAGCATCCCATAGGGTCCCCTGAGCACCGCCAGGAGAGATTGCTGAGTGCAGAGCCAGGAGTGACCCCTGAGCATCGCTGGGTGTGACCCCCCAAAAAAAGCCAAAAAAAAAAAAAAAGGAAACCCCAGCCTCAGCCCCCAGGGAACTTGGTTTTCTCTCTGCAGGCAAATAATTTGCTCCCCTCATATAGGGTTTTCCATTTGGGAAGGAGATAGCTTCCTTCCAGATCATTCATGTGAAAGAAGGTGACCCCGGAAAGCAATCTGCTCTCCTCTCTGCCCCTTGCCTTAGAATGGGGGTGTTATTATTATTATTATTATTATTATTTTGCTTTTTGGGTCACACCCTGCGATGCTCAGGGGTTTCTCTTGGCTCTGCACTCAGGAATTACCCCTGGCAGTGCTTGGGGGACCATATGGGATGCTGGGAATCGAACTCGGGTCGGCTGCATGCAAGGCAAACGCCCTACCCGCCGTGCTATTGCTCCAGCCCCCCATGAGGGTGTTCTTAACCATACCCCCATAAACACCAAGAAGGTTCCCCTGCAGACTGTCCTTGGGACATGGGGTGGGGGGTGGGAGGGGTGCGGCGTGAGAGGTCTCAGCATCCCTTTAGGACTGGAAAGTGCAGGTTGGGGGTCCCAAGAGAAATGGGCCGTTCTCGGGCAGGGGGGTGTGGAGCAGAGCCTGGAACCGGCTCCCCACCCCCGCCCCTGCCTCTGCCTTCCCAGGCGGGAAACGTGTCCTGCATCTCCCCGGAGTGTCCTCCGGGCCCCTGCCGGCCCTCCTCGCCGTCAGAATGCTGTCCCTGTGCTCCAGGTCAGTGGGGGGCCTGAGGGGTGGCGGGAGGCCTGCACTTGTCGGGGTGTCTCTGGAGAATGTTCTGGAGCAGAGAGGGAGGAAGGAGATTGGCTTTGGCTCCTGAAACCCCGTTTCAAGGGTCTGCATGAATGAGTCCCTCCCGAGTGTCCCCAACACCCGACCCTCACCGGAACGGGGCTGTGAGCCACCCACCCCCAGCCCCCCGCTATGGCTGTGTGCTTGGTGGGGATCTCCCCCTCAATCAAGGTGGGCTTCTCTTTCCTGGAACCTCCTCATTCCCATCTGGAACATTCCTGCCACACTGTGTGACAGTTTGGGGCACATATTTGTCTCACCGTGTCCCCACGGCACAGCTCCGAGGGAGCCCCAGCCATCATCCCATTTACAGATGAGAAAACTGAGGTCCAGAGAGTTCAAGTGCTTGCTCAGAGAAATGAAGCAGTGGATGAAGGAGCAGCATTTAGAATCGTCTGCTGGGTTCCAGCCTGTGTTCTTGGGGCAGTCCGGGGGGGGGAATGAGGGGTTCCGTCTCTGTACTTGGGGGTGTCCTTTCCGGGAATGCTGAGGGCGCCATGAGATTTTGGCATGCAAAGCATGTGCTCAGCCCTTAGAACTATCCCTCTATCCCTGATGACAGAGTTTTTTTTTTCCTTGTTGGGTCATACCCAGCATTGCACAGGGGTTACTCCAGGCTCATGCACTCAGGAATTACTCCTGGCGGCGCTCAGGGGACCATATGGGATGCTGTGAATCGAACCTGGGTCGGCTAGCCGCATGCAAGGCAAACGCCCTCCCCGCTGTGCTATCGCTCCAGCCCCTGACAGAGATTTTTGAGCTCTGAAGTGTGGCTAATTTTTATTAAAAGTGTTTAATAGGTATTATAGTCCTGAGGAGAGAGGAGCTTTCTTGAGCCCCATTGCACAGAGAGGAAAACTGAGGTTGAGAGCTTAAGGGAGCAATAGAATATCAGGGAGGGGGATTGCCTTGCATGCAGCCGACCCGGGTTCAATCTGCAGCATCCCATTTGGTCCCCTGAGCACCTCGAGGAGTGATTCCTGAATGCAGAGTCAGGAGTAACCCCTGAGCTTCTGAGTGTGACCCAAAAAGCAGAAAAAAAGGGGCTGGAGTGATAGCACAGCGGGTAGGGCATTTGCTTTGCACGTGGCCGACCCTGGTTCGATTCCCAGCATCCCTGAGCACCACCAGGAGTAATTCCTGAGTGCAGAGCCAGGAGTAACCCCTGTGCATTGCCAGGTGTGACCCAAAAAGCAAAAAAAAAAAAAAGGAGCTTAAGTGTCTCTTTATGTCCCCAGGGTAGAACCCAGGCAACCTGCATGACCTTCTGGAGGTGACCTGGCCCTGCGCCCGCACTTAGGGGGCACAGCAGCCCCTTCCCTTCCTCCCTGCCCGACCCCCTCCCATGGGGCCCCCACCGATGCCTTCTCCGTCTCCCCCCAGTGCGCTGCCATTTCCAGGGCCAGTGGTACGCAGATGGTGCCGTGTTCACCGGGGCAGGGGACGAGTGCACGTCTTGTGTGTGCCAGGTAGGACCCCGGGGATCCCGCCCTGCCTTCGCCCAGGAACCCCCTGCCCCCCGAGTTTCCCCAAAGCTCCTCCTCTGACCTGTGCTGTGTGTGCAAGGCGCCAGGCCCCCCTGGCAGGTGGGGACAGATGGGGGGGGGACGGTGCAGACAGTCCCAGTGGAGGGACATGCCAAGGTGGGCTCTGGGAAGTGGGCTGAGAGCTTGTGGAGGGGGGTCAAGGGGGGAGGGGGGCTCAGGCTGCTCCTGAGTGAGTGGGGGTGGGCGCAGGGAGCTGAGCTCCCCTTAATGAGATTGCTGCCTCAGTTTCCCACGGGGTGGGATCACAAAGGAGGCCTGGCCTGGGCACCCCGGGGTCCAGGAGACACAGATGGTCAGATGGTGAGGGGGGACGTTCTTTGGCTGCAGCCGGCTGACCCCGACCTCCCCTCATCCCCTGGGCCCTCACCCAACTTCCTCCCTCCCCCTCTTCCCCCCTCACCCCTTCCTCCCTCTCCTCTTCTGGGCCCTTGTCCCTGTGAGGAGGGTGTCAGCGCAGCCTGTCGCCACCCTCACTGGCCTGGCCCCCCGCTCTCTTCAGAAGGGGGAGGTGGAGTGTTCCTTCACGCCCTGCCCAGAGCTGGACTGTCCCCGCGAGGACTGGAGGCTGGGCCCGGGTCAGTGCTGCTTCTCGTGCCGGGAACCCTCGCCCATGACAGGTGAGGCTGCTGTGCAGGGCTCGGGACAGGTGTGTGTATGTGTGTGTATGTGTGTTAAAAGTGAGTGGTCTTTTTTTGTTTGTTTGTTTGCTTTTTGGGTCACACCTGGTGATGCACTCCTGGCTTTGCACTCAGGAGTTACTCCTGGCGGTGCTCAGGGGACCATATGGGATGCTGGGAATCGAACCCGGGTCTGCCGCGTGCAAGGCAAACGCCTTACCTGCTGTGCTATCTCTCCAGCCCCAAAGTGAGTGGTCTTTACAGTGGTCATGGTGCTTACTCTGCCTGCTGGAACCCCACCTGGCTCCCCAGGTCTGCTATCATCCCTGAGCACAGAGCCAGGGGTAAGCCCTGAGCACCACCAAAACCAATAAAATATAAACAAAAGTGAGTGACCTGTATGTGTGTGTGTGTCTGTGCCTCTGTGCTTATGAGTGGTCTGTGTGTGTGGTCTATGTGTGGTTGTGAGTGGTCTGTGTGTGTGGTTGAGAGTAGTCTGTGTGTGGTTGTGAGTGGTCTGTGTGTGTGTGGTCTATGTGTGGTTGTGAGTGGTCTGTGTGTGTAGTTGAGAGTGGTCTTTGTATGTGGTCTGTGTGTGGTTATAAGTGGTCTGTGTGTGTGATTGTGAGTGGTCTGTGCTTGTGTAGTTATGAGTGGTCTGTGTGTGGTTGTAAGTGGTCTGTGTGTGGTTGTGAGTGGTCTGTGTGTGGTGTGAGTGGTCTGTGTATGTGCTTGTGAGTGGTCTGTGTGTGGCTGTGAGTGATCGGTGTGTGTGCTTGTGAGTGGTCTGTGTGTGTGTGATTGTGAGTGGTCTGTGTGTGGTTCTGAGTGGTCTGTGTGTGGTTGTTAGTGATCTGTGTGTGTGTTTGTGAGTGGTCTGTGTGTGTGATTGTGAGTGGTCTGTGTGTGGTTGTGAGTGGTCTGTGTGTGGTTGTGAATGGTCTGTGTGTGGTGTGAGTGGTCTGTGTATGTGCTTGTGAGTGGTCTGTGTGTGGCTGTGAGTGATCGGTGTGTGTGCTTGTGAGTGGTCTGTGTGTGTGTGATTGTGAGTGGTCTGTGTGTGGTTGTGAGTGGTCTGTGTGTGGTTGTGAGTGGTCTGTGTGTGGTTGTGAGTGATCTGTGTGTGTGCTTGTGAGTGGTCTGTGTGTGTGATTGTGAGTGGTCTGTGTGTGGTTGTGAGTGGTCTGTGTATGTGCTTGTGAGTGGTCTGTGTGTGGTTGTGAGTGATCTGTGTGTGTGCTTGTGAGTGGTCTGTGTGTGTGGTTGTGAGTGGTCTCTGTGTGGTTGTGAGTGGTCTGTGTGTGTGGTTGTGAGTGGTTTGTGTGGGGTTGTGAGTGGTCTGTGTTTGGGGTTGTGAGTGGTCTGTGTGTATGTGGTTGTGAGTGGTCTGTGTGTGTCCATGTGTATTCAGTGTGGCAGTGTGTCCCAGGGTGTGTGTGTGTTTTGGGGTGTGAGTATGTTGGCGAGTGTTACGGGCATCTCTCAGCCTGAGGTCTGGCGTGCTCAGGGTCCTCCTCCTCCCTGTCCCCAGGCTGCTCTCTCGATGACAACGGGGTGGAGTTTCCGGTGGGACAGATCTGGTCTCCGGGTGACCCCTGTGAGTTATGCATCTGCCAGGTGAATGACAACCTGCGCGCCTTCAGCTGCTTTCCGGCCGCCCCTGCCCTCCCGGGGCCCCTGCCTGCTGCCCCTCGCCCTGCGCCCCCTCAGGCCCACTGGCCTCACTCCCCACCTCTGGGCCCCACAGTCACAGAAAGGGCGTATTTGACTCTCGACAGTGGTCCAGGCCCAGGGACTGCGGGGCTTGGTGTGGGGGTGCAGACCCGAGGGGGGTACAGCGCTGGGGGTCAGGAGATGGGGTCAGGAGCTGGGGTGGTCAGGGGGGCAAGGGACAGCTCGGGGCTCTGTCCTTCCGTCTGCTTTTGGGACCACAAAGGTTCCTGACCAAACCCCAGTCTCGAGACCGTGGTGACCCCCTAGTCCGATGACCTCGCCCCTGGAGCAAGCAGGCTTGTGTGCAGATGGGACAGAGGGAAACGGCCCTAGGTCCAAGGATGCTGCGGACCATTCCGGTGCTCATGGGCTGTGCAAAAGTTCGGGATTTGGGACTGGAGTGATACACAGCAGGAAGGCTGTTTGCCTTGCACGCAGCTGATCCGGATTTGATCCCCGGCATCCCATATGGTCCCCAGAGCAACACCAGGAGTGATTCCTGAGTGCCGAGCCAGGAGTAACCCCTGAGCATTGCTGTAAGTGATCCAAAAGACCAAAAAAAACAAGAAGTTTGGGGCTCACTAGAGTTTAGTGCTTCATTTTATTTCATTAAACATTTTTTTTGAGGTGGGCTCACACCTGGCGATGCTCAGGGGTTACTCCTGGCTTTGCATTCAGGAATTATTCCTGGCGATGCTCAGGGGACCATATGAGGGTGCTAGGGATCAAACCCAGATCGACTGCATGCAAGTCTTAGTGGTCCCCCTCTCTATACAGTCAGATGCCTTCCCTGCTGTACCATCGCTGCTCTGGCCCCTTATTTCATTTTTTGGAGGGTCACACCCAGCAATGCGTTGCATGGGGGACCATATGGGATGCCAGAGACTGAACTCCGGTAGGCTGTGTGTAAGTCAAACGCCCTACCTGCTGTACTATTGCTCCGGCCACTGTTTCATTTTTTTTTGGGGGGGGGGTCACACCCAGCAGTGCACAGGGTTTACTCCTGGCTCTACACTCAGGAATAACTCCTGGTAGTGCTCAGGGGACCATATGGGATGCTGGGAATCGAACCTGGGTCGGCCGCGTGCAAGGCAAATGCCCTACCCGCTGTGCTATTCAGCCCCCCTATTTCATTTCTTTACTAGAGTTTTGAGCTTTAGTTCTTAAAAGGTTCCCCACACTAGCCCTGCTGTGGCTGCTCCCCCATTGGGCTCCAAACCTGCATTTTCACGGCCCGGGACGCACGTACCCATTAGTTAGCAGTAGTGATCCCCTTCTCTACGGAGTCAGAACGGGGGCAGGGATGGTGTTGGGGTACAGAGCTCCAGGGTGCTCTGATTAGCCACACAGGAGCACCCAAAATCTTGGGCAGGAGCCTTGGGAGATACATTCCCTGCTCCAGGGAGTCACGGCGGGCTGGTTGCCCAGGGAAACAGAGAGGAGAATTTGGAAGGGATGAAGATGCATTCTCGGGGGGCAGGGGGAAGCAGGCACCCCATGGCTGGTTATGCAACCCCCCTTGTTGTGGGAAGATTCCTTGGAAGGCTGACACCCCCTCTTCCCAGTGGCCGATGTCCTCCGGGCCAGCGCTGGCCAGTCCCAGGCCCTCATTTGCGGGGGGCTGGTGGGGCGAAGCTTCTCCTTTCTTCAGGCAGATGGCTCCGTGAGCTGTAAGAGAACAGAGTGCCTGGACTCCTGCCCGCACCCCATCCGGATCCCTGGGCAGTGCTGCCCCGACTGTTCCGCAGGTAGTTCCCTGCCTGGGCACCCCATACCCCTCGTCTCCGGGTTCACCTTGCAGGGCTCCCCGCATAGGCTCCATCTCAGGAGATACTCAGAGAAGGACACTGAGGCTCAGAGATGGATGCAGCAGGCCGTGGTCTGGGCACTGGACAGGGAGAGCTTACCGTGTGGATAGCCAAGGGCCAGCGGGGCCAGTGGCAAAGAAACTGGGCGATTTGCTCACTGATTGTTGCAGAGCCAAACCTAGGGGTGCTTGGGGGGTCTCCCCCTTAGCCGAGTGTGCTCTCATTCAAGCCGAGCCCCGACCCAATGCCAGGTCTGCTGCTAGTGCTGCATGACCTCAGGGTCATGCAGGACGTTTAGAAAGTACAGGAAGAGGTAGACAAGAGCCAAAGGGCGGGTCCGTGTCCAGATTGTTCTTTCAGCAGCTTCTTCCTTCTGGGGCTGATGCATCTAGCTCAGAGCTACAGCTCTGCTGGTATGGATCCACCTTCTGTTTTCTTTTCTTTTTTGTTTTGGCTTTTTTGGGTCACACCTGGCGATGCTCAGGGGTTCCTCCTGTCTCTGCACTCAGGAATCACTCCTGGTGGTGCTCGGAGGAATCATATGGTATGCCGAGGATTGAACCCATGTGCAAGGCAAATGCCCTCCCCACTGTACCATCGATCCGGCCCCCCACCTTCTGTTTTCTTGGATCAGATCCCGCCTTCTTCTTCCTCTTTCTTCCCCCACCCCCCACCCCGCAGCTCTGTCCCCATGGCCTGATGCAGTGAATGCCCCGGGTGGGGAGGCGGGGGAGTGCTGCCCAGCTCAGCACTACAGGCTTTGGGGAGCAAAGTGTCAGGGTGCAGGAAGGTCCTTAGCGAAGGAGAGCAGAAGCTTGCTAGCAGAATGGCCTGCTGGTGAGGGAAGGCCTCGAACCCCTCCTGGCGGGGTGTCCCTGAGAGAAGAGACCGTGATCTCTCTGCTGAATCTAGTTGGGGTGTAGGGGGTGCCCCTCCTGCGTGCATGCACTCTCCCTTCCCCACTCCCCTTGGGGTGACTGGCTGGGTGGCGGGTGCTGGCTGACCTACCCAGCCTCGTCTGTATTGAGAGGGTCATGGGCGGGCACTCACCGCGTGCTCCCACTAGCAGGCTGCACCTACATGGGCAGGGTCTTCTACAACAACGAGACCTTCCCGTCGGCGCTGGACCCGTGTCTGAGCTGCATCTGCCTGGTATGAACTCCCTCACCCCCCCTCCCTGCCCCAGGCCTGTTGTGCAGGACCCCTGCAGGATCCGTCTCTGGGAAGATCGCTCTGGGCTCCCCCCAACCAGGCCAGGGGGGACCTTTACCAGGGCCAGAGAATTTTGTTGGTTTGTGTTTTGGGCCACGCTTGACAGTGCTCCCAGTGGTGCTTGAAGGGGCTCCTGAGGTGTTGGGCTCCAACCCAGGACTTAACCACTGCCCCTAGAGAATTATTGTTGCTGCTGTTATTATTATTCGTTGTTGTTGGGACTAAAACGATAGCACAGTGGGAAGGGCGCTAGCCTTGCCCAGGCCAACCCAGGTTTGTGTGTGTGTGTGTTTTTTTTTTTAACCACAGTGAACAGTAACTGTCTCTTTATTTTTATTTATTTATTTATTTATTTATTTTTTGCTTTTTGGCTCACACCCAGCAACGCACAGGGGTTACTCCTGGCTCTGCACTCAGGAGTTACTCCTTGCGGTGCTCAGGGGACCATATGGGATGCTGGGAATTGAACCCGGGTCGGCCGCGTGCAAGGCAAACGCCTTACCCGCTGTGCTATCTCTCCAGCCCCCCAACCCAGGTTTTTTGTTTTAAAGTTTAAGCAAGCTTGATGGTATTAAATTCTGAGAACTAGAATAAGGTGCACTTCCTAGATCACTTACATGGGTTTTTTAATACACAAAAGAGCTCCCCTATGATAAATAGCAGGATATATAAATTCTCTCCTTTTCTTCTGAGTTTCCAAAAATATAAACTTGACAGAAATCTACAAGTAATGCAGTCCTCTACTCTGCTTCTTAACTTGATATGGAAGTTCAAACCACAAGAAAGAAGAGAAAATACCAATTTGGAGCTTTTCTGAGTCAAGGGTTAGTGGCGTAAGGAGCTTGCCTTGAACTCACACTTGCTGTTATTTTCACTTTTTTTTTCCTCCTTCTTAACTTATCTGTACATGTAATGGTTTCTGGAGTTTGCCTTGGATTCACACCTGGTGCATTTTCACTTGCTTTTTTTTTTTTTCCTATTAACTTGTAATCAATGAATAACTAGATCGGGCCAACGCGGGTTTGATTCCTGGCATCCCATATAGTTCCCTGAGTACTGCCAGAAGTAATTCCTTAGTGCTGAGCCAGGAGTAACCCCTGAGCATCGCCAGGTGTGGCCCCCAAACAAACAAAAATTTTGGGGGGGGGCACATCTTGCTGTGCTTAGGGCTTACTCTAGCCTCTGAGCTCACGGGTGACTCCTGGCGGTGCTTGGGGTACTTTATGTGGATCTGGGGACTGAGCCTGGTTCAGTTATATGCAAGGCAAGCGCCTTACCTGTATTATTATCTCTCCAGCCTCTGGAGAATTATTGTTAACTCCACAGCACAAGTCCTTGATTCTGTTTGCATGACCAGTGAGGCTGTGCTCAGTAGAAAATCATGGCCAGCATGGCAGAGGGGACAGAACCCAGCCCAGAACTTGTTCCCGGGCATCAGAGTTCAGCGAAGCCACACAAGGGTTCCTTGGATTAGGCTCTGTCTCTTGTGCTCAGTGAGAAAATGGGCCAGTGGGCCAGTATTCTCAGCTTGGGAGCCTGGAACCAGCTCCCCGATGCCCTAAGTCAGCATCCCTTGCCGTTGGGGTCTGAGCTCCCGGCCTCCGAGACCTACCAAGGGGCCGCAAGAGGCATCTGGAAGCTGGAACCAAGGTCTGGTGCTTTCTGGCTGGAAATGTCTCTCGCCCCAGACCACCTTGTGGGGTGCAGGCGCGGGGGCCAGGCAAGGCAGAGAGGAGGCCCTCAGGTGGGGGTTTTCTGGCCTCTGAGAACCCTGAGCCTCAGGATGCTTTGACTTTGGGGGAGGGAGTTCCCCTTTCCTGTGGGGTTTGTGGATTTGTTCCTCATGGATCCATGAGCTCCAGGGACAAAAGTGGGCCCTGCAGGGCTTGTGTCTTAGTGGGCAGACACTCATTTTTCCACTCCAGGCCTCCCTCCTTGCCCTTGACCTGGGTGCCCCTGGGTGCTGCGAGGTGACCTGGCCTCCCCGAGGCAGATCAAAAGGCCTCCCTCGCTTAGGGTTCTCTGTGGCCCGCAGCTGGGCTCCGTGGCCTGCTCGCCCGTGGACTGTCCCATCGCTTGCACATACCCATTCCACCCGGATGGCGCGTGCTGCCCCGTGTGCCAAGGTGAGTTTGAGACCCTCACTGCCCCCACCCCGCCCAACGATTCTGTTTCGGCGTTGGCGCTCACGGTTCCTGTTCCTGCCCCTCCCCCCCTTCCCCGCAGACTGCAACTACGAGGGACGGAAGGTGGTCAACGGGCAGGTGTTCTCGTCGGACGAGGAGCCCTGCACACAGTGCACGTGCCAGGTGGGCTGCACCCGTGTCCCCATGCACACTCAGCGCCCCTTAGCCAGAGCGCGTGGCCGTCCCTGTGCCGGGAGAACCGCAGAGGGGCCGGGGGCTGCTGGTGCTGCCCGGGACACTGGGGCATCGTGGCCACAGGTCCTGCTGCCCCGGCTCCTGCCCTCGAAGGTGCAGTTCCTGCAGGCTGGGTGCTCGGGGCGGCCTCACGAATGTCCTTCTGCTTCCCCAGCTGGGAGAGGTGAGCTGTGAGAGGGTCCCGTGCCTGCGGGCCTGCTCCGACCCCGCCGCGGCTGCTGGAGACTGCTGCTCCTCCTGCCCAGGTAGGCGGGCCCTGGGGCTGGGGAGGTCCCCGCTTTGTCTCCCCGAGATGGAGAACCTGCAGAGGCCACACTCGCAGCCCCACGGCATACAGGTCTATCCATCCCGGGCTTTCCTTTGTTCTCCTTGAGCGCCTCTTCTTCCTTTGCTTTTTTTGGGGGAAAGTGTAGAGGGGGCCACACTCAGTGATGCTCAGGGGTTACTCCAACTCAGGAATTACTCCTGGCGGGGCTCAGGGGACCCTATGGGATGCCGGGGCTTGAACCCGGGTCAGCTGCAAGGCGAGCACAGTCCCTGCTATACTATGGCTGCAGCCCCTCCGCCTCCTTTTTCTAAAGTCCAGGTTTCAGAGTGGAATCGTCTGTTCATTTCCAGTACAGATGGGCACTTCTTCCGGGTCAAGGCACGTTGTTCATCGGTGGTGTGGATAAGCACTCCTTCTGGGTCAAGGCACTCCTTCCGGGTCAGGATGCATTGTACACTGCTAGTGTGGATAAGCACTACTTCCGAATCAAGGCACTCCTGGGTCAGGGCACATTGTTCATTGCTGGTGTGGGTAAGCACTCCTTCCGGGTCAAGGCACTCCTTCCGGGTCAGGGCACATTGTTCATTGCTGGTGTGGGTAGGCACTCCTTCCGGGTCAAGGCACTCCTTCCGGGTCAGGGCACATTGTTCATTGCTGGTGTGGGTAAGCACTCCTGGGTCAAGGCATCCCTTCCGGGTCAGGGCACATTGTTCATTGCTGGTGTGGGTAAGCACTCCTTCTGGGTCAAGGCACTCCTTCCGGGTCAGGACACATTGTTCATTGCTGGTGTGGGTAGGCACTCCTTCCGGTTCAAGGCACTCCTTCCGGGTCAGGACACATTGTTCATTGCTGGTGTGGGTAAGCACTCCTTCCGGGTCAAGGCACTTCTTCCGGGTCAGGGCACATTGTTCATTGCTGAGCGCTCCTTCCGCTTCAAGGCACTCCTTCCGGGTCAGGGCACATTGGTCATTGCTGGTGTGGGTAAGCACTCCTTCTGGGTCAAGGCATCCCTTCCGGGTCAGGGCACATTGTTCATTGCTGGTGTGGGTAAGCACTCCTTCCGGGTCAAGGCACTTCTTCCGGGTCAGGGCACATTGTTCATTGCTGAGCGCTCCTTCCGGTTCAAGGCACTCCTTCCGGGTCAGGGCACATTGGTCATTGCTGGTGTGGGTAAGCACTCCTTCTGGGTCAAGGCATCCCTTCCGGGTCAGGGCACATTGTTCATAGCTATGGATAAGCACTCCCTTCGGGTCAGGGCACGTTGTTTATTTCCAGTATGGTTGAGCACTCTGGGATTGTTCATCTTCCGTATGGATAAGCACTCCTTCCGGGTCAGAGCACGGTGTTCCTCTTCCATGTGGCTGCGCAGTTCTTCTGGGTCAAGACACTCCTGGGTCAGAGCTCGTTGTTCTTCTCCCGTGCAGATGAGCATTTCTTCCAGGTCAGAGCACGTTGCTCTCCCTGCTGCTTCCCCGTACTGTGGTGTTTGAATCCTTGAGGTTGCGCCCCCTGGGAAGTGCTCTCCTTACCTTCGTGTGTTTGCGCCCCTGTTTTCTCAGCAGGCAGGCTTTGTTGTGGCATTGGGATCATCTCAGTGCATGGGGGAGGTGCCAAGATTCAAACTCGCAACCTCAGTGCTTGCCCGGTGGGTGCCTTGGCCTGTGCGCCATCTCCCGATCCTCCTCAATGCTTTCCTTCATTTTCCTTTGCACCATAACTCTTTAAAAAAAAAAAATTTATTGAATCACCATGAGATAGTTCCAAGCTTTCATGTTTGGGTTACAATCACACAACGATCAAACACCCATCCCTCCACCAGTGCACATTCCCCACCACCAATATCCCTGGTGTAACCCCCCCTTTCCTACCCTCCCCCTGCGTCCATGACAGACAATATTCCCCATACTCTTTCCCTAGTTTTGGGCATCACAGTTTGCAATACAGGCACTGAGAGGTTATCATGTTTGGTCCTTTATCTACTTTCTGCACACATCTCCCATCCCGAACGATCCCTCCAACCATCATTGTCTTAGTGATCCCTTCTCTAGTCCGGCTGCCTTCTCCCCTTTGCTCATGAGGCAGGCTCTCAGCTTGCACCATAACTCTTTGAGACCAGAACTGTTGATGACCCTAGCTCCTCCCTCTACCCCACTGTTTTCCAGGTGAGGAAACCGAGGCAGAGCGAGGGGAATTAATTACTGTGCTTGGGGTCACATGGCTGATTGGCAGGGCCAGCCCCGTTTCCAGCCCAGAGTTGCTATCTTCTTGGTGCCTGAAAATTAGTTTCTTGTTTGTCTTTTTGCCCCCTGAGTGTCCTTCCATGCCGGCCCAATGGGCAGGACCCAGGAAGCGTTCTGAAACGTGGGACTTTGCAGTTTGCAAACACCCCCAGTGCTCTGGTCTGCTCCCCACTGCCATACTGGTGGACCTTTAGCCGATCTCTCTCTCTCTCTCTCTCTCTCTCTCTCTCTCTCCCTTGCTCCCTCCCTCCTTCACTCAGAGCCAGGAGTAACCCCTGAACATCATCACTGGGTGTGGCCCAAACACAACAACAACAGAAACAACCCCCTCCCCTGCCCCCCAATACACAAACCCTTCTGTTGAGACAGTTCCCATTCATTCTGATTTCACAAAGTCTACATGTCACAAACTTGTTTGTCTGGTGGTGATTATTTTTTCTGGGGTTGGGGGTGGGGTGGTTCAGGAGCCCTGGAATGATTCGGGGGGCTGAGGTCTCCGGGAGCCACACTGCTTGGGCTCTGTAGTTTGAGGATGGCCTGGGTCACCTGGGTTGTGCTCAGAGTCCTTCAGAGCCACACCAGGAGGTGTTCAGGGGACTGTGTGATGCCAGGCACCAAACTGGGGTCGTCAGCCACTTGCAAGGTCTGTAACTTAACCCATGGACTATCTGCCCCAGTCCCGCAGTGATTCTTTTTTTTTTCCTTTTTGGGTCACACCTGGTGATTCCCAGGGGTTACTCCTGGCTCTGCACTAAGGAATTACTCCTGGCAGTGCTCCGGGGACCATATGGGATGCTGGGAATCGAACTCGGGTCGGCCGCATGCAAGGGAAATGCCCTTTCCTCTGTGCTATCACTCCAGCTCCCCGCGGTGATTCTAAACCTGGACCATCACAGTGTTTCTGATGGGACCCTGTGGGTCTTTAGGGGTGGGGACATCCTTGTGGATGGGGCCACAGCTCCGGCTCTCCTCCTGTCTTGTTCATTCTGCTCTTTTGCCCTTGGGGGGGGGTCTGTCTGCTTCCACTTATGCTTCCCCTTGGCCTTTTCTTGTCTCCGGCCACATGGGACATCCCGGTCATATCCTAACCCAGTGGCTCGGCTGCTCTGACTGTCACCTACGCCTGAGGTTCCCTTTGGTTCCAGGCTGTGACTTATCCCTGCACTGACTGGTGCGTCTAGCACCCACTTCCCAGGGTGTGGCCACTGCCTGTCACAGCATCCACAGGGAGCAGGTCACCTCTGTCCTGTCAGGGAGGTCCCTCAGAAGGCAGCTGGGGTGGCCACCGCAGCATGTGAGCTCTCAGGGACCTCTCCCTACCCCTCATCTCCCCTCCCCCCCTAGATGCCTTGTTTCTTCTGGAAGAAAGGCCGGAGCTGACCCCTCCGGAAGATGTGGAGTTTGGCAAAGGCACCCGGAACCCCCACGGAGACCCCAAGCCCCCTGAAAACTGCAGTTCTTGCTCAGATCCTCCAGCTGGGCTGCCTCCAAGACCGACGCCCCATCTCCTCCACCTTCTCTTCAGGGTGAACTTGTCTCACGGGCAGACCCCAGCCACCAGCCCCCCCGGGGAGACAGGGGGCACATTGTCAGGGGGGCAGGGGGCCTCGTCGCCCCCTCAGCCTTCACGGGGAGCCGCCACTCTACCTCCAACTGTTCCGGGGACACCTGAGCCACCGGCCCTTCCTTCCACAGAACCCCCAGCTGCATCCTCTGCGGCATGGACACTGCCTGGGCCGCCCTCCCTGCCCACCTCCATGCCTACAGATGCCGTGGCCCTTTCCTCGGAGGCCTCCAACTCCTCAAAGACCCTCAGCAGCTTCATCCAGCCTCCTAGACTGTCCCCCACTGCTTCTGGACCCCCTGCAGACCTGGCCAGTCTGGCAACAGTAACACAAAAGGAGGAGGAGGAGGAAGAGCCCCCCAAGTAAACAGGGTACTGGGAAGGGCACCCCCAACAGAGACAGTTCTGTGAGCAGAGGCTGATGCCCCCGAGGCCACTCTCATGGGGCCCCCACATAGAAGCATCTGGAATATTCCACGAGACCTGAGTCTCCGCTAGCTCCATCAGCACCTTCCCAGGACGTGGCGTCCAGCTGCTCTGCGGCTAGAACTAGAGGGTCGGAGGGGCCGGAGGACCGAGGGGTGTGGGGTGTGGGGCCTGCCTGGTGGTGCCCCGGACTCCTCATTAAAGGCTGTCTCAGCTCTGGCCGCCCCCTCTGTGACGGTGCGACCCACCCTGGACGCCCCAGCTTGGAGGAGGGAAGTCTGCGACAAGGAGAATAAAAGTGGGGAAGGAGGGGGCCTTGCAGCACCCTCCACCGCCCGATTTCTTGGGCATGCTCTGTTTGCACACAGGGGGAGGCAGGGGAGGGGAGAGGGGGACCACCAGGCTACCCCAGGGTACTACCAAGCTATTTCTGAGGGCAGGGACGTGGCACAGCGCTAGAGCCCTAGCTTGCATGTGTGAGGCATCTGGTACACGCACACACGTGCGCACACACACGCACAGACAGACATAGATGCATAGATACACACTGACACAGATTCACAGACACACAGACACAGTGAGACCCACAGAGACACAGATACACATAGAATGACATACAGGCACACATAGAATGATACACAGGCACACAGTCATACACACATATCATACACACATACACAAGACACATAGAGACAGACATCAATCAGTTTGCTTGAACGGGCCCAGTAACTTGTTGTTACTGTGTTTGGCATATCGAATACGTCAAGGGTAGCTTGCCAGGCTTTGCCGCGCGGGCGAGATACTCTCAGTAGCTTGCTGGGCTCTTCAAGAGGTGCGGAGGAATCGAACCTGGGCCGACCAGGTTGGCCGCGTGCAAGGCAAATGCCCTACCCGCTGTTCTATCGCTCCAGCTAGAGAGACAGACATGAATGTAGAAACTCACGGCTAGACACAGACCCACACAGAGAGACATAGAGACACACAGATACACGATCACACACAGACACGTACCAACATAGTTGTATACACAGAAACAAACACATATACACAGAGAAACACAGACTCACATAGACACACGGGCAAGAGGACAGGCCTTTGGACCTAGGTGAGTCCCTCAGGCGGCCCAGGACAGAGACGTGACCCTGGGTCAGGCCACCCCTTCAGCCAGGTCGTTCCCTGGGGTGAGTGGGGAAGGGGGGGGGTGTCACAACGGCACAGCCCTGTGGCATGGGGTTGGCTCAGGGCTGTGGCTGAGGGGGTACCAGGCGGGATGGGGCAGTAAAGGCCACCACAGGCCCCCCACCTGTCAGCACAGAACCCCCTGCAGATGAAAAGTTTTGGTTGGAGCTGAGATTATTCCTGGCGCTGTACCTTAGGGTCACTCCTGGTGGTTCTCGGGTGACCCTATGGGGTGCTGAAGACCAACTCTGGGCCTTTTTGAACTATTTGTGGGTTTTGGCTCCGCACCTGGCAGTGCTCTGGGGTGGTACCCAGCGGCGCCCAAGGGACCATATATACTGCCAGGGATCAAACTAGGGTCAGTGGCATGCAACCTCCTGTACTGTCTCTGTCCCCCTTGCGGATGAAATACAGCTCCCCGGGCACAGGCCTTTCCCCCAGCACGTCCCCCCATCCCCATACTGGGTGTCTGCAGTGGTGCTGGCTGCGAGGGCCTCCTGGGGGTGTCCAACCTGGCCATTCGCACGACAGTGGGGGCCCACTCCATATCTGTTAGCAGGAATCACAAACTTGGGTTTTTTTTTTTTAATTTTCTTCTTTGGTTTTGTGGGCTCCCCCAGCAGTGCTCAGGGCTTACTCCTGGCTCTGTGCTCAGGGATCCAGCTCTGACTGTGCTGGAATCGAGCCCAGGTTGGCCATGTGCAAAGTGAGCGCCCTAGCCTGTCTCTCGGGCCTTCATGGACTGGCGCTGGCACAAGGGAGACACACACAGTGCTGGGGGCTTGGTGGTCTGTGCCTGGGGGACGTGTGTGGGGAAGAGTCGATGCTTGGAGCCCCACGGGGCCAGCACCTCTGCTCGTCTGTAAAGTGGGGCCACGGGAGCCCTCTGGAGTAATGGTTTGTGCCAGGGCCGCCGTCACTGTTCAGCATCATGATGCCACCCGGAACCACCTGTAAAGGACAAAGTGGAGTGCCAACACCGGGTGGCCCAAAGTGCCAGCCCTGGGTTGTGCCTAAATATGTCACTCAGGGTTAGTATTGGCCCTCGCCCCAGCATAAGCTCCTTTCCACTCTCCATCTAGGAAGTGTGGGGCCAAGGCCAGTGATGTACGGCTGGGAGGGCACTTGCCCTGCTCATGGCTGACCTGGGGGTTGATTCCTGACACCACAGATATGGTCCCCAAGGCCCTGCCAGGAGTGATCTCTGAGGGCAGAGTCAGGAGAAAGCCCTGAGCACTCCTGGGGGTGAGCTCCCAGAAAAAAGAATAAAAGGAAGAAGGAAGGGACGAAGGAAGGAAGGAAGGAAGGGGGAGGGAGGAAGGAAGGAGGGAGGGAGGGGAAGGGAAGGAAACAAGGAAGGAAAGTGGGGTGGCTGTGAATTTGGTCCATGTGTGAAAACATGCTGAGATGACTGGCCAGGTGTGCACATGTGTGAACTCAGAACCCAGCTGAGATGCTCCACAATGGGGGTTGCTGCCCCAGGTCGAAATAACAATAGCAACAGGGGAGAAAAACAGAAGAAAAATGCGCGTGAGCTTATTTTGAGCGGGTTATGCCTTCACATCATCAGGAAAAAAAATTGGAGGTGAAGTGCTTTGACCCTGGTTATATCCTTGGCACCAGACAGACAGACAGACAGACAGACACACACACACACACACACACACATTTGATAAGGCATCATCCCATTCAACTTCTTCCTTCTTGTTCTCTGGGTTTGTTTTGTTTTGTTGTTTGGTGGGGGGGTGACACCCAGCAGTGCTCAGTGCTTTTTTTTTCTTTTTGGGTCACACTCAGCGATGCTTAGGGGTTACTCCTGGCTCTGCACTCAGGAATCACTCCTGACAGTGGTCGGTGGGGTGGGAGGGGGGACCATATGGGATGCTGGGAATCGAACCTGAGTCGGCCGCGTGCAAGGTAACGCCCTCCCCACTGTGCTATCACTCAGGTCCTTGGCTTCGTGCTCAGGGATCACTCCTAGTGTGGCTTGAGGGACCACACGTGGTGTTGGGGGTTGAACCCAGGTTGGCTGCATGCAAGGCAAGCACCCCTTCAGCTGTGTTTCGCTCGGACCCTGTTCTTTGGCTCTTGGACGTCCTGTTTTGATCGGCTGGGTGTATCAGAGGCGAGCGAATGGCTGGACACAGGAGCACATCTCGTTCCTCACTATCCCAGGCAGCTCTCTCCAGGCTCAGCTTTGACTGTGTGCAGCTGTGGCGTCTGCTGTGCTGGTTCCCAGCACAGGGAACACGCTGGTCACGTCCCCCGGTCCCAGCTGTCCCTCCGTCCCAGCAGACAAGCTCCAGAGAACCGGCCTGTGCTGACGTCATTCCACACGTGTGCAAGCGCGTCCTGCAGAAGAATTCTCCCCGGCCAAGTGACGGGGGCCAGGAGGACTGTGCGTTTCTAATTTGGAGAACTCTTGCCAAACGGCTGCCAGAGGGGTCGGACCCACCTCCATGCCCCACCGGCCGAGCACGAGAGAGAGTCCCAGGGCGTCTGCGCAGAAGGTGCAGTGCAGGGTAGCGGCTGGGAAGACCCGGGTGCGGGAATGGAGCTCAGTGGAGACCCTGGGACCCTCAGGAAACAGAGGAGGAGCAGCAGGAAGGGGCCCGGGACTCAGGAATGCGACACCCTCTGATTTTTCCCTGTGGCTGAGTGGGATGTATCGGGTCCGAACCTCTTTGCGGTTTTTAGTCCAAACGACCTGTTTGCATCCAGGAATCTTGGGATGAGGGAGCAGAGGAGGGGCTGGGAGGGAGAGGGTGGGCTGCAGCTGTTGGAGTGGGGCACTGGTGAGGGGGGCAGGACAGCTGGGGCCGGGGTGGGGACAGGAGGGCCGCGTCCCTGCGGCCCAACACCCGCCTGCTTCCGAGGTTCTGAAACTGAACACGGGCCAGGGCCCCCTCCTCGAGTTCTTCCCTGGGAACCTGAGCAGGGAACCCCTTGTCCCAGATGACGGGGACCAAATATGGAATGTGGGGGATGGCAGGGAAGCTATCTGCAGCTTGCGATTCTTCATTTGGTCAGGAATTTTTTTTTTGTTTGAGGTGGGCGGATGAGACCACACACCCAGCTGTGCTCAGGGCTCACTCACGCCTCTGTGCTCAGGGCTCACTCCTGAAGGTTAGGGTTAGGGTTAAGGTGAGGGTTAGGGTTAGTGTCAGGGTGAGTGTCGTGTGATGTAGATGGGATCATGTACAATAGGCACCAAAGGTACGTGTGTGTACGGTCACTGTAGTTCATCATCTGTGCATGGATGTATGTACGTGTGTGTGCATGTGCATGTGTGTGCACGTGTATGCATGTGTGCATGTGTGTGTCTGTGTGCACTGTGTGCTTGTGTGTGTCTGTGTGCACTGTGTGCATGTGTGTGTGTATGCATGTGCGTGCATGTGCGTGCACGTGTATGTGTGCATGTGTGCGTGTTTGTGTGCATGTGCATGTGTGCATGTGTGTACATGCATGTGTATGCATACGTGTGTGTGTGTGTGTATTCACAGTATCTGTTTATGGACACCAAGCACCTGAGGCAGCCAGCAGTGCTCAGAGCCTTGTGTACCCCCAGGAAGGACCCAGGAAGTCTGTTCCTGTTTTTATTTGGAAACTTTCTTTTTTTCCCCCTGGGACCTAGTGGCTGGGCTGGACGGATAGCACAACGAGCAGCTGACCTGGTCGACCCAAGTTCGATTCCTCCGCCCCTCTTGGAGAGCCTGGCAATCTGCTGAGGGTATCTCGCCTGCACGGCAGAGCCTGGCAAGCTCCCTGTGACGTATTTGATATGTCAAACACAATAACAACAAGTCTCACAATGTTACTGGGCCTGCTGGAGCAAATCGATGAACAACGGGAGGACAGTGACAGTGACAGTGACTTTGTGGCTGCCCAGGGCTCCTCTGAAAGGGTCGAGCGCCCCCTAGTCCTGGGCGAGCAGCATCAGTGTCCAGTAGTGAGAAAAGTTCCCAGTGATGGGGTGGGGTGGGGATGACGTGACAAGAGAGGGCTCAGGCACCCTGCCCGGGGCACCTCGAGACCCCCCCACTCCTGCAGGGGCCCAGCAGCATGTGACCTTCAGGTCGTGTCCTGGCTCACAGCCCGCGTCCAGCTGTTGGCAAAGACAGGAGTAGGGGTGGGGGCGGTTAAGGTGGGACGGGGGTTCAGTGTGTGTCCGGGGAGCGTGGGACTGCAACAGGATCCCCTGAGGGGGGCAGCCGGGACCCTGCTCAGCAGACCCTGCTCAGCAGTGAGACTCCCCGGCGCCTTTTTCGGGGCCCTCCAGGAAGGGCTCGGATGCAGGCATGTTGCATCCTTATGTTGATTGTTTCTCTTTTAGGGGAGGGTTGGACCGCACCTGGCTGTGCTCGGGGCTTTCTCCTGGCTCTGTGTCACTCCGGGCAGTGACTGGGGGGGTGGGGACTAGAAGTGGTGCCTGGGAAGGAGCCAGGGTCGGCTTCATGCTAGGCAGGTACCCTCCCCACCACCGTCCTATCTAGCTCTGCTCCCTATTTTGAGACCTGGTCAAGGCCCCTCAGTAGCTCCCACTGGCACTCCCAGGGGTCTTTGCTCGTGACCAAATAGAATTCTTCTTTCACGACAGCTTCTCGGAGACCTGGAAAAACGGCTCTTGTGTGTGTGTGTGTGTGTGTGTGTGTGTGTGTGTGTGTGTGTGTGTGTGTGTGTTTTAGGCTACACCCGATGATGCTTAGGGGTTATCGCTGACTCTGCACTCAGAGGTCATTCCCGGAGGGACTCGGGGGACCATATGGGATGCTGGGCATCAAATCCTGGTCAGCCGCATGCAAGGGCAGCAGCCTACCTACTGTCCTATCGCTCTAGTCCCAAACCTGTGTGTGTTTGTTTGTTTTTCGGGGGGGAGCAGGGGAAGGTTTGGACCTGGAGGTGCTCAGGGGATAGTTCTGGCCTCTGTGCTTGGGAGGACCCCTGGGGGGGTCAGATGTGGAGCCAGGGATTGAACTGAGGTTGGCCACGTGCAAGGCAATCCGCCCCCCCACGGCCACCGCACTCTCTGGGCCAAACCCTGCTCTTCAGAGGATTGTGGGGAAGGGGAGCTGGTTGGTGTCTTGCACCCCAAGTACTAAGGCATTCTCAGTGATGTCTGGATCAGTGACTCTCTGAGAGCACAGCCTGGAAGATGGGGTGCATCCTCCTTGGTCCCCTGCCGGTTTGTGTTTTAGGGGCGACACGGCCTTGCCTGAGGTGCTTAGGGGTTTCTCCATCAGCAACACCAACCAGCCTTTCTCTGTCTCCTTCCTCATGGCTTGGGGGAATTGAGGCATATTCCCCCTCAACCTAAAACTTTCGGCGAGCAGGCAGGGGTGCAGTGTGGCGCTCCCAGTTGGCCTTTGGGCCTTCCTGGCACCATGAGCAGGAAGTGTCTGGGCTGGGGTGAGGTCAACAGGTTCGATCCTTGATGCCACATGGTGCCCTTCTCTCCCCTAAGGACCTCCAGGTAAGAAATCGCTCAGTGGGGCTGGAGTGATAGCACAGCGGGTAGGGTGTTTGCCTTGCATGCGGCTGACCCAAGTTCGATTTCCAGCATCCCATATGGTCCCCTGAGCACCGCCAGGAGTAATTCCTGAGTACAGAGCCAGGAGTAACCCCTGTGCAATGCCAGGTGTGACCCAAAAGCAAAAAATAAAAAAAAAAAGAAAGAAATCGCTCAGAGAACAGAGAGAGAGAGAGAGAGAGAGAGAGAGAGAGAGAGGGCATTAAAGTATTTGTCTTGCAGGGTGACCCACCCTGGTTCTTTTTTTTTAACTTATTGAATCACCGTGAGAACAGTCACAAAGTCATTCAGTTCAAGTCTCGGTCGGTCATATAATGATCAAACACCCGTCCCACCCTGGTTCTGTCCCTAGCATTACCAGGGGTCACTCTTTCTTTCTTCTTTTTTTTTTTTTTTTGCTTTTTGGGTCACACCCGGCGATGCTCAGGGGTTACTCCTGGCTCTGCACTCAGGAATTACTCCTGGCGGTGCCTGGGGGACCATATGGGATGCTGGGAATCGAACCTGAGTTGACCATGTACAAGGCAAACACCTTACCCGCTGTGCTATCGCTCCGGCCCCACCAGGGGTCACTCTTGAGCCTCACTGGCTGTAGTCACCAAATACAAACCACCCCTCCCACGGAAAAAAAAAAATAGAAAAAAAAAAAGAAATCACTCGAATCAATAGTTTTTCCAGAGGAGAGGTTTTTTTATTCTACATCTTGGGCAGGACAGGGTGCGGGGCCAGCACCCTCCCTCCGCGATCCAGAAGAGGGAGGATCTGGAGGAGGGTGGGGACAGAGGCCCCGGGGTGGGGAGACGGGGTCTTCCCGGAGGGGCTGAGAGCCAAGGGCTTAGGCCACAGGGGCCAGGCCCACCTGGTTGTTGGCCCTGTCGAAGACGGTGAAATACTGGCGGATGAAGACGTCACCCAGGATCCAGAGCTCGCCAGAGGAGGTGGGGACGTCCATGCCCTGGAAACCACTGGTGCAGACATCCTGGCTCTGGAGAGAAGAAGATGGGAATTCAGCCGGGATGAGCTCAGGGAGGGAGAACCACGGCTGGGCTGTGGTCTGCCTGGGTGGGCTGCTCGTTGGCAGGGATTATTGGGAATTACCGAGGGAGGTTGGGTGGGAGTTTTCTGTAAATGCACAAACCTCTATCAGCAGGAAAACTGGGATTCGTGCATCGTGGTGGGATGGGCCTGGGAACTCGGCCTCTCCTCATTATTTTTTATTTATTTATTTATTTGCTTTTTGGATAACACCCAGTGATGCACAGGGGTTACTCCTGGCTCTGCACTCAGGAATTACTCCTGACGGTACTGGGGGGACCCTATGGGATGCCGGAAATCGAACCCGGGTCGACTGCGTGCAAGGCAAATGCCTTCCCCGCTGTGCTATCACTCCGGCCCTCTCCTTGTTATTACTGTTCAAGGCAACGGGAGACCACTTGTGTTCATTCAATCCCCGGCTTCTGGGCCATTACTCTGGGCTGCCCTCCCTTGTTCAGGCTTCAAACCTCTTTAGTCAGCATGTTGGGGGAGACCCCCTACCCCCCACCCGGCCTCTGTCCTTCCTGCCCTATCACGCTGATGCCCGGTGCAAAGTTCCTTTCTCCCTCACACGCAGGGTGGCCGGGTGGTTCATTCCCCTAAAGGTTGGTGACGGGGGCAGACAAGGTTTGTCCTGCGCCCAGAAGCTCCCGTTCCCTGGGCCCCTGCCCTTCATCATTGGGACGTCTTCCTCAGTGCCACCACCCTCTGCCCACAGAGCCACCACCCCAGGTTTGAGGACAGGGAAACTGAGTCCCAGAGAGGTTGCCGCTTGCTCTGAACCCATAGTCTCATGATCATCACGCAGGGCAGGGACAGAGCATCCAACCAGACTTTGTCTTTCCTCTTGTTCTTTCCCATCTTTGGTCTCCTTTGGGGCCATAGGAGGGGCTTCCTCCACACGCCCACCCATGCATTTATGCCCTCCCCACCTCCCCAGTCCCCCCCCCCCTCACCCTGCAAACATTTGTTTTTCCCGAGGTGGCCTGGAGTAGAAGTCAGTTCCAGCCCGTGGAAATGCAGTTCCTCGCCCAGTGCATCACTGCCAATGCAGTGCATAGGGCTGGGCTGGAACCTGAGCGGCCTCTCCTCCCCCACCTCCCTCTCTACCTGAAGGATGTAGGCGCTGGCAGGCAGGGGGTACTGGATGCCGTTGATGGTGAAGACGATGTCGGGCAGGTTGTTGATGGACGAGCAGCTGACCGCCATCTGCAGAGTGGGGGCAGTGGGAGGATTTTGATTCCTCTGCCTGCTCCCCCCTTGGTCAGCCCACCCACCCGTGGGTCCAGAACAGGACTGCCGGGGTGGGGGGACCCACCTGGCCGTTGGCGTTCTGGCTGGCTCCGATGTAGCTCTGGATGTTGGCAATGGCATTAGTGGGGCCGGACAGCAGGGAGGTGCCAGTGTCCACGATGGCCTGGCAGCCGCCGATGCAGGCGATGGGCTTCCCGTTCATGGTGATGCTGAGGGCGGGAGGCAAGTCAGGGTCTTCTGAAGCCCCCCTCCCTCGCGAAGGGACATCTCCCTAGGAGGTGGCGCTGGAGGGTCCCTTCTACCGCTCCTCTGGGCTCGTGCAGAACAATTCTGTCTTTTTGGGGGGGATTTGGGGCCACACCCATTGGTGCTCAGGGCTTACTCCTGGCTCTGTGCTCAGGGATCCATATGGGGGTGAAAGACCATATGGGGGTGGTGCTGGGAATCGAACCCGGGTCAGCTGCGTGCAAGCTCAGCGCCCTCTCCACTGTACTATCGCTCCAGCCCTTCACCCAGAATATTCCTGGGTTGCTCCTTCACCCTGTGTTCATCCTTGCATAGCGAAGGCAGCCCACATGGGCCGAGCGCTGCCTCCGTGCCCGGCATGGGAGCTGCAAAGGTGGTCCAAGGCCCCCCCCCCCGCCCAGAGCAGCCGGGAAGAAGAGAGGGAGGTGAGGAAGAGGATGAGGAAGAGCAGGGCCGCCGGCAGCGGAAACTCAGCAACTGGGGGAAGTGGGCCAGGAGGTGGCAGAGGAGGGTAGGGGGACAAGATAAGGTGGGATGACTCTGTGACAGCAGCCCTTGTTTTTCCAGGGCTGTCCTCCTTTTTTTTTTTTTTCTTTTTGGGTCACACCCAGCGATGCTCAGGGGTTACTGCTGGCTCATGCACTCAAGAATCACTCCTGGCAGTGCGCGGGGGACCAAATGGGATGCTGGGAATCAAACCGGGGTCGGCCGCCTGCAAGGCAAACGCCCTCCCGCTGTGCTATTGCTCCAGCCCCATCGGGCCTCTTACATCCTGGCCGAATCACCAGGGTCCCTGACGGCTGTCCCCCCCGGCCCCGTTTCCTCAGACGCCCTCCCTTCCGCCCTTTCCCACGTCTTCTCCTGCAGCTCTCTGCCCTGAATCTGGGGGGTCTGGGAAGCTCAGTTCATTGGGAGACTCTAAGGAAAAGCCAGGGGGGTGGGGCGTCCCTGCCCTACCCGCGGCCACTTCCGCCTGAATCACCTGTCCACGGTGATCTGCCAGTAGCTCTCAGAGGACAGGCGCACCCAGTTCAGGTTTCCAGTGTAGTAGGAGGAGTCGATGCCGCCGAACATGACCACGCTGCCGCTCTGTTCATTGCTGTAGAGGTGTGGGATGGGGAACAGGAAGTCATTCATTCATTCATTCATTCATTCATTCATTCATCCCATAGCCCATCAACCTCAGGCAGCCAAAGAGTGACCCTTAGCTGGACTCCTGCTGTCAGGTCAGAGACAGACAGGGCTGCTGTTAGCCTCCCCCCACTAGGATACTCCATGGCTGTCACTCTCATCACCGTGTTGCAGGGAGAAAGTGGGCGCAGAGAGGAAACGGCACCTCGAATTTTCGTTTTGGTGGGAAGTGTTTTGGGTCACTCCCAGGAGTGCTTGGGGATCATGCGGTGCCGGTTGGAACTCGGGCAGGCTGCATGCCAGGCCTCACCTTACCCTCTGCTCTGTCTCTCCAGCCCAAGAGTGGGTTCATTTTCAATCCTGGTCTTTTTATTTTCTTTTTGGGTCACACTCAGCGATGCACAGGGCTTACTCCTGGCTCTGCACTCAGGAATTACTCCTGGCGGTGCTCAGGGGACCATATGGGATGCTGGGAATCAAATCCGGGTAAGCCAGGTGCAAGGCAAACGCCCTACCGGCTGTGCTATCGCTCCAGCTCCGTCTTTGTTTGTTTGTTTTTTCGACCTGGGGAATGCTCTGGGGACTGATGCTAGCGGGTGTGTAGCTCATTTGAGTCACATAAGTCAAAGTGACAGAGGCTTCCGGGGTTAGTGCAACAGAATGAGAGGCACTCGCCAGGCCAGGTGGGGTGGGGCTCAGGCCAGCACGGTTCTCTCCCAAGATGCTCATCTTCTGCCCGAGAGATCTCACGGGCATCCCTCTGCTTGCCAAGAGCCCCTTCATGCCCCCTCCAACCTCACCCCAGACAGCCCCTGGCTGGGCCGGGTGACCCTGTGCCCGCCCTGGGAGGGAGGGGCCCTCACCACCCCACTCACGAGCTCAGGTAAACGGAGAACAGATCCTGGGAGACCAGGCCCTGGTTCCACATGTTGTCGAAGACGGGGGTGGCCCCGGAAGAGGCGATGCTGGGGTAGGCCAGACCCAGGATGCCGTCGAAGGGAGAGTAGTACAGGAAGGAGCCGGGCTCGGTCTTGCTCAGGCCGAAGATCTGGTTGGTGTCAGTGATGCCAGCCACCTGCAGGGGGCGCCCCACACGCTCAAACTCCCGCAGTGCCCGTGCCGGCTCACTGCATGCATGCAGGACTTCGCTTCTGGGGTGTCAGCAGGAAACAGGGGCGTTCCCGGGAACGCTGGCCTCCCGACCAACGAACGTCGCCCTCGCCATCCCCCACCCCCCACCCTGGCCCCTGAACTTGGGGCTGGGGGCTCTGGTGGCTGAGGGGGGTCTCCTCGGCCCTCAGTGCTGCAGAGGACTTTCCCCATTTCTCCCCAATCCTTTTTTTTTTTTTTTTTTGCTTTTTTTGGTCACACCCGGCGACGCACAGGAGTTACTCCTGGTTCGTACACTCAGGAATCACTCCTGGTAGTGCTCGGGGGACCATATGGGATGCTGGGAATCGAACCCGGGTTGGCCGCGTGCAAGGCAAATGCCCTACCCGCTGTGCTATTGCTCCAGCCCCTCCCAAAATCCCTTTTGGAGCAGGGCACATAGTGGGGTTCCCCGGGGTGCCTCGAACTGTCCGTGATTTCCCAGCCCTTTTTCCTGCCTCTGCCAGATTCTCAGACAGACCCTTAAATCCCACATTACTGGCCTGTACAGGTTCGGGGGTGCAGCCGCCTCCCTGGAAGCCGCCCCCTCCCAGAGTAGGGTGGTGGGGGGCCATGGCGCTTACCTGGACGGTGTCGTAGCCCAGGACACCGGTCATGCTCCCGGTACCATAGGCGATGGACAGGGTCTGGTCAGTGGGCTGGAAGGTGGACGACTTCTCGGGGTTGAAGCGGTTGTGGTTGGCTGCGGAGACAGGAAGGGACAGCGTCAGCCTCCAGAGGCCAGGCGGGGTCCCCAGGCTGACCTGGTCACACTGAGGGCCGAGAGGTGGGCAGGCTGGGGCGGGAGGTAATCCCCAAACCTCCACCCCAGCGAAGGCAGCACTGGGTGCTGGTGATACCCCCCCGCGTCCTGTCTGTCACATGGGACAGTGACATGGTCTCGACTGGGGTGAGGATGCGGGGGAATTCAGGGCTACCCCCTCTGGACAGAAACGGGGTCCCCGCCGGGAGTGGGCGGAAGCGGAAGTGCTGTTGGGAGTTTGCTCGCTTCCATTAGCCAGCTGTGATTTCCGTCATCCGGGGGGTCCTCACCCCTCGAAGGAGGCCTCGTCCTGCTTTCTCCTTGGGGTCTGCCCCCGGGCACCCTCCCCACTGCCATCGGTTCTGTGCACCCAGCCTCTGAGGCTGTTTTGGGGGGGCTTCTCCCTGGCACTGAGCTTGGCTGCTCGAGGGTGGGTGGGGGACGTGCGTGACCCACCCCAGACCCCCGGGTACCACCGGGTGCCCATTGAAGACCAGACTGGTAGGTGGGTCAGTTGGATGGTTGCGTCCCCTCCCCCACACCAGTGGGCGCTGGGGGGACCTCCCGGGGGCACTCACTGCAGGCGGGGCTGGAGCAGTAGACCGAGGGCACCCACAGGTTGGAGGATCCGGTGTCAAAGATGACGGTGAACTCCTGAGGAGGGGTCCCGATGGCGATGGTGCCGAAATACTCCATCTGCGGGGGCGGGCGGGTTCAGGAACGGGGGGGCTCAGTGCCCAGGGCCCCCCCAGGGACTGTCTCGGGGTCACTGGGTCGCATCCCAAATCCACCTCCTCTCTTTCCCTTTCCCCTTCCCCTCGCTTCTCTTTTCCCGGGTCAGTGCATCCATCCTACAGGCCCCCTCCTCCATGAAGTCTTTCCTGGTTGCTCTTTGGGTACTCTCACAGGGTTCTAAGTCCCGTGGAGCTCTAGAAAGGGTCATGTCCCTGCCGCCACTCTGGTCTCCTGTGTCCCGGCCTTGCTACCTGAGAGAAAGCACCCTTGTTCCCAGAGCCCAGGGACTGAGCCCCGGAACACCCGGCAGAGTGAAGGGCCGACAAAAATGTCATCTGAGGAGTCAGAGTGACAGTACAGTGAGGCTGGTGCCTGCCTTGCACACAACCAACACCTGGGTTCGATCCCCCAGCATCCTGTACGGTTCCCTGAGCCTGCCAGGAGTGATTCATGAGTGCAGAGGCAGGAGCCAACCTTAAGCATCGCTGATGGGGCCCTCAAAAGCTATATATATATATATATATATATATATATATCATACAGATGAAGCTCCGAGATTTGGATGCTCAATCCAGGATTGAGCATATTGGGGCAGATTTCATAAATGTCTGTTCTAGCATTTTCATTCTCAGTGGACACGCCTCCTCATCCATCTCTGTTACAACTGTACTTGATTTGTTTATGTGTGTGTGAGAGAGAGATAATCAGTCCTTCTACCCCAGGGCCTTTGCACTTGCTATGCTAGGAGACCATTTCTTCCAGATCTTTCTGTGGCTGTCTCCTCATCAATTCAGAGTTTGTTTCACAGCCATGTCCTCCAAGAGACCCTCATTGCCTGCTTGATTCAAGGTGCCTCTCTTTCTCTCTCCTTTTCCATTGGTGGCACTTGTCACCTCCTGAAATTCACTCTCACGCCCACTGCTTGGTCTCCTTAGTGTCTTCCCTAGAATTCAGGCTCCAGGGTTCTGGCCGATTCATCATTGTTCCCTTAGCTCCTAGCATGCAGTTGCTGGCGTATATAGAATGTACTTTGTAAACACTCAGGTAAGAGGCTGACTAGCACCGTAGCACTGTCCTCCTGTTGATCATCGATTTGCTCGAGCGGGCCCAGTAACATCTCCATCACGAGACTTGTTGTTACTGTGTTTGGCATATCAAATACGTCATGAGGAGCTTGCCAGGCTTTGCCGTGCGGGCGAGATACTCTCGGTAGCTTGCCAGGCTCTCCGAGAGGGACGAAGGAATCGAACCCGGCTCAGCCAGGCCAGCTGCATGCAAGGCAAATGCCCTACCGCTGTGCTATCGCTCCAGCCCAGTCTCCTGGTTGACTAACTTCACCAAATGGACTCATCAGACAGACCCTTTGCTAAGCCCCGCTCCCTCCCCCAGTCCCCAAAACAAAAAACCCTCAGGAAAAAAAGCAGAGAACTCCAAACCCATCATTACAGCCTTCCTCTGACAGCACAATGAGGAGACTGAGGCTCATGCAGAGATGCTGAGGGACTTGACCATGGTCCCATGCCACGGAGGGTCAGAACCTGGATCGGCCCTGGCCCGGCAGACGCCAGGTGCTAGGCTCTCCAGGACAGGCCTCCTTCCTGAAGGCAGCTCCAATCGGGACCCCCTGGTCGGCTCTGATGGGGACCCTCAGGGGAGGATGGCCGAGGGCTCCTATCCCTCCTCACTCACCCCGCATTGGCCTCTCCCTCAAGTGCTCTGAGCTCATGGCGTCCCCTGGGCGGCCCGGCCTGCCCTGCTCCCTGTCTCCGTTCTCTTGGAAGCTTCATCCTCCCCCAGCAGCACTCCCGCTGACCACAGTGACCGTCCCCCCAACCCCCCATCAACCTGGAGCGCTTAGGCAGCTGGTGCATCCCTCTGACTTGGGAGATAATCCTTGGTTGTCCAGAATAATCCAAGGAGAGATCTCTCTCCCGGACTGGGCCCGGCTTTATTCAGAGCTGTGTCCCCGGTACCAGAGAGAGAGACAGACAGACAGACAGAGAAAGAAAGAAACAGAGAGAGACAGACAGAAAGAGAGGGAGAGAGAGAGAGACAGACAGAGATTGAGCCTGGGCCACAGATGAGCACTTGAATGAATGAATGAATAAACGAATGACAGAGAAAGAGTGTCAAGCTGGGAGTTTTCTCCGAGGTTTTCCTGATCGCCTCGCCTCTGAGTCCGGTGGGGCCCCAGCCTTCCTGCCCAGGTGCTCAGGGCCCTGGCGGCCCCCTGCCCGGTGCCTGGCCGTCACTCACGTCCATGTAGTTGACCAGAGGCTGGTTAGCCGACTGGGTGGTGACCTCGGTGGGGAAGTACTTGCTGGCGGGGTTGAGGCTGTGCGTATTCAGGAAGTCCTCGAGGAGGCCATTCTCCATCAGGTTCTGGCGCAGAGACTTCTTCTTCACCAGGGGGACCCTGTGGCAGGGGGCGTTTGCATGTGATGTGATGTTTGCGTGTGATGTGATGTTTGCAGGTGATGTTTGGAGGAGGAAGGAGGATCGGGGGGAGGATTCTGCTGGTGGGGCACCCATGGCAGTGCAAGGAGGAAGAGAAGTTGCTTGCAGGGGGGGACATGGGAGGGGCCTGGTGTGGGTCTGGGGACAGCTCGTGCAGAAGGGGACAGCGGGGGCCGGGGTGCCAGTGACTGGGCACACGGAAGCCAGGCTGGGTTCTCCTCGCTGCCTCCCCTGCCAGGGCAGAAGGAGAGAGGGGGAGGGATGGCTGGAGGGAGAGAGAGAGACAGACAGACAGACAGACAGACAGAGACAGAGAGACAGAGAAACAGAGACAGACAGAAACAGAGAGACAGAGACAGAAACAGAGAGACAGACAGAGACAGAGACAGTGAGAGACAGACAGAGACAGAGACAGTGAGAGACAGACAGAGACAGAGAGACAGAGACAGAAAAAGAGAGATAGAGAAACAGAGAGACAGACAGAAACAGAGAGACAGAGAGAGACAGAGATAGAAAAAGAGAGACAGAGAGACAGAGAGACAAAGAGAGAGACAGAGAGGGATAGATAGAGACAGACAGAGAGACAGAGACAGAGAGACAGAGAGACAAAGAAAGACAGAGAAACAGAGAGACAGAGAGACAGAGACAGAAACAGAGAGACAGAGACAGAGAGACAAAGAGAGAGACAGAGAGAGAAAGAGAAACAGAGAGACAGAGACAGAGACAGAGAGACAGAGATAAAAACAGAAACAAAGAGAGAGACAGAGAGACAGAGAGACAAAGAGAGAGACGGAGAGAGACAGAGAGAAACAGAGACAGAGAGACAGAGACAGAGACAGACAGAGAAACAAAGACAGACAGAGACAGAAACAGAGAGACAAAGAGAGAGAGACAGAGGCAAAGAAAGAGACAGAGAGGGACAGAGAGAAACAGAGACAGAGACAGAGGGAGCCAGAGAAACAGAGAGAGACAGAGAGACAGAGACAGAGAGACAGAGGGCGACAGAGAAGGGGCTAAGGGGCTCAGGGGAGGAGGTGGGGGAGGGGGGCGTGACTCCCTGCGGGCCACTCACTTGTAGATGAGGCCCTCAGAGAGCGCCACCAGCCCGAGGAGCAGCAGCCACTTCATGGTTCTTCCTGCCCAGCTGTGCGGAGAGGGAGAGGCTGGAGGGATGTGGATGCTGGAGCCTGCGCCCGGCCCCTTATATACAGCGCAAAACCGGGCCCCCTATCAGCCTCCAAATGTCACCATGAGCCCAGGCCCAATCAGAGGGGCCCCTGATAAGGCCGCCCCGCCCTGGCTGCTGGGAAGCATTCCCAGTGGGGGAGTTTTCCACTGGGGCCACGACTCTTGGCCCACAAGGGCCCCACACGGGGCCAGCACAGCCCCGTGGCTCGTTTCCAGAGACGAGAAAGCCCTGCAGGGAAGCTCTTCGGGCCACGCGGTTCCACAGGTCGGGGCTGAAGCCGCTTCACGTTGAGACATTGAGCGGGAACTTAGGGGCTCAGTGCGCCCCCGTGGCCCCCGCGGGACAGGCCGCTGGGGTTCTCAGGAGAAAGTGCTCAGCAGAGCAACAGACCACCTGCCTCTGGCTGCTGCCCCCAAGTGCCTGTGTTGGCCCGTGGTTGGGGCTCAGGACACGTTTGCTGCAGAAATGCTATAACGTGGGGCGATGGGGGGGGTCAACCTTGCGGGTCTCATTACATTGGAGGGTTTTTTGTTTGTTTGTTTGTTTGCTTTTGGGTCACACCTGGTGATGCTCGGAGGTTACTCCTGGCTCTGTGCTTGGGGGACTGTAAGGGATGCCGGGGATCGAACCTGGGTCGGCCGCATGCAAGTGAGGCGAGTGCTCTGGCCCTTAGACTGTAGCCTTCGTTGCAGGTCAGGAGTGAAGTGGAGGGCAAGTAGGTAATGGGGGTGGGGGGGAGAGAGAAAGAGAGAGAGAAAGAGAGAAAGAGAGACAGAGGCGGAGAGGAATGTGGAGGACCCCAATTCAGGTTTGCACCCTTTTTGCCTCTACAAAGTCATTTTGTTTTTTTTTGCTTTTTGGGTCACACCCAGCGATGCACAGGGGTTACTCCTGCCTCATGCACTCAGGAATCACTCCTGGTCGTGCCCGAGGGACCATATGGGATGCTGGGAATCGAACCCGGGTCGGCTGCGTGCAAGGCAAACGCCCTACCCGCTGTGCTATTGCTCCAGCCCCTACAAAGTCAGTTTTATAGTTTCCCCAAATGGCCCCCACCTTCTCTGCTGATAAGAGTCTATTTCTAGGGTGTTGTCAAGGGGAGATGTGAAACTTTTGGTGGCTTCTTTTGTGTTCTTTTGTTTCTGTAGGAGCTTCTTCTCAGGAGTTCGGCTAAAGCCGAGTCTTTCTTCCTGCACCTCCACGGGTTTCTGGTCTTCAGCCCTTCAGGCTGATGTCTGAATGACTTCATTTTTATTTTTTTTAAGGTTTGGGACCACACCTGCCAGTGCTCAGGGGTTCCTCCTGGCTCTACACTCAGGAATCACTTCTGGCAGGGCTTGGGAGACCATATGGGATGCCGGGGATCGAACCCAGGTTGGCTGTGTGCCAGGCAAGCGCCCTCCCCGCTGTTCTATCGCTCAGGCCTCCCTGAGTGACTTCTTAATCCTCACTGACAGGTGCCCCCTACCTGGCTGCCTGCAGTATATTCTTCCTGAGTTCTTGCCCCACCTTAAATCGTGACATGAAGGGGTGCCTGGAGACAGGTCCTTCTTACAGAGCTATTTCCTGCTGGCAATGGCAGAGGGCCCTAGCCTTGTCACTGTCACTGTCACTGTCACTGTCCTCCCATTGTTCATTGATTTGCTCGAGCAGGCCCAGTAACGTCTCCATCGTGAGACTTGTTACTGTGTTTGGCATATCGAATATGCCACGAGGAGCTTGCCAGGCTTTGCCGTGCGGTCGAGATACTGTTAATAGCTCAGGCTCTCCGAGAAGGGCAGAGGAATCGAACTCGGATCGGCCATGTTGGCTGCATGCAAGGCGAACACCCTGCCTGCTGTGCTATCATTCCAGCCCTTAAAAACTTATTTAAAAAGTATTAACTCCCTTTGCAGCCACCTGCAAATGCAAGATGAAAGGTTCAGGTAATAGGAGACAAGAATCTCAGCTCTTAGTGTTTTAAGAAAAACAGCTTCTGTTTTTCTTAAAAAGAAGTTTTAAGGGGCTGGAGCAATAGCACAGTGGGTAGGGCGTTTGCCTTGCATGCGGCCGATTGGGGTTCGATTTCCAGCATCCCATATGGTCCCCCGAGCACCGCCAGGAGTCATTCCTGCGTGCAAAGCCAGGAGTAATCCCTGTGCATCGCCAGGTGTGACCCAAAAAGCAAAAAAAAAAAAAAAAGTTTTAAGGGCCAGAGATAATATAGTGGGAAAGGCACTTGCCTTGCATGTGGCTGACCTGGGTTTGATCCTTGGCAGGGCCGATGGTTACTCAAGCACCACCAGGAGTGATCCCTGAGAACAGAGCCGGGAGTAAATCCTGAGCACTACCGGATTGGCCCAAACCTCCCCACCAACCCCCCTCCCCCCAAAAAGAAGAGTGAAGTCCTCAGTGGGTTCACAGAAGTAGATCAACCTGCTTTGTGCCGAGTCTGGTCCCCGGTTAAGGTAAATGGAGTTCCGGTAAATCTTATTCCGGAAGATGGACCCAACTAGAAATTCCATTTTCACACGGTGAGGTTTGATTTCCACCCAAAGTGATGTGTCTGGATTGAAGCCCAGTTTTCTCTCCACCTTTTTCATCAGAGTGAGAGGCCAAGTTTGCTCGGAGCAAACGCAGCTGGTTAATTTGCAGAGACGCATTGAGGACTGAGAAGATAAGCAGAATCCTTTATGCCATGCCTTGAGTTTTAGCCACCCAAGGGCAAGGAGGCTTCTCTGGGAAGGCCTGATCAGAAGAACAAACTGCAGGCCCTAGGCCCGTATGTTTTGGTCCCCTTAACCCAGACAGTCCTTGTAGGTCTTGGAGGAGAGAGGAGCGTCTGGTCAAAGTCTGTCTTATTATTTATTTTTTTTAATTGAATCACCATGAGTCACAGTTACAAAACTTTCATGTTTGAGTATCAGTCATACTGATAATGATGGAACACCCATCCCTCCACCAGTGCACATTCTCCACCACCAATGTCCTCAGTATCCCCCACCCCCATCCCACCCCTCCCCCTGCTTCTATGGCAGATAATTTCCCCCATACTCTCACTCTCTATTTTTGGGCATTATGGTTTGCAGTATAGATACTGAGAGGTTATCATGTTTGGTCCTTTATCTACTTTCAGCACACATCTTTCCTCCCAAGCGATTCCTCCAACCGTCATTGACTTAGTGATCCCTTCTCTATCCCAGATGCCTTCTCCCCCAGCTCGTCATAAGGCAGGGCTTCCAACCGTGGAGCAATCTTCCTGGACATCTGCACTTGTACATTCATTGCAGCACTATTCACAATAGCCAGAATCTGGAAACAACCCAAGTGCCCTAGAACAGATGACTGGTTAAAGAAACTATGGTACATCTACACAATGGAATACTATGCAGCTATTAGGAAAGATGAAGTCATGAAATTTGCTTATAAGTGGGTGGTCATGGAGCGTATCATGCTAAGTGAAATGAGTCAGAAAGAGGGACAGACATTGAATGATGCACTCATTTGTGAAATATAAAATAGCATAATATGAGACTGACACCCAAGGACAGTAGAGACAAGAGTCTGTCTCTTAAGGCTGGGCCTTTCCACTAACTGGACCTTTTGGGTCCTTGGGTTCTCTTGTGTTGTAGATGAAACAACACAGTCCATGCCTGCCTATGGAGGTTAAGGGGGGAATGGCCAAAATTTTAGGGCAACTGAGGGCCTAAGTGATGCCAATATACAAAATGCCCAGGGTGCTGTACAATTCACCTACAACACCTGTGTTTTGGGGTTCACCATCCCACACTTAGGTTTCAGAGTACCCAAGTGGCTGCTCTGTCATCTTGCTAACAGACTGGAGCCCTTGGAACAAGGCATTAAAGTGTGCCTCTAAAAATAACTGCATCAAATAAAATGTTTCTCCCCTCTGTTGAGGTGAATCTGAATTTCTTAACATAGTCCCACCTCTGGCAGTCCAAAGTTTTAATAATGTCATTCGTTTTTCCTGTGTTTTTGCCAATGAGACTTTGCCACAAAGCATCACAATAGTTACTATACCAGGTCGAGAAGCAAACGCTGCCTTTGTATGCGTGATCAAATGCATACACATCTACGACTTCCTGTGAGTTCTGGGTCAAAAAAAAAGAAAGAAGAATTAAAACCGATAGAGATGGGGTGGAGTGATAGCATAGTGGGTAGGGCGTTTGCCTTGCACGCGGCTGACCGGGGTTCGGATTCCCAGCATCCCAGATGGTCCCCCCGGGCACCGCCAGGAGTAATTCCTAAATGCAGGGCCAGAAGTAACCCCTGTACATCACCGGGTGTGACGGCCCCTCCAAATAATCGGTAGAGGTCAAACATATTTCTTACCTCTTGTTCAAGCAAAAACAAACAAACAAAAAAGGGTATTTGTGACATTTGTTCAGTCCCATGTTGAAAACCTTGATTTCTTGCAACTTTTCTGCTCATCATGAGAAATATGTTGGCTGTGTGCAAGGCAAACGCCCTGCCACTGTGCTAGGGCGTTGGCCTTACAAGCGGCCAACATGGCCGACCCGAGTTCGATTCCTCCGCCCCTCTTGGAGAGCCCGGCAAGCTACCGAGAGTACTCGATATGCCAGACACAGTAACAGTAACAGTAACATGAGAAATATGGACTCTGCAAGGCTTGTGGAAGGTCTTTCCCTGCAGATCCCTAAACACCAGGCTTCAGAGCAATTCTAGAAATGGCGAAAAGGCGTTTGAATGCTCACAGCTAAAGATCTTACGTCTCAAGAGCCGATTGGCAGGAAGGTATGCTCCATGTACTTTAAAAGGCTCAGACATTGGGACTGGAGCAATAGCACAGCAGGTAGGGCGTTTGCCTTGCATGCAGCCGACCTGGGTTTGATTCCCAGCACCCCATATGGTCCCCCAAGCACCGCCAGGAGTGATTCCTGAGTGTAGAGCCAGGAGTAATCCCTGAGCATCGCCGGGT